CGATCTGAGACTTGTTGCCAAACGATTATACCCAACAACTATTGGAAGAAACGACACATATGACAATTTGTATAGATTCTTCATTAACAGAGTCAGAGATAATTTGCACATATGCCTTTGCTTCTCTCCCGTTAGTGAGAAGTTCAGAAGCAGAGCACTTAAATTCCCTGCTCTTATCAGCGGTTGTTCTGTTAACTGGTTCTTCCCATGGCCTGAAGAAGCTCTTGTCAGTGTTGCTAAGAAGTTTTTGGACGACTACAAGATTAATTGTACACCTGAAGTGAAGCAAAGCCTTATTAAGCACATGGCTGCTGTACACAACAAAATTAATGAGGTGTCACAAGAATACTTCCAAAGATTCAGAAGAGCAGTCCATACTACTCCAAAATCGTATCTATCTTTCATTCAGCTGTATAAGGACGTTTACAAAGCCAAGTATGCAGAAATTGATAAGGAGGCAAAGAACGTAGCCATGGGTCTCTCTAAACTTCATGATGCCAAAGAAGACGTCGAAAAGCTTCAAATTGAGTTGAAGATCAAAGAAAAGAAACTTGCAGAAGCTAAACTCAAAGCTGAAGAAATTATGAAGCAGGTTTCAGAAAGTAAGGCTAAAACCTTGGAAAAGAAGACTGAGGTTGAAAAAGAGAAGGACATTATTGAAAAGGAACACAATCTCGTCGAGCAAAGCAAAAAAGAAGCTTTGGCTGATTTGGAAAAGGCTAAACCTGCACTTGAGCGAGCTGAAAAAGCTGTTGCTTCCATTCAACCCAAAGATATTCAAACAGTTAAGGCATACACTGTCCCTGCCCAAGCTATTAAGACAGTGTTCGATGGTGTGCTTATTCTCAGAGGTTTCCCAATTAATGACGTCAAGATTGTGAACGATGAAAAGCTTGGACCAATCATTGAAGATTCGTATGCTCAGGCACAAAAGATGACTGCAGATGCAGGTTTCTTGAAGGCTATTCAACAATTCAAGCAAGACGAAATTACGGATGAAACTGTAGAATTACTTATGCCTTACATCAACTACAGCTTCTTTACGTATGATGTTATCAAATCGTCATCATCTGCTGCATCAAACTTGTGTACTTGGGTTCGTGCGATGGTTGAATATCACAATGTTGAAAAAGATGTTCGTCCGAAGAGAGAACGATTAAGAGAAGCAGAAGAAAAACTTGCCATTGCCACTGCTCATCTTAACAAGAAAATGGAAGAGTTGAACAAGATTGTAGCAGAGTTTGAGGAGAAGCAAAGAATCTTTGAAGAAGAAACTCGTAAAAAGGAAGCTTTGGAAGAAGATGCCGAAAGAACAAGAAAATTTATGGAACAAGCCACCAGCTTGATTGGTTCTCTTGGAGGAGAAAGTGAAAGATGGAGCAAACAATCGAATCAATTCGCCGATAGATTGAAGAAATTAACAGGAGATGTTGCTCTAGCATGTGCTTTTATTTCATACTGCGGACCTTTCAACAGTGAATTCCGTAAAATTCTTCTCTCAAAATGCTTCTATGCTGATTGTAAAGAGAAAGACATTCCTGTAACGGAGGAAGACAAGGATGAAAAGAAGGACAAGATTGTTGATTTGCTTACCACTGAAGCTCAAATCGGTGCTTGGAATCTTGAAGGCCTTCCAACAGACTCTCACTCGATTCAAAATGCAATTATGTTGACAAAGTCATCCAAATGGGCTCTGTTGGTTGATCCTCAAGGACAAGGTTTGGCTTGGTTAAAGAAGAAGTATGAAAAGCACAACCTCAGAATTGCTCGTTTGACCGACAAGTACTTTAGAAATGTTCTTGAAGAGGCAATTTCAAATGGTTATCCTTTAATTATTGAAAATGTGGAAGAAGAAATTGACCCAATGTTAGATCCACTCCTGGAAAAGTCATTCGTTGTTCAAGGAAAACAAAAGCAAGTAATTATTCAAGATAAGGCAATTGACTACGATGACAGCTTTAAGCTTTTCCTCACCACAAAGATTGCGAATCCAAACTTTAGCCCAGAACTATTTGCCAAGTGTAACGTCATTGACTTTACTGTTACTATGAAGGGTCTGGAGCAACAACTTCTTGGTTATGTTATCCAACAAGAAAAGGCTGAGCTTGAAGAGCAAAGAGAAAAGATCTTAGAAGACATTAATCATAACCAACAAATCATGGCAGAACTTGAAGCCAAGCTTCTTTCAAAACTCTCTGAAGAATCCGACAAGTCTCTAATTGAAGACGAAGAATTGATTGCTGTCTTGGCTCAAACCAAGAAAGCTGCGGCAGAAATCAAAGAAAAATTAAATAATGCCAAGGACACTGAGGAGAGAATTAACAAAGCCAGAATGGAGTATGAAGACGTTGCTATTAGAGGAAGTGTTCTCTACTTCTTAATTGTCGAAATGTCTCTGGTCAATCCAATGTATCAAACCTCCCTGAATCAGTTCTTGCACTTGTTTGATAGAGGTATTAAAACTGCTCCACCAGCTCCAGTAGCCTCTCAAAGAATTCATAACATTAAGGAAACTTGCACATTCATCATTTACAGATACATCAGTAGAGGTTTGTTCAAGAGACACAAATTCCTATTCCTATTGTTATTGACATGTAAAATTCAATTGAGAGAAGGAAAGCTTCCATTCGATCAATTCAGTACTCTATTGAGAGGAGGTGCCATGTTAGATTTAAGTAAGGTTAGACAAAAGGTTGATTGGCTTCCAGACATTGCATGGCTTAATGTTATGAGTCTTTTCAACCTGGAAACATTCAAGCAATTACCTGAAAAGATCCATAAGAACGACAAGTTGTGGAAGAAGTTCTATGATGAAGAAAAACCAGAAGAGACCAAGGTACCAGAATATAGTAATTTGACAGAATTCGAAAAACTGTTATTGATCCGTTCAATCAGAGAAGACAGAACTATTCTCGCTGCAATGCAATACATTAGATCTGCTTTGGGACAGAAGTACCTAGATGTTGTTCCAACTTCTTTGGACAGTGTTTGGAAAGAAAGTGACAATAAGACGCCATTTGTTTGCTTATTGAGCCCTGGTTCTGATCCAACCTCTGCTATTGAAGGTCTTGCAAGAAATCAAAAGAAGGATGTTTTGGCAATTTCAATGGGTCAAGGCCAAGAACCAAGAGCAACTGAATACATACAGACTGGATTTGCTAATGGAAGTTGGGTTCTCTTACAAAATTGTCACTTGGGACTGAAGTTCATCAGCCAAATTGAAGACATGATCAAGAATGCTGAAAATATCCATCCAGACTTTAGAATTTGGTTGACAAGTGAACCTCATCCAAAATTCCCAATCGGACTTTTGCAAATGTCCATCAAATTAACATTGGAAGGTGATGTGGGCATTAAGGCTGGTATGAAGAACGCCTTCGAATGGGTTACTCAAGATATGCTTGATGCTTCTAAGCGTCCAGAATGGAAGCCACTCATCTACACTATTTGCTTCCTCAGCTCTATCGTTTCTGAAAGAAAGAAATTCGGTTATCTTGGGTGGAATATTCCATATGAATTCAATTTTGCTGACTTGAGTGCTTCGCTGATGTTCTTGCAGAACCATTTTGCCTCAATTGGTGATGACATCAAGAAAGGACCTACAATTAGCTGGCCAACGATTAGATACATGATTTGTGATGTTCACTATGGTGGTAAAATTACTGACGAAAGAGATCGTCTTCTCTTCAAGACATATGGTGAAAAATGGCTGTCTCCCGATGTTAGTAAGCTAGAATTCAAATTCTTCGATGGTTACACCATTCCATTTGTTGCAGACAAGGTACAAGAAATTGACAAAGAGCAATTCGTGGACTTCATTGAAAAACAAATTCCTGCCATCGACAATCCAGAAGTGTTTGGTCTACATCCTAATGCAGATATTACGTACCGTACCGAGGAATCAAAGAGTGTTCTTTCAACAATTCTAGATGTTCAACCAAAGGAAAGCTCTGGAGCTGCTGGAGAAACAAGAGAAGATGCAGTGTTCAAGAAAGCTGAGGAATTCTTGAAGAACATGCCTGCAGACTTCAAGAGAGATCATGTTGACCTTGAAATTAAGAAACAAGGAGGTTTTGACAGAAATTCTTTGAATGTTTTCCTTAGTCAAGAAATTGACAGACTCCAAAAACTTATTAGCATGGTTAGAACAGACCTTCAAAACTTGAAACTTGCTATCGATGGTGCAATCATCATGAGTGCTGCTTTATCTGACATTTTGAACAATATTTACGACGGTAGAGTACCTGATATTTGGAAGAAATACTCTTGGGAATCTCCAACGATTGGTCTTTGGTTCTCTGAGCTTCAATCAAGACATGAACAATTATATAAGTGGTTGACAGAAGGCAGACCAAACTCATTCCGTCTAACAGGTTTCTATAACCCTCAAGGTTTCTTGACTGCTGTTCAGCAAGAAGTAACAAGAGCACACGCTGGATGGGCTCTCGATGATGTAGTCCTAAAGGCAGAAGTCACAAAAATGGACGAAAAGGATGTCATTGAACCTCCAAGCGAAGGTGTTTACATTCATGGATTGCATCTAGAGGGTGCTGGTTGGGATAGAACGAATATTCGTCTTGCAGAATCACAACCAAAAATTTTGTACACTAAGCTTCCTGTTATTCACATCTCAGCAGCCACAAAGGATGATCAAAAGAAAGACAAGAAGAAAAATACCTACACATGTCCTGTTTACAGAAACAAGACTAGAAATGATTTGACATATATTTTCAGTGTAGAACTGAATTGTGTAGAGGACAAGTCCAAGTGGAAGTTGCGTGGTGTTGCACTGTTAGGAAGTACCCAATAAAATGCATGACCCTTATATATTCACTCATCGCTTTATTCGGTTTGAGTACTCAAAACACTACGCAAATTTAGCGAACCTTTTTCTTATTATGCAATTTTATTGCGAGAACTGTTGTCCGAAACGACGAGGAATGGCAATAAAAAACCTTATCTCGATCAGGCTTAGTATGATTGAGAAGATACCATAAAAAATGAGAACGCTTTCACCTTTATCATCACCATCAAGGGCGATGAGCCTCACCTCAAAAGTAACAGGGGAAGGTAAGTTTGAGAAGTGAGCGTCTTAAAGACTTAATCGGTTTGATCACCATCATACAATATCGGGCAGAGAAAATTCTTTTTCAGCAAACATTTCAGTTGTTCGATAAAGACGGGGACGGCTTCATTGGAAGAGACGAGCTCTATCATACTTTGACCTCATTAGGTCATTCGGTTACTTTGAGCGATATGGATATAATTATGACAGAGATTCAAACAGCAAAGAAAGGAGTCATATCATTTGAAGAATTTTGCTCTCTCATGAAAACTCCATCAATGGAAACTGGAATTGCCTTACCAACCCGAAGAAAATCTATTGCCATCACAGACAATCCTCCAAAGAGAAATTCTTTAGCGGTGCATGATAATTATGGAACAACACCAAGATCAAGATCTCCTTCTCCGATCTCACCTAGCAAAAGACGACACTCCACAGGTTATGAAACAGCTGAAAAACAACAACTTCCTCAAATCACAAAAAAACCTCCGACACAAACTGGTTTTTCACTCAGAAAATTGTTTGGTGGTTCTAGAGCAAAATCACCCTTACCTGGGTCCTCTGCTGCTCTTGAAATGAACAAACAAGAATCATCGTCCAAGAGCACGTTACCTAAATGTGCTTCATCTACTCCAAGTACTTGGGTTGATCAGGCAGCTTCCATAGAAGACATGAGGGAGGTGTTTGCCACTTTTGACATCAACAAGGATGGATTTCTGTCTGTAAATGAGTTTCGATTGGTATCTTCGAAATTAGGCATTGGAGTTGTAATGGATCATGAAGAGATAAGGCAACTGTTCAACCTTGTTGACAGTGACAAAGATGGGTTAATTTCTTTCGACGAATTTTTAAAACTCTTCAACCTTTCATAAACTTTTCCAGTCACAAAACTATTCATTATTTAGTAATTATTATAGTCCAATAAGAATCAACAATTATTTGCTCATATTTACTTTTATTACTATCATGTATTATGATCATAATATAACGCAAGAACAGAATTGGAATGGCCAATCATAAACGAACACCAAAACAAAGCATTACCAATTTGACTTCCCTTGCAGTATTTCTTTGTCAAAAAGCAAAGTGGCATTTGAACCATCATGGCCGAGAAGGCCCATGCCTTAACTGTATGGAAAGGAATAGAAATAATTAGCTCATGGAATACGGCGCTTACAAAGAAGACACAAAAGCTTGCAATGGAAGGGCTGAATCCATTATTTACAAGTGGGAGATAGATATGCAATACCAACCACTATTTGTGTGAATGGTTTAAAAACAAGTAAATTTCAAACATCAGTGTTGTCAAGTCATCCACTTACCTTATGTACAGGCAAATTCCATGTTCTCCAAAAGTAGCTCAAATCTGTACAATTCCACCAATCCAAATAAAACAATCGGTCTCCAAACTTCAATAACTCTCCCATAATGTTCAAGCTCAAATGGAAAACAATATAAAAACCAATGACCCAAATAACAATATTAGGAACAGTCAATTTCAACAATCTCTCGAGAATACGCCAATATTCTCGTTCTCTCATTGGTTCCAAAGAATTCTCAATCAGTGGCAACACATATTGCTCGACAAGGAAGACCATCACAAAAGTACATGCCACCAATTCCAATAAATCATAGAGAACAACTTTGAATCGAATACTCTTTGTCCTTGGGAATGCTTCCTCATAGACCAGAGTTGGAGCCAACATAAAGTAAAATATATCTTTCAGAGAAATGTTATCAGGGTATTGCTTGAGCCATGGAATGGATCTGTTCGAAAAAGGAGTGGATGTGTTTTCTACTGTCTTTAATTGTTGTGCCTTCCTTTCCCACATACGTTCTCTCAAATGATCATTCACAACTCCATAGGATGTCAATTTGAGGAAAACAATGGTCATTAAAGTCACCAACATCATTCCAGATACAGGATGTGGTTGATAAATCCAAACAAAGCCCAAGTAAACTCCAAGCAAGGTCGTAGTCAATACAAAATAGCAACAGAACGAAACAAGACTCGCTTGTCTGAGAACTTGTCGCCACAATGACTTTTTCTTTGTGGTCAATTCTCCGTTTCTAGTCAAGGTATAAAATTTGCCACGAATGTACCTGGCAATTAATTTTTCAATACCAAAAGCAATTAAAGTCCAAATATTCACAGCAGCAAACATTACTATCACAGGAAACCCATTGGAAGGAGCAGTCAAAAAATTCATAACGTAAACGTGTGTGTTCAGTAAAATTCCATACTTTTTAAAGTTAATCAAAACTAGACGCAAATGACTCACTTGAAAAGTGTCACCAAGAGGAATTTTCACACATAACCATGAGACTTACCGACAAGAATAATTATTGCCAAATTCAAAAAACCTTTGTATGAGAGCTGATTTCCACTGTCTCGTGATAGAATGGATGGTCTTGTGATACACACCAATCTATCTTTTTGACTAATTGTCTCTTGTTTTTGGATCATTACTTTTGGAGTTTTCAACAATGATTTTCCTGGTACGTGAGGAGTGACAAGATTTCTGTGTGACGGAATATTTCCTGACTCGCTTTCAGATTGACTGGCATCTGACTGGACCAAATCAAATTCTTCCTTTTCCTGTTGTTTTAAATTTTTATATGCTTTACGAAGACTGGTTGATCTCAAAATATTATGTTTCGTAGTAGGATCACCACTTGATAAATCAGAATCAGAGTCATCAAATTTTCGTTCTTCTTTTGGAGCTACTTTCAAATGACATTTTGTATCAAAAGAAACCGAATAACAACAACAATATGATATCAACCTACCTTGTTTTTGTCGTTTCGTTTCATTCACAGGAGATTTATCACCTACTGCAGCACCATCTTCATTCCGATGAGATGAACCTGGAGAGAGATCATGTTCTTCCGAATGTTGAGGGTGGCTATTTTCTGCTCTCTCTTGTTTGTTCTTTTCAAACGGATTATCCACCCCAAGTTGTGGTGGTGGTGTCTGATTTTCATCTCCTTCTCTCTGAAGAGAGGACAAGGAGGGAATTTCTTCTCGTCCTTTATGAGGAGGAGGAGGAGAAGATGCAACAACCACAGAAGCCTTTTTAATCATTTTTTTTTATTGTGGAGAAAGAGACACAAGAATTTTAATTTTCCGAAGCGATGCAATGATCAATTGGGGTGGTGAGAACAATGTGAGAGATCCAAAATCCAAAATCCGCCACCATCATCATCATCATCCTCATCATGAATTCACACGCCGCGATCGGAGCGAACGGGATTTTTTGAAAGGATTTCAAAAACCAGGCTTCATCGCGCGAGGAGGATGTTTGAATAAGGAAGGATAGCGTTGAAATTCTCAAAGGAAATCTTGCAAGTGTCGTATGCTTGGGGTCTGAGAGGATGATTCGATACACACTTGCAATACGTGTCGTATTGTATTTGGTAAATTGCCAAAATACACTTGAGTGTGTGGTTTGTTCTCGCGAATGTGTTTATGCTTTGTTACTCTGGTTGTTGTTGTATGGAGAATCAGACCTCTAAAAGGGAATTAAGAAATTTTGAAATTTGAGGAATTTGAGATTCAAAATTTAATCGATTAGAAATTGTGATAGGTGTTTTTCCTCTTGTTATTGAATAATATTTTGATTAGTAGCGTACAAAAGAAGAAAACCACACTCAAAATGACAAAACCACAAAGTAGTCCAATTAAAACACCAACCAAAGTAAGGTTTGGTTCTGCTGTGACAGTTGACAGTTGAGTAAAAACGACTTGAATGTTCTGACTTCCATCCTTAGCAGAACATGAATCTCCAACTTGTGGTGGGCAATCAATAAATGTCAAATTCTTATCCGTGCAAAATCTCACTTCTGATAAAATTGTGGAATTAAAACAAACCACAGCTGGTTGACCAAATCCAGAATTCTTAAATGCATCTTTCAATTTAGAAATACTATAAACAGTAGTATTTGAAGGTGTAATTGAATATTTTTGTAATGATTTCACAATATCCTTCATATTCTTTCGTAGATTAATTGAATTTTTGAAATAATCTCGAACGCCATTCGATGAAAATTGAGATAATTGATAGGCACATGAACCATGTTTTTCATACTCGTGTTGCCATAATCCAGGAGCAGCATTTTTGTAATCTGTATGATAGATTTCACCATGTATGATTAGTAACAGTTGAAATCAAAATTCGAACTTACCAGTCCAATAGTAATCCAACTCAGGTTTCATGTCTTGAATGAGAGAATAATTAAATCGAGGAGCATTGCAATAAAAAGGACCTAATTTTCCTACCAGTTTGTTTGGCCATAAGCCATGAATTCTACACATCGCAATGGCATGGATCGATATACATTGTGAATGTTCATTGGGTGTGTGTGATTTCAATAGGGCAAAATAATATTCTTCATATCATATGATTCTCATTCACTAAAATACTTACGTAAAGTCAGAAATTCCTTGAGGAATGGAACATGGGGAAAGTGAATAACATGCACTTCCTGGCCAAGTCAACGCAAAAACCTTTTGCATGCGTGATGAAAGTGTCAATTTCAATAATAATATTATGATTCATAGAATATTATTAAATATCAAAAATAATAATCAACCAAACAAGTCACTGGAATCGGAAACTTACAAATATATCAAATGATTCATCAGCGTTAATTGCCGCAGAAGAGAGTGGTTCGGCTGTGATAAGAGTGGAATGATAAAAGCTCACCAAGCACAGGACGCTCATAAGAATCACGAACACTGAGCTGGTGGTGGTAGTGGTGGTGACGGGCAAGGTTTGGGGGTGTGCCTTTATGAGAAACATTTTTTGGGTCGCGTTTTCATCAAGACATTTTCGCAAAAAGAAATAACCACAAGAGTGGAGGGTGATGGAATTAAATTTAGTTGACCAATCTCATTGGAATGTGAGTTTGCAAGGTTCTCACAATCATCATGATTTAAACTGAAATAAAAACTATTATGCAGATTTCCATTTGGTCAGTAGATTTTGTTCGGCATCTTGCAAGGGTTGATGGGTGTGTTGGATTAATTCAAGATTATCCTTCTCACTTTCAAAAGCCTTACCAAAATCCATCATGAGCATGGGATTAGTGCCTGGAGCAGCTCCCATTTGACCCATTGTGAGAGGATTTGAATTGGCCATTAATTGAGCCTCATCTGCAACATTATCTCCCAATAATAATGAAAGAACTCCCTTCAGTCCAAACAATATTAAAAAGTACATGGAAGCAGAGGTAACATAGGAGGTCTCTAGAGATTGAAGTTCAATACCTCGTTGTACCATGGCTCGGAATCGGTCAGAGAGTGGAAATGGAAATTTTGCAATCACAAAACCAGCATAGAAGAAGTAAATCCAACCAAACATGACAAGATTCGGAACCATTGTTTGAACGTTGTTTTTCATCATTTCGGTCATATTAGAAGGATCTGCCATAGCTGATAAAGCATTGTTTTCAATCTTTTTCCTAAATTCTCCTCCGTTCTCTCTATTGAAAAAGGCTTTCTTTAATTGAAAGCTTTGATTAGGAATATAATTAAAATTACGAGACAACATTTGTCCTTTCATCAAAGTTTGTGAATAAGTAAATTTATCAACCGGAGGTTCCTTATTACTACGGAAGTATAATGTAGCATAGTGTCGTAAAATACTAAATAATAACATGAAAATAACAATGGGCAAAAGAACCCAATCTCTAATGGCAGAATCAATTACAAGTGTCGAAGGATGATGCAAGATGATCGACATTTTTTTTTTGCTTTTCTCTTCAAGCAATGACCTCTTAATCAAGTGAAAAAAAAAACCAACACAATAATTTACTGGTGGTAGTATGTTAATCAACAATATTACATGCATTACTCGTCCTACAAAATTTTCATTGCTGTTTCATAGGCCAAAAATGTCACCGCATTCAATGGAAATGCTCTCACAATGGATGAATTCAACCCTCTGAAAAATACCATATAACCCTCAGCCTTATAACTCTTGATGCAACAATCTATAAATCCCTTATATTTGTCATGTCCAACTTGTGGTGGATCTGGAAGTGCTTGAATACGTGATTTTATAGCATCTGCCCAATAGGATAAATACCAACAACCAATGCCAGCAAAGCCACCACTTAAAAACAGTGCTAGTGGATCTTCTCCATACCTTTCCTTTAAATATTCATACATTACAAAATATGCACCATAACTTGGCACATCTCTGACTAGAGTTGAGTTAAAACCTTTGTAAATTCCTCGAATTCCATTCGATTTCCAAGTTTTTATAAAGCAATCCAAAGGTCCAGTATAATATCGTTTCGTCATTTCTAGTTTCGATTGATCCTGTATTTGTAATCTAGTTTTAACCAATTCAAGAGGACTGCAAATTGGACAATTCACCAAGCCTGCAAATGAGCCTGCAATAAAAACATCTCCATAATAAAGAAAATCACTCGTAATCACTCCTCTATTTCTTCCACGATACTCATCGAGAGCTCTCATTGTGTTCCCATAAACACCAAAAATGATGGAATTTAATATTCCAACTCCGAACAATGGCGAAGCAAGTCCTTTGTAAAGGCCGTGCACCCCTTCATTTTTAACAATTCTGTACAAGGTATTGAAAATATCTCCATTATACTTTTGTGGTTGTGTTTGAATACGAACTGTGTTCGATATTGAGTACCCCAACAACATGTTGTCAAAAGAAATGCATTCATTGAATCATTCAAGCCAAATTTTCATCATTACAAAATATATAGAATGTAAGAGGCACATGATGCTGATTCAGTTTTTCTTCTTACCTTTAAGAGTGTCAAATGGATGACCTGCCAAAATTCCACACATTCCACCAATGTTGCCGGCAACAAAATCCTTCCAAAAAGGCATTGTTTCAAAAGATGCTGTATGATTGTGGCCATCACCTAGAGCAGCTTTTCCATCCAGGCTTTGTGGTTGTTCAACAAATAACGAAGTAGCATCTTCGGAATTCAACACGCTGGCTGCTACAGCTGAATTGGCAGCTGTTACATCATGACCAATAACATTAATGGATCTTTCTTTTTCTTGATTAATTTCGTGCATATCTTGACCTTTTCCCATTTCATATGCATTGCGATGTTCCACCTTGTTAAAGCTCTCGGGTGATGACGATTGAAATGATGATGGTTTCAGAACCGAAATCAAAAATTATTTACACTCTCTCTTGATGATGACAAAACTATTCTCCGATGATGATTAAAAAAGTTGATATCTGAATTACTGAAAGCTAAATGAATTCGTTGAAAAACAATGAAATTCGTCCTCAACAATTCGTTGTTGCAGAAGAGAGAGATGATCAAAACAAAAAGGACGAGCGCAAGCTTGCAAGAGAGAAAAATAGTGCAAAGGATATTTTTTGAGAATTTTACTGCTGTGTGGGCCAAAAGAGAATCCGAGTTGGCAACTCCGCATCGAAACACCACAGTCATCCGCGAGTTTAACTTGGGCAGAGAGGAAGTGCACCTCCTCCACGTTGTAAACTTGCTCTCAAGGAGATGACTTTTATCATGTTTTCATGTTAGGCTGGCGAGCTTGCTGCCTCTGTGAATTATTCGGAGAAACATCATTATACGCCTCCGATCATGTGCTGCGGAATGATTGGGTTATGGTTGGTATCTTGATGATGAAAATAGAACATAAGACGAAGGGGATCTTGTTGATGATGAAATAACAGAAGTGGATATCTTCAAAGGATGATTTTGGGTCACTCGAAACAAGTCACCTTTCTGAAAGGAGCGAGCATCGTCATCACCAAATGGCTCTTCAGGTGTTGGCCAATGAGGAGAGAGGTCTGGGCGTGATTCAGATCGAGCTTTCAAATGATTTGTTCTTTTTGGCGACCATTCTCGAGAAAGATGACAAATCTCTGTGGCACCTTCCAATCATGTCGTGGCTAAATTATACATTTTTTACAAAATAACGAAGGAGCGCCAAGATCCAACAGCAACAACTCCCCATCAACAACAACTACCACTTCAAAATTGTGAGAGAAGCAACATGTTGTAGTATTATCGAATTACTTTAAAAAAAACAGTGCGAAAAACACAACCGCCAGCATCTCTAAACCTCTCCACAAGAGATTGCGACTGCATCAACAAGAGTCGAAAGTTGACATTTGCAGACATTTTTTGTGCGTCACCAATGTCGTCGAAGAGTAATCGTTCGTCAAAGTCATCATCGTCGTCTTGGTCTTCCTTTATTCAATCCAAGATGGGCCACTCTTCTCATGGAGCCATCATGTTTTGTATAAACATGTTGTATGGATCCTTTCTAATCCTCCTAGTACTTAATGCCATCATATCCTATATGTCCATTCATCAATACAAGAATTCTTTGACAAGTTTTTACAACCAAAATGATGGCGGTGAATCCTTCTCTCTATCGAGGTTTCGTTACGACGACTTTCAAAATTATCTTTCTCAATTTTCAAACCTAGTCCAAGGTGTCAATGCTCAAACTTGTTTTTCCAAGTTGTGGAATGATACCACTGTTTGTAGTGGTCACGGATTTTGTACAGGAACCGACACTTGCTATTGCAATGATATGAATCCTTACAATACTTTAAAATCTGATGGTACCAATATTCTCAGCGGAGGTTCCTCCTTAACTCTCTACAATAATGCTTATTATTTTCAAATGCAATCTTATGGAAATTTAGTTCTTTATGATAATACGGTTGGATCGAATATTCCATTTTGGATGAGTGGAACTCACAAGTAGGTTTCTTTTTCGAAAATTTTCAATCATTCAACAATAATATTGACTCATCTTATTTTTGTGATGGCATGTGGCACACATTTTATTTCTTTTCTTGGACTGTTCAACATGTCGTATATTGACCTATTTCATATGATCCTCTAATCCTTTTAGACAAGGATCGGCTCCCTATCAATTAAGGTTGGAATCCACAGGTCGCCTTGCAATTTATGGTAACAACGTTCTAGTGAAAGAGCTCAATGCAGGCTGCAGTGGACAAACTGCACCTTTCCGACTGGTGTTGGAAGCGAATGGTCTTGTCGCTCTCTACAGTGCAGATGCCATTCGGTGTTGGGACACGGCAACCGGAGACTCCAACACTCCATCAAACTATGCGTGGGTGGATAGCCAATGTTCCACTCCAGTGTGTTTTGGAATTAATTCCACAGATTCAAGGGTTTGCAGTGGAAGAGGAAATTGCACAAGTCCTCATGTGTGTGCGTGCATTTCAGGAACTGGTGGCTCCCGATGTGAATACAATGTTTGTAATGGTATTTATCAATACCAGTATGGTGTTTGTAGTAATCATGGATCGTGCACGGGACCAGATACTTGTACGTGCTCAGGAAATTATGAAGGAACCTACTGTAATGAATGGAGTTGCAATTCAATCAAGTCGACGAATACGACCTATGTGTGTTCTGGACATGGTATTTGTAATTCACCAAATGTTTGTGGTTGTTATGCAGGTTACTCGGGCACTAATTGTGAAATTCATTATTGTTACAGTGTTTTGAATTCAAATCCAGGCGTATGTAGTGGACATGGAAAATGTCTACATACCGACATTTGTCAATGTTATACTGGTTACTATGGATCCAATTGTGACAGTTGGAATTGCAATGGAATTAGCAAGACATTGGTTGGAACCGTATGCTCTGGAGTAGGTACCTGCACTGCCCCTGATACTTGTTCCTGCAATGAAGGAAGATATGGATCCAATTGTGAAGCCTGGAATTGTAATGGCATCATTTTCAATAGCACTTCTGTGTGTTCTTCACATGGTACATGTACTGGAATTAATACATGTTCTTGTCAGAGTGGATACAGTGGTAGTAATTGTGAAAATTGGCAATGCAATGGAAAGATGTATAATGCTCAAGATGTTTGTTCAGGAGCTGGTGTTTGTTCCTCTCCCAATAATTGTACCTGCAACAGCGGATACAGCGGAACCAATTGTGAAATATTTAGTTGTAATGGTGTGCTCAAGACTGACCCAACCGTGTGCTCTGGAAATGGTACTTGCTCTTCATTCAACAATTGTACCTGCAGAGCGGGATATTATGGAAATAATTGTGAACTCTACGATTGTTCTGGTATACTCTATAATTCTACTAATGTTTGCTCTGGAAGAGGTCAATGCGTGGGCCCTAACCTTTGCTCCTGCAAACCTGGATATTACGGTACCAATTGTGACATGTACAACTGTAATGGTATTGCATACACGAATACTTCGTATGTGTGCAATGGTCATGGTACTTGTGATTCTTACAATAATTGTACCTGTCAACAAGATTATCACGGATCGTACTGTTCTGAATATTATTGCTTTGGAATTGAGAATAACAGTACTCTTGTTTGTTCAACAAATGGTACCTGCTCTTCACCTGATAATTGCACCTGTCGTCATGGATTTTATGGCTCCATGTGTGAAAATTATAATTGTTTTGGTTTCGAGTTTTCAGATCATCGAGTATGTAGTGGAGCAGGTCATTGCATTGGTCCTGATCGGTGCTCTTGCAATTTAGGAAATTATGGTCCAAATTGTCAATACTATACCTGTGGTTCAATCCCAAGCAATGTAAGCAATGTGTGTTCTGGACATGGTACCTGTGACTCTTACAACAATTGTACCTGTAACGCTGAATATTTTGGTACTTATTGTTCACAATATCAATGTTTTGGTCACGACAATAATGATACCTTAGTTTGTTCTGGAAAAGGTACTTGTTCTTCTCCTGACAACTGTACCTGCCACGAAGGATATTATGGAATGAATTGTGAACATCACAACTGCTCTGGACTCTTGTTTTCAGATGCGCATGTGTGTAGCGGAAATGGTGTTTGTGTTAAGCCCAACAATTGTTCGTGTGTGAATGGATATTATGGAACAAACTGTGAGCTCTATCAGTGCAACGGAACTCTTTACAATCAATCGAATGTTTGTTCAGGACATGGTTCATGCTTTGCCTACAACAATTGTTCTTGTGACGCAGGATATTACGGAGATTTTTGTAATGATTTTTATTGTTATGGTTATGAATTCAACCATGTTCTTGCTTGCTCTGGAAATGGTACCTGCTCTTCACCTGATAATTGTACTTGTCGTCCAGGGTATTATGGAGCAGCTTGTGAATTATATAATTGTTATGGAATTGTCTACACGAATGCCTCTGTTTGTGTTGGAAAGGGATCTTGTGTAGCTCCTAATCAATGCAAATGTGGAGACTACTTTGGACCTACCTGTTCGGACTACATGTGTTATGGAATTATAGCTTCAAACAGTACCCATGTGTGTAATGGTCATGGAGATTGTATTGGGCCAAATAATTGTACTTGCAAATCCAACTTTTACGGACCTTCCTGTGAATTGTACGATTGTTATGGAGTTCTCTTCAATCACTCCAATGTGTGTTCTGGAAGAGGAGTGTGTCAAAGCCATAACAATTGTTCCTGTAACTCCAATCAATACTATGGACTCAATTGTGAACAGTTCAGTTGCTTTGACATTAATAAGGACAATAGCTCAGTTTGCGGCGGAAAAGGAAGTTGTGTTGGTCCCAATAGTTGTACTTGCTTGAACGGATATTATGGCGATCGTTGTCAATTCTTCGATTGTCATGGAAAGCTCTTCTCTAACGTGTCTGTGTGTAGTGGTCATGGAACATGCACATCTCCAAATAACTGTTCTTGCTTACCAAATTACAGTGGGGTGAATTGTCAAGAATATCAATGTTTTGGTGTGAATGCAACTTCACCTTTGACTTGTAATGGAAACGGCAATTGCATCGATTTCAATAATTGCAGTTGTCATGCGGGATGGTTTGGTCCATCATGCGCACTTACCTCATGTTTTGGGGTGTCATCGACCAATGCGAGCTCTGTGTGTAGTGGAAAAGGTGCTTGCTTAGGCCCCAATAATTGCACATGTGTCAATGGATATTATGGTGATAATTGTCAATATCACGATTGTCAAGGAACTGTGTTTTCAAACTCTTCTGTATGCAGTGGAAAGGGAACTTGTTCTGGTCCTAATCAATGCTCTTGTTTACAAGGATATTTTGGAGCTCGATGTGATTATTATTACTGCAATGGAAAACTGTTTAACGATTCCATGTCCTGTAATATGGGTACTTGTGTTTCTCCAAATAACTGTGTTTGTAAGCCTGGATACTATTCCACTGCTTGTGACATGTATAATTGCAGCAATATTCCATTTAATTCTTCCAATGTGTGCAGTGGCCATGGAATTTGCCAAGCTCCAAACAATTGTTCTTGCTTACCAAATTACAGTGGTGTGAATTGTCAAGAATTCCAATGTTTTGGTGTAAACGCCGCGTCTCCTGTCGCTTGTAATGGAAACGGCAATTGCACAGATTTCAATAATTGCAGTTGCAATGCAGGATGGTTTGGCCCTTCATGCTCAATCACAACCTGTTTTGGTATACCCTCCAATAGCAGCTCGGTATGCAGTGGAAAAGGAGCATGTACCTCTCCTGATGTTTGTACATGTCAGAATGGATACTATGACACGAACTGTCAAAAGACTACTTGTTTCTCAATTCCTGCTAACATGACCAATGTTTGCAGTGGAAAAGGTTCTTGTGTTGCTTTTAATAACTGTTCATGTCCTGAGGGATTCACTGCAGCTACTGATTGTAGTATCAACACACTGCCTTTAGCAATTTATTTGAAGAAAACACAACAAAAAGTCTATCAAAACGTCACATATTTGGAAATTGAAATGTTATCCAACGACTTTGAAGGCTTATCAAATCTGTCCTTCCATTGGGTGTGTGACAATTGCACTAGATTAACCAATACTTCTATTTACATGAATCAAACGACTAGCAGAGTTCTTATTGTGAATCCAAGCATGTTATTTGCTCCAGGTTCATACATTTTCTATGGTAATGTCACGTATGACAATGGAGAAAATTATCCTCAAAGAGTCTCCAATATTGTGAAATTTAACTTGACAGTTCTTCCAGTTCCAATCATTGATGTCAATGTACCATCTCTCGAAATATTTGGTTTACCATCTGCATACGTCAGAACAAAACTTGAATCTGGTCAATCCATTGAGGCAATTGTTTCCAAAGTTTCTCTCAATCAAACCATTGTTCAATCATTTTTACTTTGTAATGGAAATTGCTCCTCTCCACTCACCTTCCAATGGCGTGTGAGTGCCACTGTGAACGGAACTGTCATTCCATTTTATACTTCCTCTGGAGTGACCATTGGTGCTACGACAGGTTCCAACAACTTACTCTTCTCACCAGCCATTACCATGTCCACCTCCGGTTACATTTCTTGGAGTTCTTCCATTCTCATGTCACTTGCTGTTTTCAATTCACAAGGTAAAAACATGACTGGCAATGTTACCATTCCAATTATTGAACCAGCACGACCACCAGTAATTGTTGTAGTCAAGAATGACACCACGACGAACACAACGGTCGTACAGGTTGAAAAAATTGTTTCTGTGGTTCCTACGCAAGGAACAGCTCTCACTGATCAATTCACAATTTCTATCAAACCATGGGATGCCCCCGAAGAGTTACTTCCTTTAAGCTATGCCATTGGTTTTTATGATCCAAACACTGGTAAGCCAGTGCGATTGACAGAATTTTCAACAAATACTTCTCTCTCCGTTTACTTACCGTTTATTAAGCCAAAGACGACGACTAGTAAGCGAGCAGCAGCTTCACAAGAAATTAAATTAGTCGTGTTTGTGATGGATGCTCTTGGAAACGTGAATTCTCAAGCTGAGCAAACTCTCCCAGTTCAAGTGTCAGCATTTAATGGAACATCATCACAATTGCTTGAAAAAGTGAATAGTTTAAGTGGAGCTGCATTGACCGTTGCTGCCTACGATCAATCGATTACTGTGGTGAGCACCTCCTCTTCCTCAGGTGGTAACTCAAGCGAGCTTGTTTACCAACTTGTCAAGAAGATTGACATTGATCCCAAGAATCCATCTAGTGCTCTTTCTACGTTTGAATCTTTAACATCAACTTCTGGATCTGTTAATTCGGGAGTGGTCACTGAAATTACAACCAAATTGAGTAGTTTTGTTAGTTCTATTGAAGACCTTTACAATCAAGAAATTAAGCTTTACGGTTTCGTTAAAAGCAAACTCTCTGCAAGTGATATCACCTCCAGTATTGCTGTGACATCTAATTTGCTATCCTCTGGTGTGGGAGCAGATCAAACCGTGAGTGTGACCTCCAAATTAGCTAACATGGTGTTGTTGGGCGAAATTCCCAAAGTATTGAGTTCTGACCAAAAAGAACTGCCAAAAGTTTCCTACTTTACTCCATTGATTAACATTACAGTTTCTAGCTTTAAATTATCTGGACCTGTCAATGGTAATCAAACTCTTTCATCTGGTGGAACAGAAATTGATCTTAACATTTCAAATATCATGTCTCAGTACAATGGCTTTTCCAAGAATTCAGGAACTTCTCTAATTTCTTATTCCACACTTCCCTATTCCAATAATTATACTCAATCGAATCCAAGTACATCTATAGTCATTGATTTTAAGTATTTGCAAGATGCTACAGTAGTTCCTCTCAATAATCTGTCACAACCTATTATACTTACATTTAAGATTTCACTAGATTCAAAGAATATTACTTCAAACAATACTTTTTCATGTAGATATTTCGATGAGCCAAAATCAACTTGGAGTGAATCTGGATGTTCTCTCCACTCAGTCAATCTAGCTGATGGAATTATTCAATGTGCATGTACTCACACAACCATGTTCTCCACTTTCCTTGAGCAAAAGACTCTAGTTCTTCCTCCAGCAGTGAAAGAACAAGTGGCTTCTCTTTACTTTGCTCAAATTGCTTTTGGTGTTTTCTATTTTATTGCTTCATCAGTGATTTTAACAATGTTGATTGTGTTTAGAAAGGAACAACCTGTAAGCAGTCGATTAGTGACACCCTATTTGGGAATGGCTGCACTCATGATTGAAAGTTTATTGGTGTACATTATTCAAAGAGGTGTTCTTGTAAGTCAGTTGTTGTCAAGTGACATTCAAATGTGGGAAGCTGGAGACACTGCCGCCAACGTCATTGCAAATATTGTAGCAATTGTTGTGAACACTATGAACCTTACTGCTATTTTATCCTATGTCATGCAAGTGTTTAGATTCCAATTTATGAAATATCTGTATCAACTGATTGCCGAATCTAGAGGAGATGAAAAGAAGAGTGAACGAATTCTGAAAGCACTTCGATATTGCACCTCCACTGCATTATTTGTGACCATCGTTGTTGTGTTTGCAATCATCAATTTGTGTTATTGGACCCTGTGGGTGATTTTGAGAAGAACAAATGCCATCTCAGCACCTACTTACACGTACATTGTCTCCATTTCATACACATTGACTGCATTTATTTTCAGTGTGATTATTATTGGTGTCACAGTGTTTGATTTTATTGGTTCTCGAAAGGTAGAAAAAGAAAGAAAAACTCGAGCTTCAACCAAGAAACGAGAACCCAATGTATTCTATGCAGATAACAGCACTTCGAATGCTAAGAAAGAATATACCAATCCTCTACTAGGAATGTACAGATGGTTCGTTTCTCTTGATGGACCTCTCTATTTCAGAATGGAAATGATTTTGTACATTGTCAGTTTTTGTTTCTTGTTCTTGAATCAAGTCATTGGCCTTAGTAGTTTATCCTTCAGATTTGAATCTTCAGAATTATTCCAGAGAGCTTTAACAGTTGATGGAGTTTCATTTATCTTTGAAGTTCTTTATGTTCTATCTTACTTGTTAGTCTTTGGAGGTTATGCTTTACTTGTTTTACTCAATTACAAGACCAAGAACAAATTGAGAAAACGAGACAAGAGAGACAAGAGACAAGAAAATCAACAAGAAATTACCGCCACACAAGTCAACGATGGTGATGAAGAACTTGTCAACAAAGACATGAGTATCGTGTTGGACAGTGAAGAAGGATATCACTTATTTGAAGCTTTCTGTGAAAAGGAATTTTCTTTGGAAAATATTTACCTGTACACGGATTTGAGATCCAACAAGAGCATCACCTACGGTGAAGATTTAGTTTCCCTTCCTAAATACCTTTCCTACATTTACAACACTTATATCATGTCAGGAGCAACTACCGAAGTGAACATTCCATCAAAATGCAGAAATTCATTCCTTTATCTGTATAAGAATGTTCTTAACAAACAACAAGAAGCAAGTGAAAACTTCCAACTCGATATGGAAAATTTAGATAAGGACATTAAGGTCGCCACAAAGAACACTCCTGTCCCAATGTTTGACATTGACACCAAAGCTGTGAGAGATTGCTTTAATACTTTGAATCGACAAATTTTAGTGAACTTGGGTGATACCTTCTCTCGATTCGTATTCAGTCAAGAATATATTACTTTCAATAAGGCCTATGAATTGCAACAAGTCATGATTGATCAGGCGAATGTGGTGTACTTGTGTTAAATTTATTGCAACAACAAGTCATGATAAATTTCATTCATTTTGGAAAGAGGATTTGTTCATATTTTCATCATCCACAACGACTAGGAAAACACTTTTCGTCACCCCTTTCCAAACGCGCTTCAACGACGTCGATTCGTTTGGACATGTCCATGTTCTCTCTAATTCATTGAAGACTCGGCAAAAAGGTGAAAAAATTCTCCTTGTTGTTGTTGTTGGACTCCTTCTCAGCTGATTACTTTGACAACGAAAACCGTCGTGTTGAATTGAGATCATCCTCTTCTTTCTCTTGTGGTGGTGTGCGTTCTCTCTCATCATTGGGCTCGTGTGTGTTCGTTTCGTGTTCGTGTTTGGTCATCATCATCATCATCATTCCGTATTATTAACATTTTCTCTCATTCCCGATAAAAAGGAGTAACCAAGTACAACCGTTAGAAATTTGAAAGCCTCATCATCCTATTGTTTTATATACTATCATCATCAACAGTTAAAACAACAACCCTTTGTACATTATATATTATTTCATCTCATATCCTGTGAATCACTATGCTTGCCTATCTAGGCTTTATTGCCATCTTTCTCTTTATTTATTATAGACAATTCGTTTGTGAGAGGGTCAAACTCTACTACACGGCTACAGATAATCCCACCGTTAGTGAATTGGTGGATCGTACCTTTAGTAATTCGGAACGTGCTACTTTTTGCCCAACTCCCTATCTCATCAATACTCATCTTCAAACCATTTTCAATGTAGCTCTACGACCAGATATTAATTGGTATTCCTATGATACTGAAGAATTTACATTCAAGTGTGGAGGACATATTCTGTTGGATTGGGTTCATGATAATCGTCTTCCTCGGACAGATGAATCATCGGAAGATGAGATGAGTGGTGATGATTTGATAACGGAAGAGTCGCCCATCATGTTGGTCTTTGCTGGAGTTTGTGGAGGAAGTAAAGAAATTGAAATTAAACATTTTGTGTCGTATGTGGTACGAGACGGTGGAATGAGAGCTGTGGTGGTGAATTATAGAGGTGCTCAAACACAACTTAAAACACCAGTGTTTGGATTGACGAGTGAAGATATCGATGTTGTTATTAATCATATTAAGAACAAATTCCCAAAGGCTATTGCAATCATTGCTTGTGGATTTAGTCTTGGTTCAAATATTATGACAAAATATTTGGGAGAAGTTGGCAAAGACTCACCCATTGATTTTGCCATTTCAGTCTCAAATCCTTTCAATTTAGAAACTTCTTCAAGAAGATTACAAGATGAATTGGTGAATCGATTGATTTATGACAAAGTATTTACAAAAAAGAGAAAGGAATTAGTGTTGGCTCATGAACACGTCTTTGAGATCACACCTGTGAAAATGGAGAAAGTGAAACGAGTGAGTTCAACATTGGAGTTTGATGACGTTGTAAGTCGTGAAATATTGGGAATGGACAGTTTGTCCAATCTCTATCAACGATTTAGTTGTAAGCACGATATTACAGGAATTCAAATTCCAGTTCTCTTTTTGAATGCTTTGGATGATCCAATTTCCTCAAAACATGCAATTCCTTATGACGATCTGAAAGAGAATACAAACATTATTCTGGCGACGACTGAACGAGGAGGCCATGTTGCTTGGTTAGATGGATTGACACCTTACAAAGCGGTGCCATCATGGATGGAGAGAACTTGTGTGCACTTTGCAAGAGCTTGTGTTGCAATCAAGCAACAACAGAAATCTAGAGATGTTGCACAATGTGAAACCAAATAATGGATCCCAGCAATCGAAATGTCAACAATTTGGCCAACATTACCTGCAACACAGTGGAAATGTGATTTATTACTGTTGCTTCAAACTATGGCCATTCCAAACACACCAACAAAGAATATTCACAAAGTTATTCCGCATCAATGTCCATAAAATCACAACCTCCAGTTTGTTCGATAATGACATCTATAATCTCATCATTTTGAATGCCCAAACTGTTAGCTGTATCCTTCTCTCCAATTCTACATCCATCATAGAGAAAACGAGCATAATCATTTTTCAAATTATACTTTTCGCAATACATGAGCATAATTTTCTTTAAACTGGTGGTTCGTTTAATCTTGAATGACATTCGTCGATTGTTCTGTTGACGTCAACAGTTTCATGTTGTGAGTTTTGTATTTGAATTGCAACTTACTTGATCTTCGACGTGTATTAGAATATGGTCTGCTTGGTCATTTACGTTATGTGAGGGATTGCTTTTGATTTCTTTTGGAGGGGACGAAGAACCGTCCGACTCTTTCTCCTGAGAATTGCTGTTCGTTGTGTCTAATGCAGGTTGTTCACTGCTGATTGCGTCAGTTGTGTTGCTCATCTGATTTTTTTGATTGTTCTTTTATTTTTAATTATTTTAATTCCATTTATTCTGGACCATCCATTCGCTTTCAACAGAATTTTTTGCATTTGCAAACACATTCGTCTCAGTTTTACAACAAAAATATTCGTACAATAATTTATGGTGCAGTTCTACACTTTCTGTAGAGGCAAATGTAAGAAACATGCCAATCACCGCCTCCGCTTAACTTCTTGATATCCTCTTCAGTGACTGCTGTAACATCATCATCGTCAAACTCGAGCCATTGACCTGATTCAGTCTTAACCCAGCCAACGTAGTGACCTTCGTTAGCTGCTCTTCCTTTGTGGGTGACAACAGCATACAATTCATACCATCCACTTTCCTCGACTTGATAGAGAGGGGTTAAATCTTTTTGGTTTTCAGTTTTTTGTTTCTTGTTTGCTTGTGAGGTACCAGCAAGAGATTCTTCCTTCTTCTTTTTCATTTCTTCCTCTCTTAGTTCTCTCATCTTTTCTCTGACAGGCTTCAATTTGCTCTTGTATTCTTCACTGCATAGGTCGAAAACGTCAAGAATTGATGGAAACTGCACTTCTCTGAGAACTTTTGCTTTCAGTTGCTGCTTTTGCTTCCAGAAAAATCGAACAAAGTTGATAACCAAATAATTTGGCAATTTGCTAATTCTCTGAATTTTTGAATAGACTGCCACTCTTCCGAGAGTTTGTGATTCCTTTTCAACAGTTCCTTCCAAGCTCTTTTGTAATCCAAAAGGTAAGTTATTAATTTGTTGTGAAATGAAACATGACAATTTCTTCCAACTCTCCTTGGTCACAACTGGAGGCTCCTCACACTCAGTGCACTGAAGTCTAAATTATGCATCAGATTAAATATTATTGACATTCATTTGTAAAATACTTACTTGACTTCAAATTCGCCTTCAAATAATTCCTTGATAATATTCTTGTCATTTTGTCTGAGAGTATTCTCGAGAGAACCTAATAAATTTGTGAGAAATTCGTCAGAATCTTGTTGAGCATAAAATTCACCAAGCTCGTTTCGGTCCTTCTCTGCAAATTGAGGATAAGCAGTTCTTAAAGCATTCAAGAAGGTAATTGGAGCAAAAGATTCATGTTTGGAGTCCAAATTATTAAGAAGGTTTTTCAATTCTACAGTAAGAGTCTTATCCTTTTCATACAAATCGCTCACATTACTTTGATCAAAGGTGTCGAGAGACTGTCTCAACTCAGGAACATATCTCAAAGTTTCAACTACAGAATTCATGTAGCAAGTGTTTCCTAAATTTTCCAAACCAGCTGGATAGTATGTCTATTGATTGTTCATATTATTGTTACATAAGATCATCATGTGATGGATATTAAATTCATACATTTTGAATTGATTTTACGAGTTCGGAAAGAATATTTGAAAAACAAACACAATGATCGGATCATGATGATGAAGGCTTAACAAAACAACTTACCATTTCTCCCACTTCTCCACCTTCTTTAACAGCATCCTCTATAAAAACAATCTTTTCTTTTGGTGCTTCTGGTACTGGTTCTGTGGATCCCATCACTCGAACAAGTTGACCTTGTTTGACTTTCAAGGATGAAAGATCGGCATCGTCCTTCAAAAGACCTGCACCCAAACCCATGACTTTTTGTCTTTCAGGAGGAACACCAGTTAATTCTTGGCATTTCTTCTTGAAATCCAATCCCGTCTTCAAGTCTCCAATCTCCACGTTATCATAGGTTGATTTGTTCCAAGCAATCTTTACAGAAGGCATATTTTTTTTTAATAATAATAAAAATAGATCATTAAGACAAGAAATTCCGAGAAGAACCTCAGATGGATGTCATTACCTGGGTGATAATGATGATCAAGATTCATGAGGAATTCAGCTGAATAACACAAACTGGCACAACGATGAGGTAATTTAATTAACAGGATCGATGGATTGGATCAGATCCCCAGTTTACAACACCTCAACCTAACAAGACATCCAATGGTTGTAATCACACATTCGCTCCTCGAACGCAAACAATTGGTTGCAATACTCCCCGACAACGACGATGGCGGCGTTGTTGTGTCTTGTTGGTTTTGGGGCTTCTGTGTTTCACTTCAGCAGATTCTTCTTCCTCGTTGTTGGAAAAAATGTTCTTGAAATTTCAACATGCATCATCATCTTTGAAATCATCCACAACGATGATGAAAGCCTTTACTCTTCTCTGCGTTCTCTTGTTAATGATGACTCTCTTTCAAACCTCCTCACGAGTGCATGCCATTGGCTCAGGTGGAGAGTGTGCGGGATGTGTCATTGTCTTTCGAGCTGTAGAGAGCTACGTCAATTACAAACAACAACCCATTGATCAAGCATTGATGGAAATTTGTAGTTTCTTACCCGATAAGCTTTCATCCTTCTGTAAATTATTCATCACCCTTGAAGCGGAAGTGTTGATCAAAATGTTAGAAGAACGACAAACTCCTGATATCATTTGCAGAGAATTGGGTCCATGCAAAGATTTTGAGCAATGTACCTTGTTTAAACGAGCAGTGGAATATACATCTCCTCGAAGAAGAACACTCTTCCGAGAGAATTGGTGGCGAAAGTTATTGGATCTGATCATTGCTCCATTCTATAACTCTCTCAATAATCATTTACCATTCAGTGATGCGGATGGTGATCTTCATTCTACAGAGTTCAATTTAAGAGGAAGTGCATGGAGAGGAGCAGACTGTAATGATAATGATGCCTCTGTTTATCCTGGAAGAAAGAAGACTTCTCTCTCACCCATGTATGACCACAATTGTAATGGAATTTATGGTTATGATGAGAAGGGAAGAAGTTATGAACAATTATTTTGTAATGACACCATTTCAAAGACCATGGGAGTGGTTGTTTTTGGAGATTCTCTTTCAGCCCATTTTAGAATTCCTCCAGAATTGGTTCAACCTCAATATATGAATGCTCATACTTATTCACAACTTTGGGAAATGTTAACTAATGGTAAGTATGGTATCATGAGCTCATGATGTGTGTTCATATTTTCGATAATGACAATTGTGTATATTTACATATTCCTTCATTGGTTGTGAATCAATTTTGTGATTGAACGCTTTTCATCATGCGAAATTCACAATTTAGAACTCGATTGGCCAATGTTGGCTTGGGCAACAGGATTTTTGAATTCTTCATACTCTGATTTGACTCCAGGTCCTTCATCATCCATCTACAAACATTTGAGAAATCACAACAGATGTATTCATAGAGATTATGCAACAATTTCGGTCAATGGAGCACGTACTGGAGCTATGGAGGATATCATCAAGACATGGACAAGAGACAAGTTCAATGACCAACCAGTCCTTGCGTTCTATTCTTTGGTTGGTAATGATGTTTGTCACCCAGCTCACAACTTTGATTTTACCACTCCTGAAGAATTTGAAAGAAACGTTGTTGTGAGCTTGAATTATTTAGATAACATCCTTCCAGCTGGTTCTTCTGTTGTGTTTATTGGTCTCGCACAAGGAGGTTATCTATTTGAATTTTTGAAAAATCAAATCCATCCTTTGGGCGTACCTTATCCTGACATGTATGACTATTTGAATTGTTTAGAAAGCAATCCTTGTTGGGGATGGATGAATACAAATGCAACAGTTCGAAATATAACAAGTGCTCAAGCAGCCTTGCTTTCAACAGTCTATGACAAGATTATTCAAAAGTACTCATTCAAGCAATTCAAAATGTACTATCATGAATTCCCACTCAAAGGCATTTTAGATGAATGGGTGAAAAATGGAGGACAGCCAAAAGATTTAATTGAACCATTTGATGGATTTCACTTGAGTCAACCTGGTCAATCTCTCATGGCTGATTACTTGTGGAATTGGATCAAGACAGAACATCCAGAAATTATTGGAAATCCAAATCCAATGAATTCGGAAATTATCAGAGTTTTTGGCGATCAAGGTGGTTACTAATTTTGTAAGAACTGCTGTGTTGGACAGTCTATTGATTCAATTAAAAAAATTATTTATCCAAATGTACAAAATCTAATGACAACTTGTCGTTTTCTATTTGTTTCGTGGCATTATTTTGATCTCATCTTTTCGTCTTCTTCGATTTGTTGTAACCATTGGGGGAAATGTTTTCTGTTTCTCAAATACCAAAGAGAGTAGAGAAGGCATGCGGATCCAACGCAACACAAAGAGCCAACAACCAAAATGACGAAATTAGATGGTGTCGAAAATAGCAACGCAGAAATAAATACCACCAAGTCTGCTACCTTTGTTAGTGAGCCTTCAGTCGCATTAATAATTCCAGAATCTGTTGGATCAACCAATTGTTGCATGATTTGAATTTCCGCTAAATCAAACGAATACAATCCAAGTCTGCTCAAAACAACACAAATAAGGAATAAATACACTGCAAAAGAAAATGTCTCTGTAAAGAAATGAAATCCAATAAAGAACAATACTCCAACTACAAGGCATGAAAATTGTAAATAAATAGATATTAATCCTCCTTTGAATACATTATATCTTCTAATCATGAATGGACCTAAAAATGTTGAACTGAGCCCTGAAATAGCGCTTAATGCTTGAAATACTCCTAGCACAGCAGAGTGAACATTATGGCTTTTTAAATATGATAACAACAAGCCACCATGAGTAAGAACAGTAATGAAAAGTAATACAAATGCCAAACTTGAGAGTAGAACTTTTTGCTGAATATACAGCTTCCATCCATGATAGAGAACCTATTTTCGGCAACAATTCGTACGTGGGATTTGAATGAAAAGGCCAAATGCCGTTCCTCCTTACCTTGAAAATATTTTGATGCTTTAAATTCACAGTGGGCGGTTCCTCTTTCTTCTGCTCCAAATCAATTTGTTCCATATCTTCTGTATTTTGGGCTGCGAGCTCTCGTTCTCGCTCTTCCTTGATTTTTCTTTCTTGTTCTAATTTAGAAATGTGAAGATCTTTGGTCTCAGCATATACTTTGTAAATAAAGAAATATTCTGGAAATAAGGAAATTACATTCCAAGCACAAACAATTATTGTGCCAACTTTGTATCCAGCAAAAGTAACAATTAAACCGAAAATCACTGGGGACATAATAAGAGAAATCATATCCAATCGTCTCATCATGGAATTAATTTTTTCAAGAGAAAGACTTTCAGAACGAGCAATCACTACACACCAATCCTTTGTTCTTGCAACACTAGTTACCATTGCGGCAAGCTCAGAAACAGCACCAACGATGGTACACGAGAAGAATAAAATTATTGAAATGGTTGTCTGAAATGGCCATACAAAGAGTGGTTTTTCACTGTCATTGTTTTGATTGGGCGTTTCTTTCTTTTGATCTTCTGTTAGTCCAAAAACTGCTAACAAAAATATCATGACTGTTGTGATAGCAACGCAAGAGTTTTGAATGATTAGTGCTGATGACATAACTACAAAAAAGAAAATAGTAAATGGTTTATAAATGGTTAAACCATGCAAATCGCTTACCTTTAAATCGAGGTTTTGTGTCTACAATGTATCCCATGTGTGGGCCAAAGATGACACAAGTGACACGATGAATAAATCCAAATAATGCCATTGGAAGTAGGGTACCAGTAAACATGTCTCCAAATATTACAGGCAACGCAAAGGCCCTTTAAACAATTCGGATTTTCATAAACCTTAATATATATTAATGTGCCACTTACCACATTCTTAAATTTGAGGAATAACCAATCATACGTCAATTGAACATTATGTCTCACGAAACCTACCTGTCTCCCTGTGAAATTGCATAATAATAAGATTTCATATTCCAAATTCAAATACTCACCCAAGATGCTAAAAAGTGGCTGATATAAAAGAATACTAATTTCTTTGATTTGAAATCAAATTCTAAAGCGAATGACGACATTAAAACCAACATCAGAGTGACATCTTGCTGACCTACCTTCTTTAAAATATTTCTTAATCTTTTGACTTGTGGTTAGGTCTTTCGCCGGTTCTTGTTGAAATTCTAACATTTCATCCATTTGTGTTTTACCGTCCATAGCAGAACCGTCTTCAATTTGTTTTTCCTCGTTTGCTTCATTCAGCGAAAACATTTGAACATTTTCTGGAACATAGCTGGTTTGTTCTTCTACTGGTCTGTTTGGAACTTGGTGTCCGAACGCTAACGACGAATTTACTTGATGATGAGAGCTCTCTGAATCGTGGTGATCTTGGATTTCAATCACTACTGCACTCTCCGATGAAGGAGAGATTTTCTGATCTATTCCATTATTATGATTGTCTAATAATTGATGCTGTGATGAGTGATTATCCGACAATAACGGAAGTTGGTTATTCGAAGGAAGAAAATTGCTTGGCGATTGTTCTTGAAACATGCGATTTTTTTTGGGAATATGTTTTTTGGGAGACAGGTTTTTGGTTAAAACTACGAATTTGGAAATTGATGGTTTTTCAATAATAAAAGCACTTAGCAATGCATTGTAGAAGAACAAAAAGAATGTAATTGATACAATATAGAAAATTTGGAAACCTTCCTTTTAGGTGTGCTTGAAAATCCAACTTCACATCCCAAAAAAACAAGAATTTATAACCTCTCCAGAGTTGAAACGAGCAATGAAAGGCTTAATCATTTCCGATGAACATTTGGCGTTCAAGGTAAGCAAGGAGAGTTTCCACCACTCCCATCAGTTTTTTGACGGGATCATCTTCTTTTGATCGAATGTAAACAACATGGAATGAAAACGGGCTCAGCAAGTGTTTGAGATGCTTGGATCTGTCGCAAATATTCCCATTCATTTCCGTTCTTCTTCTCACTCAACCTCCATAAAGGACGACCATCCTCCAGAACATTCACATCAATTAAATCCTTATTCCGATCTGAAGGCTTTTCCAACCTCTGAGTTTCATTATCACGAACATCCGTATGTCCAACTTCCTGAACGTATGAAATACCTTCACGCAAGTACAATTGGAAGATATTTGGCAAGAAAAGCCCATCTCTATCCAATGGACAATGACAATGATGCTTGTCTCTCAGACGAATATGTCGAAATGATCAGCGAGTGTTTGCAGCAACACTCGGATATTGAGACTACTCGCAAGCTTTTTCATTATTTTGAATCCATCTTAATACCTGAAAGAGATGCTTGTTTGGTGGGAGGAAAGCTCTCATGGGCTGATCTCTACTTGTGGGGCCTCATTGATCGAGAGTACAACAAGTTTCTCTCTCTCCACCAAGACACCTCTCTCCATCATCATAAGGTCTCTTCGCCCATCAAGGAAGGCCCATCTTCTTCTTTGGTGGTTCTACCAAATATTCCAAAGGGACAACAACAACAACTGTCAGAGTGTGTGGTGGATTTCACCTCTCTGGACAACATTCGTATGGTCCATCTTTTGGTTCCAAAAAGGTTAGGAAATAAAGAATTCCGCTAGATTTTGCTGCGATCCTTCGAGAGAGAGCTGCTAATCGCTCTTCTCCCTCGATTTCTCGGGATGACCATTTCCCAGTTCGAAACCCAACAAACATTATTAAAAAATGTCTTTGGACACATCAGCTACACACGTGTTGCCTGTGGTACCTTCTTCTTTTCAGCAGAATGAGAGTCAAACTGGTGCCGAGCAACAACCGAGTAATAACACTTCATCAGCGGCATCAAGTACAGCTGAGAGTAATTCTGTACAACAACCCAATTTAATCAGATCATCAAATAACAATCAACAACAAAACATCAAAGCCAAGCGGAATACAAACAAGTTAGGACTCTCCATAAAAGCACCAATGAGTAATGATGTAGTTGCTGATTCTGATTCATCATCATCATCAAATTTAATTGACGAAATTCCGTCATTCTTGTTGGATCAGTACAACAAGAGTGGAGGAGAGGAAAAGATGAGCTTGCCAACCACTACTTCTGATCCGAGCACTATTTTCGCACCTACAACTATTTCTTCTTTATCTTCTGCTGGTAGCGGCCCTCTCAAGATTAAACTTTTGTCAACACCCTCTGTTCCAATTACAAAGAGTCCCAGTTCTGCATCAACCATTTCTCCTGCTTCATCCTCTTCTCCTTCTGAACAGCTTCCTCTTTCAGCAGGAGCTGTACCATCCAGTACAACTCCTCAATTTACTCCACTAAATAGACCCAAAACAGAGTCTAGCAAAAAACAAGGCAAAAAGAATTTACATTTAACTCTCAATTTACCAAGTAAAAACAAGGTGCCTGGAGTAGGATTAGATCATGAATTTTCAGTGTAAGTATTTGAGACGTCACAACTTTTTGTCACTGTAAGCATGATTATGTAGTTCTCAGAGTGGTACTTGGAAAGCAGGAGCAATTGAAATTGGAAAGTATGGACTAAAAGGCTCAAATGAGGAATCTCCAACTGTACCTTCGACTACCACCAGTATAACATCCACAACATCAGACGAGCCTAATCGATTGAATACCCCTAGCGGATCTACTCCCTGTGTCCTCCGATAATAGCGCAACAGATGCCTCCTCTCCATCCTTTTTTGACTCAATCACTGGAAAACGAAGATCACCAAAAATCAATTATGAAGATTTACAAATTTCAAAAACAGCACTGGGCGCTGGTGCATCTGCAAAAGTTATTAGAGCCCGCTTAAAGAGCGACGAGTCCAAAATATTTGCAATGAAAATTATCGACCTCTATGAAGAAGGTGTAAAACCTAAGCAGATTATTTCCGAAGTCAAGGCTCTTTATGAGAGCGTTTGCTGTGAAAATGTTGTGAAATTTTATGAAGCTTTTCACAGAGAAGGTACAATACGGCTCTTGATTGAATATATGGACTGTGGCTCTTTGGAGGATGTTTATACCACAACCGGCACTATTCCAGAACCTGTGTTGGCAGAAATGACTTTTCAGATTTTGAAAGCTCTGGATTATCTGGAAGGAAAGGGAATTATTCATAGGTATGTTTTACGAAAATTTGAGAAATGCATATTACAATGTTCAAATTTGCAAACAACAGAGATATCAAACCAGCAAATATTTTACTCAACAAAAAAGGTAAGCTTTTAGAAAGAATATACTTGATTAATTGTAACATTAATTAGGCATCGTGAAACTGACTGATTTCGGAATGTCTCAACAATCTGAGTCCAAAAAATTCAAAACGTTCCAAGGAACATACTATTACATGTCACCAGAACGTCTTAGAGGAGATTCTCACAGTTTTGATAGCGATATTTGGAGTTTGGGTGTTTCAATTGCTGAATGTGCTTGTGGTTCTCTGCCATTCGAAAAAGGCTCAGAGTCCAGTTTATGGAATTTGTTGCAATATGTCACAGATTCTAATGTAGTAATCATCAAATCTGGAAACTTTTCTGACGAGTTCATTGATTTTGTGCAGAAATGTATGGCAAAACAACCCATTGACAGACCATCTGCAAAACAATTATTTAACCATCCATGGATTAAAAAATACATTTCAGATCCAAATGGTTTTGTTCCAAAAAGAACAAAACAATGGATCAAAGAAGTGTATCTCCCAAAAAAGAAAGTGAAAAAAGAAGAGGCTAAGAAGGAGAAAAAGGACTATGACGTTCTCAAAGACATGTTGAATAAGTATCAGGAGCAATAAATCATGGCCATGGAATTCTTTTGAAAATTATTATTCACGTGAAAGAAAAAATGAGTATTCGTTCTTCCCTGTTGCTCTATTCTCTTTGTGCTTCTTCTTTGGCACTCAAAGGAAACCACCATCAGATCGTTCGAAAAGGAATCAGATTGTTGGCATCGTCGTTATCATCCAACATTACCCAACAATTCAAATTCATTCAACACTCCACTTCCTATCATTCCGGTGCCATTAAATGTTTCTCTACGTTTGGCAACAAACTTCAAATTGATCCTATCACGGCCATTGCTAAAGAAGCTGAAAAGTATGCTCCTAAAAACGTATTGCAAATTGAAGATAGAATTTATCAAATGGAGTCCGAGCTAAATTATAATCAAAACAACATTTCCGAGCAAGCATTGTGCGATATTTATGACGAGTTGAGCGATCTCTATTGCAAAATATTCATGTATGAAAAGGCTGAACGTGCTTTAGCACAATATCTTCCTCTGGCAACTAAAATATTTGGAGAGAATAATTTCAAAACAGGAGAAGCCTATCACAAACTGAGCATGATTAATGTTGCTGTTGATAAATTAAAATTGGCATACCAACATCAATCAAAGTGCATCGAAATTAAGACTAAAGCATTCTTGGAAGCACAAAAATCTTTATCCAAGCAAGAAATTGCAGAATACAGCTTTGACCTTTCATCGGAGTGGAATTACTTGGGTGAAATCGCTCTCAAGCAAAGCAATTTGCCTGATGCTAAAAAAACATTCCAAAAGGCAATCAAATTGTTCGAACAAACAATTAATCCAATTTATAAGAAAGATGAAAGAGAAATTAGAAATGAATATGAAAAGGCAAAGAACCTCTCAAAGCCTTTTATGGAGCTTAAAGATGTCCCAATGAAAGAATCTAAAGAGTATGCTGAATACAAGTCCAAATTACCAAAGAGCAACATTCATGAATTGGAGTTTGTACCCATTAATTTATTAAGAGCACTCGATAATCTTGGTACTGTTCATTATCGTATGAAAGAATACGAAGAAGCTTATTTCGTCTTCAATAAGGCTGTTCAATTCCAAGACTATTTTGTAAAACTCGAGAACGACTCATCTTCTGTCACAATTACTGAAGATGCGTTTGAAATTATTGGAAACGCTTATTTGAACATGGCAAACTGTGCTTTGTATTTAGAAATGGCAGACAAGTCTGAAGAGCTTTATCAATATGCTATCAAGTTTATTCAAAAAGTGTTAGGTGAAAAACATCCCAAGATTGGAAGTTTGTATTATTCCTTAGGTGTTTTGCATGCTTCTCGAGGAGATTTCCAACACTCTGAAGATTATACCAAGAAAGCTTTAGAGATCTTTTCCATGTCAGACTCTGATGTAGACTTACCACACTCAGAACAAATTAGAAAGCTTGTAGAAACAGGAAAGTGTTATCTTACCCTAGGAACATTATACTTGAATCGAAAAGACTTTTCAAATGCTGAAGACATGCTTAAGAGATCTTTGGACATTCACAACAAGATGAAATCAGCTGGTTCACAAGACACAAACACTACATTTGATATCGCGTTTATTTTGAATAGCTTGGGTAAAATATCTGAAGAAAAGAATTTACCTGAAGAAGCTCTTGCTTATTACCAAAAGGCATATATCATTGCCAAGTCTATTCAAGATGGAAACAACCACGTGGTTGCCACAGCATTGATGAATATTGTAAGTATTCTTTTGATCCTTCATCATTTAATGTATGACTCACAAATGGAACAGGGTAAATTCTTTTTCCATCAAGAAAACTATGAGGAAGCTGAAAAGCACTTCGTTGCTTCCTATAAGGCATATGATGCATCTTTTCCAACTCAGTACCATCCTGATGTTGGAGATTTGTGCTTTGAACTTGGTAAAACTTACATCAAATTGAATATGAACGAAAAAGCAAAGCGAAAATTCGAAGAGGCAAGAGATGTTTATCTTGGCTATGAAAATCCATTAAGTCCAAAATTAGACATGGTATTCAATGAAATCAAGAATGTCTCACAATTAGTTCAACAAGATCTTGAAAACAGAAAACAACAAGATTTATCAGGAAAAGACAAAGAGAAACTCGAACAGGATATTGATTTTGAACGTCACAGAGATAGCGACAACCAAGTTAGAGAGAAACTGGTTCATTTGAAGCGTAAACAAATGGAAATGGAAGCAAATAAGCAATAACAAATTTTATCCTTCTTTGAGAGAGCTTCCCTTTGCTCATATTTTCAAAATTAAAGTTATTATTCTTCTGTTTAAAATAACTGGAAGCTGTGATGTATTCGCTCGAAGAGTTTGGCCACCTCTTGGTCATATGCTTGGGCAAGAGTGTACGTTGAAATTGAATATACTTTTCCTTCATGCAAGATTGAAGTAACCATGAATGTTAATCCTAAACTACCTTCATTAGAGAGAGTATAAATACTTGTATAACAATCATGACCATTAATTGAAGAAATTTCCTCGTTCAAGATTGTGAATTTTGGATTTTCCAATAATTTTCTTGATGTCTGCTTAACTTGTTCAATATTCGTAACATTTTCTGGAGCATTTTCTACAGAAATCATCGCTTCAAGGGTTAATTTGGAATAATCCAACTCGTCATTCGAGACGTCAGAGGAAAGGAAAGACACTACAGGCTCCTGATGCGAGAATTGATGGATGATTTGATTCGGAGGCACAATAATCTTGAATCTGTATTCTGAGTTTTCATAGAGAATCTCATCTTTAAGTCTTGCTTCAGAAAATTTTAAGCTCTTTGCTGCTAATAAAGCTTCTGCTTTAAAGTCTTCAAAAATGTCTTCCTTGCAATGAGATGCAATCAAATAATATACATTATCTAATTTCACAACTACATCAATATGCTTTTCCTTGTCAGAAGAGTAAGTCATAACATCTCCCATCACTCCACAAACACTAATAGAGCCATGTATTTCCTTTAACGAGTGCATATTCTTAATGTTTTTTAAATAAGAGTCTTTTGAGAATTTTTCTCCCATGTTAAATATCGATATTTCTTTTACAACCTCTTCCTTGTGATATCTTGCAATGGTTAGTAATGTTTCTTTGTTAGGTCTAACAGAGTAGAATAGAGATGGGAATGTAAGCTCCATGCCATTCATCTTGCGTATCATAGCCTTTCCAAAATAGGTTGGCTTTGATATTTGCAAATTTCTTATAATATCTCGTATTAAATTGACATTAAAATTTTCTACAATTCCAGAAGATGACGACACTAAATGCTGTACCATGTAGCACTTGGACTCTTGAGAAATACTTGCAATATAAGCTTTAATCGTGCTACTCTCTCCAACAATGTCGAACAATATTTCAACTCCCTTATTACCATTGCTGTAAAAACCTTGTTTTTGCAAAATGTTTACATTACCCATTGCTTGTTGGGTTAGGAGTTCCAAATTTTGTTCAGAATATTCAAGCGCATCAAAATTCATCATATTTTCTTCAACGCTAATCAAAATCACCACTGATGAATGAGGATCTGTTAAATAATTATAAATGAAAGCAATGAATGGCAATCATTTCAGATGAACACGATCAAAGAAAATTTGCAGTTTACGAAAATAAAACATACTTTCCGTATCAACAAGCTGTATCTGGCTCAAATGGCTGCTATTAATCAAAGAGGCTTCATAAGTTGGCGGATATTTAAATAAAATTCCGAGTTTTTTGTTTTCAAAAGTCTTCCATGATTCAAATCTTTTCTCATCACCACTACTCAGAGAATAATTTGGTATCGTTGATTTAGAAGCGGATGATTTTTTAGTGGTTTCATCTTCACTTCCATGCCAATATTTATATGCAGCATAGGACAATAACGTTGTTGCTGTTGTTAATCCGAAGGCAATCAAGCCCTTTTTAATAGCAGAGGAACCATCACCACCAGCGCTTGCACTTGAATCGAAAGGCATTTTTTTGCGTTCAAAAAATTTCGTTATTTTTGGTCCTTGCGAAACAATTCATAAAACAACAAGAAGAGAAATTCCAAAAGGGGAGAAGGGAACACAGTGTGAAGAAATCCTGCTGAACTGGACTACAGCCACATATGTGGTCAATTAATTGGTTCATTGTCATCAACAACAGTATTTATTTGGTGTTTGTCATGATTGAACCCAATAGTCTCAAACGGACCCCAATGAACCTGTCATTTTCAACAACAAACTCAGTTCGTGGGCACAACGTTCAGATTCAGGGAATTCTCGAAAACAAAAAAACAACACTAGTGTACTGGCACGACCTAGATAACGTGTTAAATTTCGTTGTACTTTCTGAATGGCACCAAGCTCAGATCCTATGCTTGTTATAATTCAACCTTGGCAGAGGATATTCCATCCGAATTGGAGACTCTGAATTCGGATCATTATTTAGTGAGGGATATGAACATTTCAAGCACACGAAGGGCTGCTTTTATGAGACCTTCTGAAACAAGTGTGAATCATTCCAATGAATTGATCATGATGGTTGCAATGCCTGTATTGACTGTGGATACTGACACAGTGTCGTATGGTATCATGTTATTTGAAATGTATCAAACGAATTCTTTGATTCAAGTTTTAACAGCCAAAACATAAGTGTGTTTCTTTTTATGATTTGAACTCAACAAGTGGAATACAAGTGGCATAAACCATGACAGGATGGAGTGATACGTCATCTGCTATTTCTTCCTATAGTGGTCTGACCATTAATGCTTTGAACACCACATGGTTGTTACAAGACTTTTTCTATATTGGAACTTTTGATTCGTCCTCCACTCTGTTGACCTCACAACGACATTGTGACACTAGTGGCTCATCAAGCATTGCAGGTGTTTTAGAAGAAGAGAGTATATATGGAGAACGAATGTCATCTCTTCAAATTTTACAAGATGTCAATCAGCAGAATACAATCATGTTGAGATCAGATATTTCAAGAAGTATTCATTTATACAAATGGAATTAATTCTTTCTTAATCACGTGGGGTGTAATGACTGCAATGCTGATATTACTTTCCGTTTCAGTAATTGTATTTGTGGAACTTGTTGTGTTGAGAAGAATGATTAAGCTTACGAATGGCGTGATTCAAATAACAGGTGAATGGCAAACCGATGGTAATGCTGTCACTAAGGGAGTTAAATTCATGAAAATAAAAAAGCAAATACAACCATTCTCATTCTTCCACGAGAAACAAACAAAAACACAGCTCGAGCAGTACCATATGTACTCTTTCCAAGTGGAGGCTGGTGACCCTATCAGGTGTGGGAAGAAAGATCCTTGGATTAAGGCTATCGTTGTCAGCAACGCGAATGTTGTCGGAGATAATATGGTGTGGATTGTACCCTTTCCATGGAAAGGTGGGAGATTCTCGTATAATCTCCAAAGTTTGATCCATTTCACTGGACACCTTCTTGACTTTGTCTCTTCAATAATACGACCTTTTCTTGATCTTTTGGAATTCGTTCTTGACTTTCTTAATCTCAAGCTGAAATGACCTCTCCTCAAGTTGCCTTCAATAGATTGTCATTCAAGAAGGAGATATAATCGATGCCTATGTTATAGTTGCAAGAAATAAGTCCGAGCAAAATGAATTGAAGAAAACACTCCTTTCACAACAGCAACAATTTGTAGAACAACAACAATCCTTTGAATTTGATTATTATTGGAAGAATAGAGAAATGAGAAACAAATTGCGAGTGTTCTGTATGAATGAAAAATCTTATGAAAACTTTAAATTCTTAGAAGAGGTGGATGTCTACAAAAAGATCAAACGCACTCAACAGCGTTCCAAGAAGCAACAAGAAATTATTGAACAATTCTTAACAAAGGACAGCAAATATGAATTGAATTTATCTCAAGATGAGACATTTACATTGGTCAGTAAGATCAAGAATGGTTATGGTCAAGTCGAAATTCTTTTCGACAAGTTGCAACTGGTGGTGAGAAATATATACCTTTCAAAGATTCTTACTCGAAATTGCGAAAGAAAATGACGAAACCACATCTTCATTATCTTTGGATCTAGGAGACGACTCTACAGATACTGTTAGTACTGGCTCACTTGTAGATTAAGAAGAAGATTGCACCAATGATTCATGATCATGTCATGGTAAAATTGTAAACTACTCGAGCAACAAGAATTCATTCTCAATTTTGTAAAGAATATGATCATTCTTAAAGAATAATACACCTCAAGACTTTCATCACCACATTCATGACGTCGTTCCATGAGATTTTAACCATATAAATCAACCAAATGAAATCGAAGATAAATGTTACATGGAATGACTTTGGAAAAAAGCCAAAGTAAAAAATTGTAAAAAATCGAAATTGCATTTTGAATCGTGTCTCTCCTCCTTCCAACATCATCATCATCGATTTTCCTAAAAGACCCTTACAACGAGCCTTTCTTTCTGATCGGCAACATTGTCATCATCACAGGATGGGAAATGAAATTACCAAAATACAGCAACAACAAAAACGTCTTCGGCAACAAAAATCCTCCAATCCGTTTGTGTATGAAACTTCGGAAGTTGAACAGGAATTTGTGTTAGTGGATCCGTTATTTGTAAAGATTGAAGATCCACCATCATCATCATCCTCCAGGAAGAATTCGGTTAAAAGCACAACAAGCACGAATAGTCTTCTTGGAAACACTGCATCATGTGCCAGCATTGGAAGAAGTGGATCAACGACCGTTGCCATGCAGGCAAAACCAAAGATCTCCAATGCATTGGAACAAAAACAGCATTATCAAGAATTATTCTCTAGAAATAGACATAACAGTTTATTATGCCAATTGGATGGAGATATTTTGTTTCATATCATGTCTTTTATATTTACACCTTCAGCAAGTGGAGGTGATCATTGTAGAAAAGCTGAGCAACGAACAACTGAGCAAAAAACAGAGGAAGAGGAAGAAACACATGTTGAAAAGTGTAACGATGACCTCAACACCGAAGATTCAGATGAGGAGGAAGATGATAGAGAATACACGGTTCTAAGACAAGCTTTCGACTTGCATCTAGTTTGTCAATATTTGTATATTTCAATCTGGGAAAATATTCATAGTTCAGAAATATTATGGAAAAATATTTTTGAAATCATTGTTCCACACGATCATCCGTTCTATACGTTCACCATGTCACCACCACAAATGTCTTCTTACTCGGATAAAAATTCAAAAGTATTACGAGCATGTAAATACGCAGAAAAGATGCACAAAAGCTTTAAAGAAAAATGTAGATTATTTACAAATTATAATTGGAAGACGATTAACAGATGCTGCAAACTAATTGGAGAGTCCAGCAACAGCTCGTTTTGTTTTATAGCCAATGATGGAGAATTAATGGAAGCCTCATTAATGAAATTAGTAATTTTAGGTCCTCGATCATGTGGAAAGACCTCGCTACAAACAAGGTATTTTAATCCAAGCTTTTTCGAAGAAGGTTTCTGTACGGATAAGCATAATACATGTTCTCCAACCGCATCCTTTGATTTTTCATCACATCTCATCAGAGTCCTTTATAATAGGACTGATTTGAGAAAATCGCAATGCAACAAGTGCACTTACGGAATGCAGGTTTGGGATTGTGCAGCACTAAAAGAAGAGACCGATGAAATATGCTCAAGTGTGTTTAAAGATATGGATGCCTTAATGCTATGTTATGCCATTGACGATCACACTGGCTTTAAAGAAGTCAAAGACGTGTATTTACCAATGGCTATTAATTATTTACATGGAAAGGCCTTTGAAAATATTCCTAAAATTCTTGTAGGATTGAAATGTGACAAGGAAAATGAAAGGCAGGTCAGCAAACAAGAAGCTCTTGAATTTGCTCAAGTCAATGACATGCCGTTCATTGAAGTGAGCGCCAAAGATTGTATCAATCATCAACTTCCATTTCAATACTTGTTGTATTGTGGAAAAGAAGATGAAACAAATATTCACTTTTCAGATGAATTACTTGAACTGAAAAAGAGAGAAGCGAATGAAATATTCATGCTCAACTTTTTCCTTAATCAAGACCAATCACCCCATTTGACAGATACCAATTGGTAACAATAGCGATCAATTTGTACAAAGACCAACTCTTACTAAATATTTTCTAACTGTAATTCTTCGTTAGCATGCTGATCAGTCTTCCAGAAACAAGTTGAATTTCATGTTGAAAAAAAAATGACCAAAAAACGTTCCCTTCCCTCGTGGATGATTACTGCAAAATCGGAACCAACATCTTCATCAAATTCTGTACCACCGTTACTGCAACCAACCAGTGAGTTGGAAGGAGAGAGTACAAGTGCTGATTCACAAAAGAATGTTCAAAACATCCAAAATATTGTTGAAATCAATAATAAGAATGGTAATTCCGATCATCATCATGCCGTTCATAACAATCAGGACATTCATCAAAATTCTTCAAATACTATTATTTCAAAATCAAATAGAGATCAATTTTCTCCTTTTGAAATGCAAAAAAAGAGAACTTTGGAACAAGCAGATCTTTACAGAAATTCAATTCGTCAAAATGGTGAAGAACCTCAGATCAAATTTTCAAAACCTACTCTTTCCAAAGATCTCATCAAAGAATATTTCAACTTTTATACATCATGTCCTAGAGTCATTGTGTTGGATTGTGAAACAAGTGGATTTTCGAAATCAGATCAAGTGATTGAATTGGCTGCAGTTGAATTGAAACATGGTATTCGAACTGGAAAATTATTCAGTAGTAAAATCAAATTGAATGATGGAGTGAGTATTCACGAAAAGGCTCAACAAGTTCACAAAATTTCAGAAACAGATTTATTGGTGCATCCTCCAAGTTCACTCATTTTGGGTGAGTTTTTGGAATTTCTAAGAGAGGATGTCAGTTCTTCCGCTCTTACTACAGGAATTGTTGCTCATAATTTGAAATTTGATATTCGTATGATTACGCAAGATATTGAAAAGTATTATGGGCCGAATCATGTTCCATTGATATTTCAGGATAGCTCTCGCCAATTCTGTACCATGCAATTCCACAAGAATGCTCGAGGAAAGAACGCAAGTTACGATTTGGACAGTGCATGTCATTATTTTGGCATTTCACGTGGAGAACGAGATGAAGCTCATAGCGCCTTGCAGGACGCTGAGATTACTGCTCAATTATTTTTGAGTTTAAAGGAATACGTGGAATGGGAAAACGAAGAACCCATTTCTATTAGTCCACACACCCGCAATTATGATAATACAGTGCTTGAAAGTGAAACAAATGCAGTCATACAGAGTGAGACTGATGTGACAAAAAGTCAATCTCTTGAGGAAGAAAGAAGTAACAGTGGTGTTTTCAACTTTTTCAGAAAATTCTTTGGCAACTGGTATTAAAACAACTCTAATAGTTTATAGCATTATTCTTGTGAAACCTTCCTCAAATTATTTCTGTCATTCAATCAAGACGACTGCTGAGAACGAGTTTTGATCAACTGCCTTTACATGTCAAAACTATAGCACAAAGGCTCGTGTGTATTTCATCTTTGGCACTGTCCCTATTATTTGTTCTCCTTTCAAAAACAATCTCAATTCATTGGCAACAGATATTTCCAAGTCAACTATTTGGCCTCTGATTTATCGTGAAGTATCATGTATTCTCTTGAACTTGTTCCAAATCTAATGAGATCAAACTCTCTTAACTCATAATAGAGAGAATCCGGTATTCTTTCTCCATTGACAAAAGTCCCATTCGTGCTTTGCAAATCAATAATAAATGGTTTTGTTGAACCAATAGATTGTCCTGTAAGTCGAGCTCGTTTGTCATCACCAACACCAGTCGTAAATCGAAAACAAATAACTGCATGTTGCTTGCTGCAAGATGGATTCAACGTTGGAATATCTGAAACATCGCTATCTCTACCAAATAGCCAAGCTTTTTGTTTGTACAGTAAAAATGGTTCTCCTTCAGCTTTGTCATCTTTCATTTCGAACATCATCCACTTCACATCAGGTAATCTACATTCAGGTGGAGCTTGCCATTTTAAAACTGTTCCTTTTTGATTTACAACGTTTGTTTGCTTTACCAACACGCCACTCAATTCAAAACTAATTCCTACATTAACTATTGCAGAATTTTCCTCTTGTGCTGAATTGTCTTCCTTTTCATTGTAATGATGCTGAGATGAACCAGGTTGAGAGGCTGTTTCCTGTTGTTGGATCTTTTCATTTCCCAATATTTGTTTTTTCTTCATCTGATAAAGTAAATGCTTCTTTTCTCGTTCCAATTTATTTTCCTCATAAATTTCATGATAGGTTCTTTTTGTTTTCTTTTCTTGCTCCGAAATATGTTTTGCAAAAGGGTCTACTCTTTCTGGTGATAACTGTACATTTCTCCATCTTGATGTATAATCATTTTCTCGCTCCGATATTGATTTTGTTTTGTATTTATCAAATGGATCACCTCCCGATGATCTCTCCATGACGCTTGAGGCCTCATTAATAAATTCCTGCGGAGCACTCCATTGACTCTCCACAGCTTTATTCCAGTTGGATGATGATGTTGAATTTTTATTCTTTGAAAAGGCTGCAAAACCAGAAAAACCACTCGGGAGCGATGATGATTGATCGTTGTGTGTTCGATGATGACGCTGTGATTGTGTTGGCATTTTTTTATTGTTTTGAGCGAAATTGAACAAGAATCTTTTTATTCACTTATTGACCTCTCTGGAAATGAGAATTTGCATGTTATTTATGGCATTTCAATAGTATTCTTCATTTAGGGAGAAGTGCTCACATGGAGTCGAATTTGTCGCCAACCTTCGACAATGCTCACCTTTCGAGAAAATAACTCTCAACCACTCCTCTTTTAAAGCAATACTTTGGCAACAAGTATTTCCAAGAAATGACATTTCGATCATTGAGTGGAATGTGAATGGCTAACACTCTCAAAACATTCCTCATCCAAGAATCGAATAAATGTTGAGTGTTGCTGTGCTAGGGGATGATGCAATTCTTCATCTTGATTCGTTAAGAGGTACAAACAATGCATGGACGAGTTCATCTCTTCACTGCATTTCTTCCACAGAGTTGAATGTTCCAATATAAATTGGAATGGAACATACAATCGAAAAGATGAATATCCAGCTGCATGATGACCATTGGGTTGTTGTACTTGTTGTTCTAGTTGTAATAAATTCCAAATCTGTGAAAATGACGCTTTACCATAAAGAAATTCTTTCCATTGTAAAAGTTCAACAATTAAATCGTTTGGAAGTTGTTCCATTAAAAGAGGACAACATTTAACACTTGGATATTCTGATAAACAAATAAAGAGACGATTCCAATCACATGCTGTTGTTGTTGTGAAAATTGTAACAACCTTGTTGGAACTTCATTCAATGAAAAGACACCTTCTTGTCATGTACAAGAAGAATATTCAGAAATTCATTCGAGTGCTGATCCTTGACAAGTTGACAAACAGGATGTGGAATATAATTTGACATTTCAGAGATGTCTCGATTATCACTCAATAAAGGATTGAATAACGAGAAATCCATGATGGAATCTTCTTCTTCATCGTGTTTAAAAAGGTGTGAAAAATGTTCCATCGAGCAGGAGGAAGAACATTCTTGATCATTCTCATCCTTTCATTCACTCGACCCTCACTACTATCCTCATCATTGTCCAAGATATCTATTTGAAATCTTTTTCTTTCCAATTCTCCCATTTCTTTGTTTTGCTGTCACATGGATCATTACTAGAGGATATTTGAGTGCTGTTTCATGGAAAGCATTGGTACTCATCGATGGAGAACTGGAAAGTGTTTTTTAAATGAATCCAATAATCTTCATCGATTAAGGCTTTGTAAGGGCAGAAGAGGTAGATCATTCCTCCTGTTTTGGGAATTACTCTCTGTATTAAATCGAAATATTCTAATTGTTGAACATTAAGTTGACATAAAAAGGGAAATGGAATTCCATTCTCATTGGTTGGTCATTCTAAATCTCGTGGAAGATCAGGAGATCCATTTGGTTTCTCCCAATGCTAAATATTGATCAAAGTCTTGTAAAACTTTTGAAAGTTGTGAAGAAAGTTGTGAAATCTTGTCACTTTCTACTTGCATTGGAATGGTTTCCCAAAAGAATTTGAAATGACATGATTTCCAACGTTGGAGTAGATGATGATGAAACTTGACTCGTGGTGGAAGGAATTTCTTCTCTCTCACTCGATTCTTGATTCTTATTGAGCATGTTCATCTTTTCTTTGAGCATTTGGACTGAACAAGAATGGGTTTAAATAAGAGTTGCTCTCCAGGTTGAATTTTTTCTCTCCATGCAGTTCCATTGGTTCAACATATAATTCTGCAACATATCCAGTGGAGACACACTTGTTGACACTTTCTGAATTCGATGATTGATCTGAATATAAGAAAAGTTCGTGCCTTGCTTGATCGTCGTCTTGAAAAATCTCATCAATCGTTGATCCTTTTCACGTTTAACAGAAGAATGATCGATTGATCACTGCAAATATACTCATATTGATCACCCACTTGGAAGTCTAGACTTTTCTTTTTTGATGAATGGTTTTCTTGTTCGAACATGATGTAAAACCATGATCACGTTCAATAAATGCTCGTTCATCTATTGCATGATCTTTTTCATTCTTTAAAATTATAAAATCATTGTATCCATTCCAACCTGCACGATCTGGAATCATGGCATTCACATAGTGAATGGTCATGAACTCTGGATGGTATCGTAACATTTTGTAAAATTCAAAATGATATTCATCCAAATCATCTTGTTCCTCTTTCTTGAATAAAATCTCTCTACTGAATTCATAGTCTTTGTGCTGTTCAAGAAAATCTGAAATGGGTTTATATATGTGTTTGGGTTTGGGTTTTTGGACACTTTTTTTATGAATGAAATATGCCTTCCAGAATCGACTGTATGATGAATTCAGAGGAGAGGAAGAGTTGGCAGGTGATGAAGTGCAACAGTTTGTTTTTGAACAGTGGTGTGATGTTTCGAGTGATGGAAGTATAATGGAAGGAATGATTGGTGTCATGTAATCGTCTCTCGACCAATAACTTCCAATCGAGTTTGTGTGAAATGATATTGTACCAGTTTTTGCAAACTTTTGAAACGTTCTTCAATAATTCACATCCATTTAAATATTCGAACAGTTCAACAAATATTTCGGAGGGCAGTTGTGACAAGACACAACAGGAATGTTGTGATGAGATGTCATCATGGCTTGATAGATAATCGTGTAAGTCATTCGGTTTTTGTTTCTTTTCATGATAGGATGGAACATTGTTCTTTCTCTTGGTTGCCATTTTTTTAAGGGTCACACACAACTAAATATCATGGTAACAATAATTATAAAAATATTATCATTATGGTAATGAATGATTACCCTCACAAAAATATAAATACTTGTTTGCAACACACCATATTCCAGAAATTATTGACTCAAGACAATTATTTATTGTTGAGTGAAATTGCAGTTCAGAACGGCATCCCCTTGGTTGCTCCAAGTTTAGGACAGTGTTCGTCATGGCACAATTTCCAATAAACAATTCTTCTCGAGTATTGTTAATAAAAGGTATTAACGACCACACGTGAGAGAAAGTACAGAGTTAGCAATAAATTGGTATTCAATTACAAGCATGAATAATATTCGTCATGCTGGTCCACTATCTGTATCTTTCTACAAACTCGTGTGGTCATTATCCTCAGCATCCTGTGTCTTCAGTTACTCCCAGTTCCAGTTTAACGATTGTCTCAGCGCAAGTTGGGTGAATTCCAACAGTTTCATCAAAATCTTCTTTGGTAGCTCCCATTTTGATGGCGACCGCAAATCCTTGAGTCACCTCGCCAGCATTTGGACCTACATAGTGGAATCCCAAGATTCTTTCATTATCAAGAGAGTTGCAAATTAATTTAGCGAAAGCCTTCACTTCTCTTGCTGGTGGTTCATGTTCCAAAACGTAATATGATTTCTTGTAAATAACAAGATTGTCACCATATCTTTTAACAGCTTCCTCCTCTGTTAGACCGCAACAGCCATATTCTACAGGTGTGAAAACTGTGGTTGGGACCTTTTCATAATCCATTGCCTTTTTGCTCGAGTTAAAGAGACGTTGTGCAAGTAATTTTCCAGCCATAATGGCAACAGGGGTCAATTCTAATCCACCAGATATCACATCTCCAATTGCATAAATGTGCGGCACTGATGATTGTTCGTATTTGTTTACCAAAATCTTTCCGACATTGTCTACCTTAACTCCAACTCTTTCCAAATTGAGAGCCTTAGTAAGAGCATATCTTCCTGTTGCAAACAGAACTGTATCATATTCCTCCGTGTTCTTTTCCTTTGTTTCAACATTAATGTACTCTACGGCTAATCTACCGCTCTCAAGCTTGGTCACAGAAAGTGGTACACATGGCTGATAAAATTTAACGCCATGGTCGCTCATTGTGTTGGCGATCTTATCTGCACATTCTCTGTCAAAACCTCGCAAAGGAACCGAACGAACCATAATACTCGTGTCATAACCAATACCATGCAAAAATCCTCCGCATTCGAGAGCCACATAGGACGCACCAACAACAAGTGTCTTTCCAGGTTCCTTTTGCATGCTGAAAATATCATCGCTAGAAATGCAGTACTCTTTGGCACCTGGAATATCTGGATATGATGGACGACCACCAACAGCAATAACAAATCGTCTTGCTGTGAAAGTTTTACCTGGATCGGAATCATTCTTCTTTCCAACCACAGTATGAGCGTCCACAAAAGTAGCATACATATTGTGGTATGCAATTCCTCTCTTTCTTAAATCTGTTCGATATTTAAAGTTAAGTCCATGAACATGTTCTTGCACCTTTTCAACAAGAGTTTCCCAACTATGCAATGGTTTTCTTTCAACGCCGTGACCAGTGGCAGGCAATTTCCAACCAAAGGCTGCACTGTCTTCAATTCTATCTCCAATGAGAGCAGCTGTGTGCATAAGCTTTTTAGGAATACATCCAACTAACGACATGAAGAACATGTTGAAGGGCGAGAGAATATTTTGTCCAGCAAATATTTGAAAATTGATTCAATATTTGAATAATGATGAGAAGAATGAATTTTGAAAGATTGATCATAAGATATAATTTTCCGTATCATAATAACACATACCATTCACGCATGTACCACCCAATCCCCAAGTAGTTCCTTGTGGTGAAGGTTTAATAAAATCAAACACGGCTACCTTTGCTCCAAGCTGTTGAGCAGCTTTGGCACAGGCAATGCCTCCCGATCCTCCACCGATAACAATCAAATCATAGTCATAACCATGATCCATCTCGGGCTCTTGAGTATCAATGATACCACCATCCTGATGATTACTTGCTGTATCAGTCATGATGATGATCTTCAGCAGCAAAACTATTAAAAGAGTTTTGTTAATACAACGCCAGAGTTTTTGTTGGATTTTTTTAGATGGGAAATTTTAATCAAAATTCGCCTCTATAACGGTGATTGATGTCCAACAGAGAGAAAGGATTCTTGCATGAAAGAGGATGCTTTAATATCTATGAAGAAGAGGAACACAAATCACAGGCGCCATTCATAATATTTGAATTCGACAAATTGTTCTTTCTTTTTGGCACACACCGACATAGGAAGATCCAACTTGTTCAAAAGGGATGACATTGGCTTTGTTTAAATTTGCATTCAAAAAATATTTGAACTTTCTCTCAACACGCAATGATAAGCTCATCATCATCACAGGCTTCTTCTTCGGAGCTTCAGCCCAACTTTGAGAAGGAAGTTATTGATTTGAAACAAAGTCATTATAATAATTCGGAGTATGGGACAAAAGAATACATGAACAAATATTTGGACAGGCAATTTTCTAAAGATTATGGAAGCAGTGCAAAGAATACAAGACTCATGATCAGAGTTTTGCAGCTGGTAATGGCAGAACTTTCAAATGATTCAAATGAAAATGTGAACGATAAATTAGTATTTTTGAAGAAACATTTATATGGGTTGAGCATGGTAAGTATTTAAACAACTGTAATGTACATTTTTCTATTCACTTGAATCTGTTTCTGATGAACTCACAGATTGCTCGAAATATTCCTTTTAGAGGAGCTTTTTCGGATAATGTGGAACTGCTATTGAATTCTATGCAAACTGTTTGCTTATTTATCAAAGATGAGAAGAGCAGTCAACTGTTGACACGTGAAACTACTCTTGTTGCAAAAAAGGAAAGCCAAGATGAAGAGGCTGAGCCATCACTATGGGAGTCTATAAAAATTGAAATTACACGAGTGTTTTTCAGAACAGTACAGAATTATTCAGAAGCGATTGATTTGAAATGTCCTCAATATTACAGAGAATTATTTTTAGATTTTATTTTGGATCAATTAAGGGTTTATGACAAAAGCAGACACACTACAATTCTAATGTGCACAGATTTTTTACGAATTTTCTTTTCAGCAGTGACACACCAAGCCCATGTGAATTCACCAGTATTGCTTTCAACTTGTTTATATTTATTGTAAGTTTGACATACATCGGTTTAATATCGAAACACTTAAATTATACAGCTCATTGGATGTTTGGAGCGAGCCTGAAGAATCAGAGATTATCACTCTAGTTAGCCATATTGCATTAATTTCTCTTCACAAAAGAAATTCTTACTCATCTATTCAGTTTGAACTGCTATCATCGAGCATGTATGATGATGATCAAGATTCAGAGCTAGAAACAGGACCAATTGAAAAGTTGATGAAAGAGGTGTGCGATTTTTCTTCAGTTCCAGTCGAATCTATAGAGAAAGCTCTCAACAAACTGATCGTGAAACTCGAAAAGAGCGCAAAGGAGGTTCAAGAGGAAACATTTGAACATACCTCAATGGCACTAAGTCATCTAGTAACACTTACAAATCCAAAAGCTATTCCATCCTTGAATCAATCGTTGGAAGTTTATTGGAAAATTTTTGAAAGAGTTTTTAAAGTTCTTCAAAATAGAATCAGAACCCTTGTGAACGCTGAAAAAACAAAGACAGGAAGAACTCTAGTATTACATCTATTGAAATCATGCAGAAAACTTCTCCAAAACAATAACTTTGACATATTCCTTGGGGATGATAAATTACATGAAGAAAGAAAACCAGTATTATCAGAATTCTTGGAGCTCATTCAAAATGGATTAATTATTGCAAACAACTCTGGAAAGAAAGTTTTTAGAAAGAAAGTGCAACTTTATGCAAGCAAGCTCATCCGTTGTTTCATGACGTTTTGCTCTGCTAAATATATCGATGAATTTGCACCCAAAAAGATTGAGCAACATCCATGCTTCATTATCAACAATCCTCTTATCGAAGCGATCACTGAAAGAGCGCTGTGGTTTGAAGTTCATGCTGAGTACATCCATTTAATGTCTGAGCATTACGGAGATAGTACTGACGAAAAACTAAAAGACGTAATGGAATGCGTCGTGACTGTTTGCACACAATTTATTTCCAAGGTAAAAGACAATGCAAAGAATGTTCTCAAAGGTCACTCTCTGGGAGGAGGAAGAAACAGACGTCCTAAACGAGATTATGACGACTATGATGATGAAGAGGAGGAAGATTACAGACAAATCAAATTTACAAAGAAAGAAGTTTCAAGAGCTTTTAATGCGTTAACTATCTCTTTGCCAAATGTTGGTAAAGATTTGTTCACCACCCATTACCAAGATATTTGTCAGACAGCATTTTTCTTCATGGAGAAAAGTTTACTCACTGTTGGTGTGGATAGTATTTGCTTGCTTTCAGGTTTGATTAAGGCTATGAAACGATACGATCGGGAGCTTTTGAAAAAGGAAATTCACACTTTTGTCACAAAAGTGTTCCCCTTAATCAAGGGCAATTATAAGGAAGATGAAATCACCATGATGGAAAATAAGGAAGAGGAGGATGGAGACTTTGAAACAGAGATTGCTCTCACTAGCATTGACTTTTATCATACCATCTTTGTGGATTCTGAAATTAGAGAAATTTTGTTGGCGAAATCTCCTAATTTTGTTCACTCTCTCTATACAAATTTGTGTAACTTTGTCAATAAGGAGTGTTCCTACGAATTGGAAAGTCTGGAAAGAGTTGAGCAATCGAAATTGTCCCTTAGAGTTCTTGAAGCAATGGTTTATTCAACCAATCCAGAGGTTACCAAGCTCGTAAAGCCATCAGATATCAAAGGTTTCGTAATTACACATCTCGATGGAATTATTCGATCTTTCAAAACTGACAAAGATTATCACAAAATTGCTAAATATTTGCGAGCTTTGAACCTTTTCTTTAGAGTTCCAGAAAATGAAAAACAAGTGAACAAGTGCGCGACCTTGCTGATTGAATATTTCAATACTCCACAAACTAGTTCAAATTCCAGTGGAGGAAATAAGAAACAAAAGAAAAAGTCACCTACTCCTTCAACAAGTGGAAATGCATCTGCACAACAACAACAAATTGGAAAACAATTCAAGGATTGCTGTCAATACATTGACAACTTGAAAAAAACCCCAAAGACCTTTGATGAAGAAACACCTCTTTTTGTTCGACAAGAATTATCAGCTCAATCTCAAGAATTGATTCAAAAACTCAAACATTGGAAATTAATTCAATAATAATATCATAAATATTTTCCATCACAAGAGATCAAATAAGATTCACCTCCCCTGGATCAAGTCCTTGTTGTTCTTTTTCGCTCGAGAGAAGAAACGGAAATTTAAATTTTCAAAAGGAAAAAAATGAAAATTGAAGGAAAGACTTTTATTGTGACTGGTACGTTTGAGATTACGCTTGATCGCACACACTCATCACTTTAAGATGATGTTTTGAAATATTCTAACAACTTGTTGCCGTGATCATCTTTCATGAATCTTTGGATCCGATTTAATGATGATGACTGACACGATGATGGCGACGATCGTCATTCAATAATATATTAAATTTTCTGATCCATCTCCTCCTTGTTGTTGTTCATCATCACCTCTCACAAAAAAGGTGGTGCCTCTGGTTTGGGAGCAGCCACAGTCCAACATTTAGTTTCTCTCGGAGCTCGAGTGGTCATTTTTGATGTTTTGGATGAAAAGGGAAAACAAATTGAAAGTGAACATCCCGATTCAGTTCTTTATGTTCATGTGGATGTTTGTGATGAAAAGCAAGCTCAACAAGGTATTGATGAATTGGTGAAAAAGTTTGGAAACACTTTGTATGGTGTGATCAATGCTGCTGGAATTGGTGTAAGTTTGAATATGATCGTAGTGTGAGAGTGAAATTTGATCCAACTTGATGATATTTGCATGACATACTTTCAAATGATATGACGGCGTAATTGTTTGCTAATTTTCAATAGGATCCAAGAAGAGTTTACAATCCAAAAAAGGGAGAAGCTCATCCATTGGATGCTTTCAATAGAGTCTTAGCTGTCAATGTTTCTGGAACATTTAACGTTTTGAGACTTGCTGTTGCTCAAATGATGAAACAAAATGCACCACTTTGTGGAAAGGATAAGGAACGTGGTATTATTATTAATACTGCATCCATTGCTGCTTATGAAGGACAAATTGGTCAAGGTATGTGTGATGAGAGTTATATTTGTTAATGTTTGAATATTGTTGCTCATTATTTCCATTCAATGAATGATTTGTGACAATGTTTGCCGAACAGCAAGGTAAGATTGAACTCATGTAGTAGATATTTCCAAATGAATTTCTTCAAATACTCTAGTTATTCTGCAAGTAAGGGTGCTGTTGTTTCCATGACTTTACCAATTGCAAGAGAATTAAGTAGTTACAATATTAGATGTGTCACTATTGCTCCTGGTTTGTTCTTGACTCCAATGTTGATGAGTTTGAGCGACAAGGTGAGAGAATCTCTTGGAAAGCAAGTTCCATTTCCACCTAGATTGGGAGATCCACCAGAATATGCAAAATTGGTTCAATTCTTGATTGAAAACCCAATGATGAATGGAGAGGTTGTCAGATTGGATGGTTCTATTAGAATGAGTTCTCTTTAAAGAAAATTTGAATTTTCAATTACTCATTTCCAATTGCTTGTACTTTCACTGCTTGTAGAAATGATTGTTCTAACAGTTTATTACTGGAAATGTTAATACAAATTATTTTTGTATAAGGAGAATTCTGTTCCAGTTTCTTCTTCTAAAAGTTCCTTAACAGCTTGTTTGACAGGTTTACCCTCATAAAGCATATGATAAATGATATTGACAATTGGACATCTCAATTTGAGCTTTTGACACAATTGATAAGCTGCCTTTGTGGTAGGAACACCCTCTGCAACAGATCCCAACGAATTCAAAATATTTTCCAAAGTTTCACCTTTTCCTAATCGAAAACCGACTGTGAAATTTCTTGACTTCTCTGAGGTACACGTTAAAAACAAATCACCAATACCACTCAAGCCTGACATTGTCAATGGATTGGCACCCATGACATGACCAATTCGAGTGATTTCATGTAATCCTCTTGTTAGAAGAGCTGCACGTGTGTTCATTTGAAAACCAATGCCAGTACAAATTCCGGAAGCAATTGCAATAACGTTTTTCAATGCTCCACAAACCTCGACACCAATTGGGTCGTCAGAGGTGTAAACTCTGAAATATGGACTATGGCTGTTCACAAAAATTGAAAAATTATGAACCAATGGAGTATTTCAAAAGTCAAAATCATGGTCAAAATCATGGTCAAAATCATAGATAATCATGATCGTCAAAATCATGATCAAAACATAATAATTATGGTCACCAGAATATTGTCACTCAACAACTTGAAGAACTCTCACTTACAAAACTCGCTGAGCCCACAATGCACATTCAATATTTTTTGATGCAACTGTGACACACGTGGGCTGCTTCTCACAAATTTCAATGGCAAAAGAAGGTCCACTCAAAAACACACATCGATCAGCAAACTCTGAACCCATTTCTTCCTCAATAATTTCATAGGGAAGTTTCAAACTATCACTTTCAATACCCTTATTAGCAAAGATGCACAAATGTTTGAAAGAAGAAGAAAAAGCATCTAAAAGCACATCCTTAAATTGTTTCAATACTGATCTCATGTGTTGAGTTGGAATGGAAAACAACAATACAGTGTGTTGTTTCAAAATTTCAGAATTAATCTCACAAGTGGCTGTCATATTATCAGGCAATTTAATTTGAGATAAATATTTGGGATTCACCTTTTCATGATTAATAGAATCAACCACTCGTTGATCCCTTGCATAAATAGTAATCCGATCATTCAAATGATGAGCCAAATGATATGCCAATGCCATTCCGAAATTACCTGCACCCAAAACCAAGACTGTATCGACAGGCAACTCTTTGATTTGAGATTTTTCCAAAATAGCCTTTGTTTCAGCAGAGGAAGGAACATTCGATCCCGAAAGTAAGAATGGAACATTTGAATAGGATTCCACTTTATGGAGAGAATTTGATGATGAAATGACTGCTTGATCAAGCATTCGACGATTCTCGAAATTTTTCATTTTTTTGTAATTTTTATGAGATTCCAATATGAAAACGTCAAATTGTAATATTAAAATTTGTCCTTCCTTGTTGAACGTCAAATTATCAATTGTTTGTTGAATGGAATTTCATGAGATTCATTGTTGTTTACATATGGTGATATGAGGAAGAGAGATAAAAAGAAGTGTAGTGAGACGAATGAGGATATCATTGTGTATCGATGATGATGATTGATTCGTTAACACCCATCAATATTATTCAATTGCCTTTCAAACACTCCTCATAACAAGGATGGACAGTGATTGTGTCAATATGTTTTCATTCTTCCAAATTGTAGAGTTCGTTATTTGTGAGTGTTTTCAACGTTTTAAATGCTGTATCCGTTACCCATCACAGCAGCAAGTCACTTGTCATTAAACAGAAAAAAAATGGCAAAGATGAGGTAAGTGTCATGATGAGACACCATTTTGTGTTGTTGTTTAGCGACAACCACCTGTCCGTAACCACGATGAATCATGTCAATATGTTGATGATGATTTGTGTATTCTTTTTCTGCGTTACCATTTGTTGAATCGATGACTCATCACCAAATGGATGATTCACATGAACGTCGGCGATTCAACACTTTACATTATATACTCTCACATTCTCATTCCTCATGATTATTGTATCGTTCTCTTCATCATGATGATTTGTTTTCCTAAAAACAACATGTTCCTTTCACACACTTCATTTCCCTTTCAACTATCATGATGATGAACTCTTGCCAATCATCATACCATTCTCAACAACAACAATTGACCATTCACTCAATGTTTACATTCTCAACAACAACAACAACAACAACAACAACGATATACCATTTCATCCTCCTTTTCGTCATATTCCTTCTCTCTCAACAACGATATAACGACATTTCACACCATATTCATCCTTCTCTCTGAAATCCATATTCCCCTCCTCCTCCTCCTCTAATAGAATGAATTCTTCTTCGTCTTCAAAAACAACAACATCAAAATGGATCATCTCTCTCCTCTTCTGTTGTCTGTGTATCATTTATTCCATTCATGGAGCAACTTTTAAATCATCTGCCACACCTTCTCTCAATCGTAAAGTTTATGGATTTGGTTCCAATGCGAATGGTCAACTTTCACAAAAAGATTATTCTTCACCTTCTCTTGTTGATTCTTTGAAATCATCCACTGTTTCACTTCAATGTATTCAACAATTAGATGATGGTAGTTCAAGTGGTGTTCGAGTGTTTATGGTGGTGAGTGGCGGTGGTGTGAATGGTGGTGACGCTCTCTATGGTTTTGGATCGAGTAATGGTGTGAATTATTTATTGGGATTGAATACTACTCAAAGTTTTAAGACTCCACAATTGATTGGTTCATATTCGAGTGCTATTCGAAGTTTGGCATGTGGTGCTGAACATGTTTTGTTTGTGTTGAATAATACAGCAAGAGATGTTTATGGATTTGGTAACAGTAAGTGTTTTTTTATGGTCCTTTCATCATTATTCATTCACACAAATGGTGATCCTACGATCCTACTACTAATCACACACTCATTTCCTTTACATTTTTTTACGTGACATCACTGATGATAATGACAATTCTGCAAAATGATCAATGAACCATGTGGAATGTCAATATGATGAATCATGTGAATCATGATGTGAAATGTTTTCATTCATTGCCGACGATGTGAAATGTTTCATTGCCAAACACAAATAGACAATTATGAACAATTGGGTTATGGATTTTCCTCACTTAGTGTTCCTACTCTCTTACCAAACGCTGCTCTTCAAAACATTAATGTCGATAAGGTCTTTGCAGTTTATTATTCATCCTTTGTCACTGAAGACACCACCAACAATCTCTATGGTTGGGGAGATAATACTTTTGCAATGATGGGATTTATTGGAAGTCAAATCATCATTTCAAATATAACACTCTTGTCTGGACCACAAACAGGTAACAAATACACGAGTGTGAAAAAAGTGGTTGGATATGGTCGTTCACTTTTTGTTCTCACTACCAATGGACAAGTATTTGCTTCTGGATCTAATGATCAAGGTGTATTGGGTGTCAATAGTACGACCTTCCAAATTCCAACTCCAACTCTTTTGGCTGGTGTCACTGCTCCTGTTTTGGATATTTCCATTTATAGACAAGGTGTATTGGCCACAACCAATGATGGATCTGTTTATTATTGGGGAAATAATGACATGAATGCATTGTGTACCACTCAGACTCCAATGAGTTCAATTCTTCCTGTGAAAATCGATGCATCTCAATTTACACCTGCCTTGACTCAAAACATTGTACAAATTTCTCTCTCGTATCAACATGCCATGTTGTTGGCTCAAGATCAACAAACCATTTATGTCTGTGGAGATAACTCTGAAGGACAACTTGGAATCTCTCCTTTCGTTTCTACTGTGAATGGAGCCAAGTTCAGTAACAATACCACACCAGCCAGCAAATCAGTGGCTTCTATTCTCACTGCTGCTACTAAGAATTCATTTGTCTTGACCACTGATGGTAAACTGTACACAATGGGAACTATTTCTGGAAGTGGTGACACTGTTTACTATACGAGTCCATCTCTCCTTAAAAATATTCCAACAAGTGTTCAATTGGAACATGTTTACACATCGGCAGGATTTGTGTTTGCTACTGAACATGACACTGGTCGAACATGGGCATGGGGTAAAAATAGATCTCCCTATAACTTTATTAATCCAATCATGAATATTGATCAATTCACACCTCGAGTGATTCCTGAATTGAATGGAGTGAATGTGACATTTATTTCGATTGGTTATGGTGTAGTCAGTTCTACAACTCATTCCACAGTTCTCTTTTTATCCAATGACACTCTTTCTGTGTATGCAATGGGATCCAATGCTTTTGGACAATTTGGTAATAATAACAAGACGAATTCCATTCAATTGATTCCAACTCGTAATCAATATGAAAATGGAACGGTCATTATTGATAGTATTAATTGTGGAGCTATTCACACAGTGATGAGAGCTAAAAGAAAATCCTACACAGTTGATCAATACGATTTGTTTGTCATGGGTGGTAACAGTAGAGGTCAAATTGGTTTATTCAATTTTGATGATATTCGTACCACTCCATTGCGTACTTCTCAACAAAATATTAAGCAAGTGACTACTGGTGAGTTCCATACCATTACTGTGAATATTGAAACGAGAGGTGGAGGTGGAAGTGGTGTGAAAACTTACATTACAAAACCTTATGCTGCTGGTGACAACTCGTATGGTCAAATTGGTTTGAATGCATTGCAACAAGTGAGTTCATTCCGTGAAGTTGGAAATCTCGAACAAACATCGAATGGTGTCTTTTATAATATTACACAAATTGATGCTGTTTACACGGGTGGTAGATCTACTTTTATTCTCACAGCAAATGGAACCTATGTGACAGGTGACAATACCTATGGACAACTTGGTTTTGATCCATCTGTGAATGGAACGAAATTCATTGTTCCAGTTCTCAATCCTAATCTTCCATCCAATATTATCAAGATTGCAATTTCAAGACCAACTGGTGGACATGTCGCCATTCTCACTTCCAATGGTGCTGTCTATGTGATGGGTCAAAATGACAAGGGACAATTGGGATTGGGTCACACCAACAATGTCTTCTCTCCAACTCTTCTTTCAGTTCCAAATAATGAACAAGTGATTGATGTGAGCACTGGTGATGATTTCACATTAATCATTACAGGTAACAAACCATGTCCAGGTGATTGTAATTATAAGGGTGTTTGTAATTATGTCTCTGGTTTCTGTAGCTGTGCTTCTGGATTCACTGGATATGATTGTAATTTGTTTGATTGTGTAGATCCAAAATGTAATGGACATGGTACATGTGACACTTCGATTGGTATTTGTAAATGTGACAGTGCTTATTCTGGAATTAGTTGTGAACGAAGAAAATGTCCAAATGATTGTAATGGAAATGGTATGTGTAATACGAAGGATGGTGTTTGTACCTGTTTTGCTGGTTTCACTTCCAAAGTGGATTGTTCAACACCTGATCGAGCTGGAATAAGTGTTTTTGATTGGCGATCGTTTGTGACATTGGTTGTCATTGCCTTGTCTGTGGTGATGCTTGTTGTGAAGAGAATGTAAAAAAGAACTTTGAGTGTGTGTGCGATTTGGTAACTGCAGTTACTACCACTCGCAATCCACAATCTCCTCATTGTTGTTATTCCCTTGAAGGAAATCATTCGTCCCACATGAAGTTTGTGTTTCTGTAACGGAATGGGACATTTTTGTATATCTATAGATCATCAATATATATTTGTTTGTTCATTCATCGTCTTTAACGATCTCTTTAACACATTTTTCAATTCAATATTGAGACGAGATTCTGTGTATTCGAATCAACACCATCTTTGAGCCATTTGGTGTTTTGACATGATGTGACATTAGGTTCAGATAATCATCCTAATGATGAGACTCTTATTTCAACATTTATTTTAGAGTAAAATACAAGACTTCTTCTCTGGTTTCTCCTTATTAGTAGTATTTACAGGTTTTGTTTTCTCCATTTGCTTTAGAATGGTTTTGACAAGCTTCTGGAAAGCCTCGTCCACATTGGTTCGTGTTTTGGCACTTGTTTCAATAAATTCAATTTTCCATTTTGCACAAATATCTTCTGCTTGTTGACGTGAAACTGCTCTCTTTTCAGGAGGAAGCTGTATCAATGATGAAGGTGTACAAGATGAACAATTATTATTGACAATTAAATCGAGATAACACATAAAAATGGAAATGGATGGATTAAAAATAATTGTGAACAAATAAAGATGAATGGACACCATAAAAAGAATGTCATTCAGTATCATGCGATCACACGAGTTCATAATCGTCGATTCAAATTTGGATCATGAGGTTCGTGACCACCAACCAATGTTACAATAATAAAATTATCAAATATTAATATTATATTCAATCATTCAATCTCAATATTTTCACAATTCATCTCTTAAAACACTTACATCAATCTTATTTCCAACCAAAATAATTGGAGGGTAATCACAATCTTTGCTTCTTACAATTTGTTTATGGAATTCATTTAAATCCTCAAAAGTCTTTGGTTTTGAAATGTCAAAAACTAGTAAAAATCCATCCGCTGTTCTCATGTATTCATCCCTCAATGCCTATTTTGTAAAGTCATGAAATGTTTGATAGTTTCATCATGTAGTGATCAATAGAAGGTTTAAGAACAAGATTTTGTTGACAATTAGTTCAACAACGAACCTTATATTCTGTTGTTGAATTGAAAATATTCACACAAATTCGATATCAAATTTGATTGATCATCATTCACCATTTCAGGTGAGGTATTTAAGAATTCATCATTATAATAATAAATATTATGAATATTATGAATTACTAATAATTACTAATACAAACCATCTTGTCCTGCTGTATCCAAAATGTCTAATTGCACAACTGTGTTATTCACTTTAAGCGACTTTTGATAACTGTCCTCAATAGTAGGGTCCCATCTGATGATCAGATGTGGTCCAACATTGTGATTTTGTTTATGATGATGTTGATCAAAATAAGATGATGATAATGGATGAATTCATGAAATGTGAAAAAACAGTCATGTTGCCATAAATGTAAGACACGTCAAGGAAACAACAACATGAAGAGAATAGAAGTGGTCATTGTCGTCATTATAGTTGTTTCAAATCGATTGGAAACAGTACAAATAATACATGTGAATGAAAGGTCACAACATGTGATGATGGTCGAAAGAATACATTCGCAATTCCATTTTCATCCATGGATCACAATCACAAGTGTCAACAATAATTATTTACAATAATAACAATAATAATAATAATAACAGAGTCAATAATCATCATCATCATGTGATAATGATCACTTTTAAACTTACGCTTCTACAAATTGATTTTGAACAAATTGAATGGTGAGACATGACTTTCCCACGGCACCTGCTCCACAAACAGCAACTTTTATATTTTGTACAGATGACATTTAGAGAGTTCAATGTGATGAGGATGATGAAGATTGGTGATGATGATGAAAAAGAATTTGAAAAAGAATTTGAAAAAGAATTTGAAAAATTTTTCTTGTGAATCTCGTCAATAATGGAATGACAAATATATCGATGTGATGATGAATATTTCTTTTGTTGAAAAAACTCTTGTTGTTGTTGTCAAATCACACACAACCAATGAAATCAAAAATTGTTGTTGTTGAAGAGGGAATATCAATTGTTTTTTTTAACGGCCACACAATGACAGGTCAATGGCTAGCGGTGATGACGGGATTGACAAGTGTCAAACTGACAGTCAAAAATTGGCAAGGGTTTTTTTATGATTCAATTGCTTTGGGGTTGTTGAACTTGGAAATAAGATTGTGAGTTTACAAACAAGGAGCCAAGTTCCGGGAACAAAGGATACACATCTTCAGAGCAAAAACCAAAGCTATCTTGTTCTTCAAAAGGATGAGAAGAATTCATTCCTTCTTCTTGAGTCCACAAGAATGGAAAGTGATGAAACTAATTTTGAGTTGAAAATAAACGCATATAGTCGATACAATCATGATATGGATTCAAATTCTGAAATTATTGTCCATCTCATATGAAACACACTTGAAAATAACTGATGATGAACAAGTTTGGTAATTTATTGGTTTTTGTGAGCCTTCGATCTGTAGAGTGATGAAAAAATTGGCGGTAAAACCTGTCAAGACCGATTTCGGCAATGACTTTCTTTTCTCGATCAAAATGATGGAGAAAGGCCTTTGGGTCTCGTGTCAGTATAGGGTTTTCATCGAGGTGTGTACGAGGTGTGCACGTGTGGGTTCCTCACTCTCTCGCAGCTGTCAGTTCTCTCTTATTGGATTGTTGCGTAATTTTCTGAAGGTGAGACAACTGTTGTTGAGACAACAATAGCAATAAGGAAATTTATCTAAAATAACATGTTCAATGGAACCAATAGCAAATGGAGCTGATCTTTGACAATTATTCTGTTGTTGATCATCTCAACCACTCAACTACAAACAAATACATGGAGAGAGAGATGACATGGTCTCACTCTTTATTGATGTCGTATCGGCCTCACACTTTTAATACTTGAAAGTAAAGCAGCGGACAAGGAATCGTAGTTTTCGATGACGAAGAGGTTTACAATCGGTTTGCCAACCCAATGATTGGATGAGCAAAGCCAAAAAATACAAAAAAAAATACAGCACGACCCACAAAGGTAAATACCTAACGCAAATCTCTCTCAAGTTCACATTTATACAATTCTCATCATCATTAAACAACCATCATCATCTACAGCGATCCAAAATGAGCGAAACTGAATCAAGAGAAGATAACGTTTTCATGGCCAAGCTTGCTGAACAAGCTGAAAGATATGATGGTGAGTACTTTACAATAATAACAACAACATGTGTCTAATCATCATTATCGGCTCTTGTAGAAATGGTCCAAAGTATGAAGAAGGTTGCCCAATTGGATGTTGAATTGACTGTTGAGGAAAGAAACCTCTTGTCTGTTGCATACAAAAACGTTATTGGTTCCAGACGTGCTTCATGGAGAATCATCAACTCCATTGAACAAAAGGAGGAAAGCAAGGGAAATTTACATCATGTTGAAAAGATCAAGAAATACAGAGGCAAGGTTGAGAGAGAATTAACCGATATCTGTAACGATATTTTGTCAATCTTGGATCAACACTTGATCCCATCTAGCCAATCTGATGAATCAAAAGTTTTCCACTACAAGATGAAGGGTGATTATCACAGATACCTTGCTGAATTCACTACTGGTGACTCCAGAAAGGAAGCAGCCAACAATTCTTTGGAGGCCTACAACACCGCAACAAAGATTGCTAAGGAACTCCAAACTACTCACCCAATTCGTTTAGGTTTGGCCCTCAACTTTTCTGTTTTCTATTATGAAATTTTGAACTCACCTCAAAGTGCTTGCCAATTGGCAAAGAAGGCCTTTGATGATGCTATTGCTGAATTGGATAGTCTCACCGAGGAATCATACAAGGATTCTACTCTCATTCTTCAATTGTTGAGAGACAACTTGACTTTGTGGACTTCTGATATGCAAGAGGAGAAGAACGACGGTTCTAAAGTGGAAGATGTCGAAGGAGATGACCAATAAATCCCGTATATTGTAACATTGCCGAACAGAACACTTCATTTCATAGTATGATTTGAAATAAACTTGTGATATTGTTAATCGACGATCAAGTTGAGTCTCGATTGATCAATTTAAACTCGGAAACGGATGACGCAGTAACAGTAAGTACTAACCTGAGAGCAAGATGTAGATTCAATGATAATCAAAAACAAGACATAATTTCTCCACTTTGGTTCTTTTATTTCTTTTGGCTGGAGTTGCTTCTGTCTCTATTGGCTAAAGCAGCAAAGCCACCAGATGATCGGTTGGCTGTTTGGTTGTTTGGCTGTAGTTGTTGTGGTTGTTGAGGCCTATTGCTCAACCCAAATGGGTCGTTGGGGTCAACATGATCCGAGCCTCCGTAAGGATTGTATGGAGGAGTGTATGGATTATTGTTGTATTGAGGCGTTGTTGAAGGATACATTGGAGGAATGTTTCCAGCTTGAATATTTAATCTTCCAAATTCTCTCTCCATTGAATCGGAGTAAGGGTTGTTGTTTAGTGTATAAGGAGATGGATTGTTGACAATGGGAGGTAATCGTTGTTGTGGCTGCACTGGTGTTGATGTTGTCAACCCAAAAAGATCGTCCAAAGAAAGCGGAGTTGTTGATGAACTGTTTCCAGTGGATACCTTATTAACACCTCCAATATTGCTGCTGGTGTTTAAATTGCTTGCTGTGACATTACTATTAACTTGTTGCTGAGGTGGAGTTGGTTGTACAGATGATCCAAGAAAATCATCCAAAGTGAGAGACTTGTTTTGATTGGATGGAGTGTTTGTTCTATTAACGTTTCTGTTTGCCAATGATCCGAATCCACTTGAGCCGCTAACAGCTGCAGTTGAAGATGTATTGACATTTGGTGACAAAGGAGGGGCAGATGAGGTGTTGAGAACCTGTGAAAGCTTTGGATTCTCCTTCTTGCCAGTTTTCATAAACTTTTCGAATGATTGAAGAGAGTCACTTAATGCTTCGTTAACTTCCAACAGTTTCAAAAGAACATCTTCTGGAGGAATAGTTTCGATTAATGAAATTATTCTTCTCTGCATTTCCTCGCAATTAACTTTGAGTTGAAGAGCAGTGTCATCTTGTTTCAATTCGTTTGGTGAAGAAGCAGCAGAAACTAGCTCTCCTAATAAATTAATATTTTCTTTGACAATGGTCAAATCAGAATCTAATTTTTCTTGATAGGTAGACAGCTTGCTCGAGGGTTGATTTGTATTTCCTCTGAAAGGAGGAGGCTGTCTTGTTGTTGAAGAAGTCAAAGGCTGTTGTGGGGAGGATGCAATTCCGATTGGAGGTGAAGAGGATGGGCTCGATGATGGGAATTGTGTAAGCTGATTTTCTTTTATCACCTCATTGGCTTTCTCTTTGACATCAGTTGATCTTCCTTGTGTTAATCCATGCACAATATTTACAAATTCAGATCTTAAAAAACACTTCTTTACGTAATCATTGGTATTCTTCAGAATGGCATCCGAAAGAGTGAGAGAGTAAATAACAACAATCGGATTTGGATCTTTGAGTCTTGCTAACAAAATAGGAAGTACTTGTTTGGTGTAATCATCTGGGTTTTGGCATAAAAGATCTGAAATTTGCATAATAGAATCCCAATCATCGGTTTGGTTTTTGGGATTTGTTGCATTCATTACAAGCCGATTAAAATCGGGTCCCATTTGATAGGCATTGTTGTATGAGGTCATATTGGTGTTGGATCAATGATGATACAATGATAAATACAACAAAACAATAAACTGTGCGATCAGATGGCTGCCTAAAAGAACGTTGGTGATGACGATGATGAGTTTAATTTGGAAGGCGAATCTTTCACGTGTTGACCAATGAGAGTTTGATCAAGCAATTTTTTTGATGGAGAGCTATTTTTTGATGGGACAAGGAAAATTAAGGAGATGATTTTGTCCTTAGTAGAGAGTCTTTTCAAGTCAATTCAACTGGCTCCTTTGAATGTTTATGATGAAACAAAAGGATTATTAATAGAAAGAAATAAGAGTTCACACCCCTCTCCTTTGTTGGGTCAGCCATGAACAACCAACAACAATCATTATTCAAAAGTATTCTTATTAATGAAAAAGAGCCCATGAGGGTGTTACGTCATACGTTCAATTTAAAACAAAAAAACAAAAATGAGCGCTTCCTCCACTCTGAAAAACCTCGGGGACAGCATCACTTCGGGAGCCTCTCAAATTGGTTCCTCCATCAGTAAAACCATGAGCTCGGTCGGCTCTCTCATGAAAACATCAAAGACCACAAACATTCCGGATAAGAAGGGTGAAATTCAGGAGCTAAAACAATTATTATCAGATCCAACAATTGATAATGACCAAACAAAAAAGAGAGAAGTACTCCAACGTGTGATTGGATTCACAACAATGGGATTAGATACCAGCAAATTGTTTGACAGAATGATCATGGGTGTAAACACAAAGGACATTGTGCAGAAGAAAATGATATATCAGTACATTACCCACTATGCCAGACAAAATGCCGATTTGGCTATTCTCGTCATTAACACTCTCGCAAGAGACTGTAGAGATGAAAGTCCAATCGTTCGTGGATTGGCATTGCGTTCCTTGAGCAGTTTGAGAATTTCTAAACTAACGGAACATCTCGTTCCACTCATCAAAGAAGGGTTGAACGACCCTAGCCCATACGTTAGACGTGCTGCTGTTGTGAGCGTATCTAAGTTGTTCAAGATTGCTCCCCAAATAGTAAAGGGTAAGTTGATGAATGAATTATTCGATCGGATGATTGTAATGGCTTATAACTATCTATATGATGTATTGCCTGATACTTGTCATTATCCTTGTAAAAATTAGTTGAAAAATTCGATGATAGAATGTATGATATGATTCAAGATAAGGACGCTCAAGTAATTGTAAACTCTATTCGTACACTGAACGAAATTGAAGAATCAGGTGTTATTGTATCTAAAAAGATGGTGTATCATCTCCTTAATAAGCTATCAGAATATACTGAATGGCAACTCACTGAGGTCGTTTCACTTTTGCTCAAATATAAACCAGAGAGTAATGACGAAATATTTGATATCATGAACTTGCTTGATGACAAATTAGAAATTTCAAATGCATCTGTGGTTATGTCTATCACAAACTTGTTCTTACATTACACTCAAAATATGCCAAAGAATCACATTAGAGTGTATTCTAGATTGAGAGATCCATTATTACTTTTATTTGCTACCTCAAGTCCTGAGCTTGCTTACACAATTTTGCAGCATTTGAAGTTCATGATGACAAGAAGTCCTCACGTATTCCAGCCATATTTCAAGGACTTTTACATCAAGTACAACGATCCTTCGTATTTGAAAGAGCTGAAACTAGAGGTTTTAACTCTTTTAGCTAATGAGAAAAATGTACAAGAGATTATGAGCGAACTGAGTTATTATGTGTCTTTGGGTGATAATACTGTTTCCACATCTAAAAAGGCTATTCGAGCTTTGGGAGAAATTGCTGTAAAAGTGACATATGCAACTGACGAATCATTGACACATCTTCTTGAATTTTTGGATACTGGTATAGTTCACATTATCAGCGAGACAACGATAGTATTGAAAGATATTTTGCGTAAATATAACGATGTTGAGTTCTGTAAGGTGTGTCTGCCTTCTATCACCAGACATTGGAGAACTATTGAAGATCCAGAAGCTCTTTCCTCATTTGTTTGGATGTTGGGAGAGTTTGGAAAAGATGCTATACTTCCAGCTGCTCCATACATCTTGGAGAATTTTATTGATAACTTTTCTACTTACCACTACAGCGTGAGAAATCAAATTTTGACTAGCGCCATGAAACTATTCTTTTTGAGAGCTCCAGAAATGGTCGCAATGTTAGGAAGACTTTTCGAAGTTGCTGTGAACGATACCTCCCATGCAGATGTACACGATAGAGCCCTGTTTTATTATCGATTGCTTTCTGCCAATGTCGATTTAGCAAAAAGCGTAGTGATGACAAAGAAGGATGTGGTAACAAAATTCGCAGAAGAGGAATCTGTAGAATTCCGTGATCGTTTGTTTTCAGAATTTAACACCCTTTCCATCATTTATGGAAAACCAAGTGAAAGATTTATTGTCAAAGATGTTGAAGTGCTTGGACAAGCAATTGATGATGAAGATAGTGATGATGAAGGTGAACTACATCATGAAGAAGCGGTTGGGGAAGAGGAAGTTGAAGAAGAGGAAGAAGAAGAAGAAATGAAAAAGGCAAACGAAGAAAGATTGCTGGATGATGATCTAGATTACGAAGACACAAATAATGTTCCAATTGTTATGCCACCTGCTTTGACACCTGCAGAGTACCAGCAAAAGTGGAAGTCTTCTGACTTTGTGAATTCGGCAAGACCCTATTCTTTCTCTTTCAATGAAGGACGACCAAGTGCCGCAGAAATCGAAGAAAAGTTAAGAGAGAACAATATTTTGACAATGGCAAGTAACGTGAAGAATGAGCCACACATGTTCTATTTCTATACTCAAACATCAGACTTACACTACATTTTAATTGAATGCAAGATGTTTCAGGATGGCAAGGTAGCTGCAACATTCAGATCAAGTGACGCCTCCAAATTACAGCAATTCGCAGTTGACTTTGAATTTATTGTTTCTGAGATTCAAGTGTAATTTACGAAAATAATTAAACTGTATTTACAAGATAACAGGGTCATTCTACATCTTTTGTGATTTTCTTTGTAAAACTTCCTTTTCATTTGCTGCTGTTTGTACGTTGAATGATTCACCACATCCACAGGTACCAATTGCATTTGGATTATTGAAAACAAACTTGGCGAAAACCTCGTTTTCTTCGTAATCCATTACTGTTCCTATTACATTCATTACTGCACTTGGCTGAATGACTAATCGTACACCCTTGTCTTCCACTATTTCAGCAAGTTTGGGTATTTCAGTTTCCTGTGTGATATAGTCGAATGTCCATGATAATCCATTACAGCCTCTCTTTTTTAATCCAATCAAAATACCAAGAGCACCAGGTCGTTTCGACATTAAGTATTTTAATCTATCTGCAGCCCTATCAGTAAGAGTCATAACTTGTTTAGGCTTGGTTTGTTTTCTACTCTTTTTAGCAGGAGTAGAACTGTTACTAGATGACTTGTTATCGGTCAAAACTTGTGGTGGCACTGCCGATGACAAAGTTGAAGCGTGTGCACTTTGATTCATCATTTCAGATACAAAATTAACGCTGTAACTCCGCCTCCAACCCTGTTCAGTTTTTACATCACTCCGATGATTTGAAATTTGATTTCTACAAGAATTAGTATGATTTAAAATTTGGATAGGAATTGAACGCAGCGTGGTTGTGAAGAGATGGTTACCACATGCTGAACTGCATACGCCGGCGGATGCTAGGAAGGTTTTGAGCATTTTTTTTGGGATTTGTATTTTGAATGAGCCTAAATTTGGGATGAGGTGAGTGGAGAAAGAATCTCAAGTACAAATGGGAGCACAAATGGCACAATTTCGCGCGTTTTGATCGTGCTTTAAGAATTATCTGATTCCTTTATTAATAGTTATTAAATATTACCAAACAGAGAGTGCACTTTTGCTTCATTTGTTGATTGGCTGATAGCCAAGTACTAGTTTTTAGAATATTCGTTTGACCTTGGGATGGTTTGTTCTCTTTTTAATTTTACCTCATCAGAAGGTCACCAAAAACGGTGTGAATCATTTCTGTTGGCTGCCAAACATCATGTTTTTTGGTTCATTTGGTTTACACATGCATTCGGCAGTAATCGTTTGTAAAGATTGCGTGTTTAGGACCACCTTATAAGTTTCAAAACCCAAGTTTCACGAAACAAAAAAATGGATCCTTCTCTTCTCTCGAAACAAAATCCTGTTCCTTTCTCATTGAGTGTGAAGGGCTTTGTTGGAAAGTTTTATATGGAGTCGCCCTTTCTGACCATGTATAACAACAATTACAACAATACTCAAATACCATTCGGAACTACATTGGATTCATCGACCATTCCGCAACAACAACCCCAAGAAATTTATTCTCAACCCAACAATATGCAATTATCATCACTTCAACCACCCATGAATTCCGAAATGGTTCCTCCCGTGCATAATAACATGACGAATATTAATAACAATAATTTTGCACAGTCCTCGGAAGGTGGATCTGATATGGGAAATAATTTTGGAGATCCATCAAATACCATTCCCTATGACAACAACTTTATGAATAACAATAACTTTATGAGTAATGACCTGAGCACTACTTATATGCCTTCATGGAATTATAACCCCTATGATCCAACGAATTACATGATGAACAGTAACATGATGTATGAACAAATGATGATGGAACAACAACTCGCTTTTAATAATTATATGGATGAGATAAAATTGAAGGCCTCTATTGCAAAAGATAAGAACGATGAAGCAACGTTTATTTCTTATGCATGCTATGGAGAATGTATAAAATCATATAATTTAAATCTAGTGAACGAAATAGAAAAACAATTACATCCATCATTGGAATACAAACACTTGTCACATGGAGAAATTGATTGTATCAAAGATTGTGTTTCCAAACAAAAGAAATTGGTTTCGCACGTGCTTAAACGAATCTATGCCAAGATGGCACCAAATACAAATTAATTCTGCCACTATTTATTGAGTACTCATATTATTTAGCTTCGGATGCATTCGCTTGTTGATTGTTGCTAAGGGAATCAATGAGTTGGAAATAATGAGACCGTTTTGGATGTTGTTGAATGGTGAGCCATTCCTTAAATGTTTCTCTTAGATTTTGGTTTTGCAAAACAGTCATCAACGCCTGTTCACTTTTTTCTCCTAGATCTGCAAGCAACTCGGATACCTTCTTAACAGGGAATAAATTAAGTTTTTCAGAGAGACATTTTGACATTCCTATCAAAATATTCCTGCTCTCGTATGCCTTTCTATTAATGAGAGTTGTGAAAATAAATTTGATGATAAATTGAGACAAATCGTTGTGCAAGTTTAGAGACTGAATAACTGTTCTCATAATTAGCTTTGGAAGAATTGGCATGTCAGCAAGCTGTTGCAAGGCAGTCATCAGAATATGCTTTGTGAATTGCTTCTTTCCATCACCATTCAAGCACAGATCCAACAAAGTTCTAGCATTACTGAAAGCCAATGATTGAGTTTCATTATTGGCGTCAATTTCATGTAAAACGACTAGAATTTCGTCTGGAGTTACCTTGTCTGTCTTTTCTCCCTTTGGGTTGGCGTTGAGTAAATCCAACACACATTTCTTCAAGAGTTCAATATCATTGATTGATTTCACTACAGCCGGTAAAGCCTCTTTAACTTGCTCCTTGGAAAGTGAAAGCATAATTGGTAATACTAATCTGGGATCCTTAATATTTCTATCAAAGAAGGTATGTATCAATACTTTACAAAGAGCTTCATCGATACCTTGAGCTTGAAGAGATAATTGCTGAATAATCTTGATGCTGATATCTAGACAGTATTTCTCATCAAAATCATTCAGATATTCAATGACAGTTGGTCGATTTGAGCTTAGTTTTACTGTGCTCAAAATATCCTTCTCTAAAAGATTAAGAACAGCATCATGATGAGGTCCTTCTAGCTTTTTAAATTCGACATAAACATCTCCAATTAATTGTTTAAACATGGACTCACAATAACTAGTGCTCAAAGAAAGGTACAGTGAGCTATATTTCTTGATTGTGTCTTGGTTGATATTATCACCATCTTCCATTTCTTGATCTTCATCAACCATTTCTTCGGTTTTTGTTTCTTCTTTGACCAGCAGGTTCTTCAAGTTCTTGATGTTGTTATAGGCAAATGTGTTAATCTCTGTTTCGAAAAGTTTATAGAACACTCTATCACGCAAAATTTGGATGGCAGCAGTTCTAATTTTTGAGTTTTCATGAACTGAATAATTCAACAGTAAATCCAAACATTTTTGTTTCAAAGGTTGTCTGTATATGGCGACATCTCTGAGAGCCATAAGGCCATAGCTAATATAGTTATCAGTTTCACATAGATCTTTGCACAAATACTCTACGGCTTGTCCAGTAATGTGTGGACATTGCACCACAAGTTTTGATAATGTTGATTCACTTTTTTCGATATGTCGCAACATATGATGGAATAGTCTAGTATATCGATTATCAGATTCCACACCTTCTTCGGTTTTCACGTTGTATCCCGAATAGATTACATTCTTATATTCCATGTAGAGCCACATGATGAGGAGTCCAAATCTACCCTTGGTGTCTTCTTTTATGAACTTGAGTAGTTGTTGGTATTGCTCGGCTGATTCCTCACTCTTAGAAGCCATCATACAAATTAACTTAACACGGTAGTGATCTTTACCCTCTCTTTTCATACTCTTTTCACTTAATAACATCTTGTTCCAATTAAATTGTTTCAATTGTGACTTAACATTATCGTCAATGATTGATAATTTAAGTTTAAATTGTTTGGAAAGATTCTCTTTCATTTCTTCTTCAACCACTGGTTCTACTAATTTATCTTGGACAGCTTCTGTTGGTTTGAAAGTATCCACTTCCTCATCAGAATCTTCGGCAGTAGTTGCTGCTTTGATGGGTACTTTCTTTTCTGTGCTAAATGCTTTACTCTTATCTGGTACGTAAGTGCTTTGCAATTGTTGGCGAGGATCTCGAACTTGAGCGAGTCTTGGATCAACTTTTTGTGCTGTAGCTGGTTGCTGTATACTTTTACTGTAGGGACTTGGCCTTGCTTGTCGTCCATAGGGAGTCTGCAAGGCATATGGACTTGGTCTTGGTTGTTGGTAAGGCCCTTGAGCTTGTCCCAATAATGATACAGTGACCATACTTGAGTTAAAAGATGGTATTGGTTCGGCTAAGAATGATTGAACAGCACTCATATATTGTTGCTGTTGCTCTGAAGTGTAAGTATTTGTTCCTCGTTTGTAGTAGTGGGTAGATAAAGTGGAAAGAATCGTATTTACCAATTGACTGCTACTGTCCAATGTTCTTGGTTGGCGGTTGGCATTACTACTACCACTCATAGAAGATAAATTTTTGAGAACTTCATCTGCTAAAGCAATGTTAGTGAGAGGTCGTGGAATATAACCAATATATAATATTGATGTTGCTTCCTCTTGTTTGAGTTGACCTGAAATTTGCATTGTACTTTGATTGCTGGGTTCTACTTCTGTTTTTCTCATCTTGTTATCTCTTTCCTGAACACTAGTCTGAGCCTCATCTTGCTTTCTTTTCAGCACAGCAGTGTGCTTTTCAACAAATCGAATAATCATGTTATATATATCTTTGTTGACTCCTAAACTGATCAGACCGTTCACTACGGTGTCTCTAAAAAGTTTGGTTTCGGGCATTCTCAATAAAAACAAGACCACTGTTTTCAAAATACATTTCAATGCTGATTTTTGGCTATTAGAAATTCTGTAATTCTTTTCAATGCTGAATTTTGCATTTTGACAGAGAAATGGGATAATTACTTTCCAAAAGTCAGGTCTTTGCTTTGCAATGTTCAGCAACGATTGGATAATTACAGACATTACAGAAGCAGGTATTTCTCCTTTCGCACACTTGTGTATAATCTTGTTCAATAGCTCTACACCTTGATTTCTCATTTCTTCAACATTCAACAGACTTGCTCGTCCTTCATTGTACTTTAAAACGAAGGCTAAATCAATAGGGTAACGTTCAATTTGTTTCACTTGATAGGTATTACCTGATAGCTGTAGATATGATAAATAACTCATGATTACATCTTCTTCAACATCCGTATTCCTAAACATGCTGCTATACATTAAAATTAAATGCTCTGCAAAATGTACTGCGTGAGATTGAACGCCTTCATTGTCATCCTCTAAATATTTCAAAATTCTTTTGATTAATAAATTCATGTGGCTGTACAAAATAGTAACGTGCTTGTTTTGAGTGTCGTGATTGAGAGCAATTAATTCAATTGTTTTTCTCACCAATGCAATACAACTGGTAATAATACGTTTCAAAAGATTGGTATTTTCTGCTGAAACCAAAATAAGAGATAATGTTTCTGCGCTTGTTTTGGCATTGTCTAGAGAAATATAGGGAACATTGTTCATAACTTTTTCTATTAGTAAAGCATGGAAAAGTTGAAGTTCAAGTTTGTGCTTGTGTTGAAGTTGAAGGATTTTGGTTAAGAATTCGTTGACTAGATTACTACTCTCATCACTTCCATTTATTCAACAATTACATTAAAAATAGGGTCATCTTTGTTATTATTATTCAATACAATAAAACCCAATGCACATACCTGTCTGTATTGTTAACAAGAATATCCTCGACTTGAGACAAGTAGTGATTTAGCTTGTCTTTGTTTGTTTCCAATTTAATAAATTCAATCAATTGTAATAACTTTTGATGGTGGGATCTACTCGCAGCATGTTGAGAACTTCCTGATGATCCGAGTGATGTGGATCCGGAGATGTTGCCTCTTCTCCCTCCAACACCACCTCCTGATGATGCTCCACCGAATTTATTTCGTTGTCCAATCCCCGAAGAGGATGTCGTTTGGTTCAAAGCGAGCATTTTTTTAGATTTTATAATTTCTTTTGGGATAATGAAGAACACACGTTCAATATGTTCCAAACTTTGTGTGTGCTTCACCAAGCTATGATGATGATGTAAACAAAGGAAATAGTGTTTTCCTTCTTCCATCCTCTTTTCACCTATTATTTCAAAAAAATGGTTTTATGCTTGCTCAGCAGATTGGTGAAGGGAGTTGTCGGGTGAGTAGATGAAAGTGAGTCATCATTGTCCTGAAGAAGAAATAACACGATAACGATCATTGGAATTGCAATTTTGGGCTTCTCCATTCTTCTTCTTGAAGGACTCCTCTCAAACGAATGGAACAACAAATGAATAGAATCACCAGCGATGTTCTATTTCCTCTTCAAAATACAAATCCAGTACGAGGAGATAAACAATATGCCGATCTTCATCATCATTCATGGTATGGAGAAATGGTTGAGGCCAACAAAAAGATTGAAGAAATTCTCCTCAAAAAGAAGCATCAACAAACAAATTCGGAAACATGTTGAAGGTTTAGTGTTGATTGATATATTATGAGGGTTTGTTTTTGAAAAGTGTGAGCGAATGATGGTGGTCAGTCTATGGAATACTAGTATGCGCACGGAAAGTCCATCTTGAAACTTTAACTTAATAACATTGAATTTGTCAATTTCTCAAAAAGATTCTATTGCTCTAAACTGATGAGGCTTGTTGTTGGCGTTTAAAAGCTTCTCCTTTGTAGTAATCACATAACATTTTCCAATTTCGTTTGTTTGCTTTGAAGAAGAAATCAAAGATGTCACCTATTTTCATCATTGGGATTGGCATTAACGAAACTCAGTTCATACAAGGAGGACAATATAAACTTACCAATCAAAGGAATGCAACCTATTACAAAATCCAGTGTGATGTTTGAAATCATTCTGCATAGTGTGAACTTTGGAATGCCATGTCTCCATATCATCACCAGAATCAACACAGAAATGAGGAAGGAAATGGCGTCTCCTCTATCATCCAAGAAGAGAATTCATTTGAATATTTCCAAGTAGTCACAAACTCGTAAGGTCTTACAATAATTTTCAACGCCGTCACACTTACACACCAGGAACAAGGCCTATTAGAGGATCGAATCCGAACGAATGTCGTTTGTTAATTATTGGTATGGTGATATGAAAACAACTATCCAAGTAATACGATAAATGTTCCACAAAGAGTAATTCTTTGGGAACATACATTTCAGCTTGAGAGTCGTCCATTCTTTGTTTTTGAAGAGAGTGCAAACCAGCCAAGTTGAAGTCTTTTGCATGCAAACAAATTTGGAAAAATCTCATAAAAATACTGAATTCAATTTAAGGTCCTTGCTTCAGCAGTCAGTTGAGGATCCAAGTCATCTTTGCAAACCTTTTTCCTCAACTGACTGCTGAATTGGATTTGGCAACCATAAGGTTTGCAAAGATGACTTGCACTGGGAGGAAAGAGCAGCAAGAGAGGTCTTGTGCAACATTGCTTGCGATCTAACCATCGGTTGTCCTCACCGATGAATTGAAAGAACACCCGAGTGCTAAAATTGGAATAACAACAGCAAAAAAAATGTGCATTCTTGGCCTTGTGCAAAGTCGTCATCCCTATTTCCTATTCATTCTGGTTGGTTTGTAGGACCAATTAAAAAAAAGAATTAATGAGAAATGGTGATATTTTATCATATTTTATTATCTTATTGAATACAATCAATTAAAATTATATTACAAATTATTAATTTATTATTAAAACAGACAACAGAGATGAAAATCCCTCTCGCTCCACAGGCAATATTGGTTGCAGAATAGATGCAGAAACTGGTTATAGAATTATTTCAGCTGTTGACAATAAGGAAGGAGGCACTTGGATGGGATTCAACGCAGACACAAAAAACTATGTTGTGCTCACCAATGTGTTTGGTCCTCAATGTATTCCATCCTTACAAATGTTAGATCAAGAAACAACTGAAAGTAACGGAACGTCAACTTCTCCAATCGTCATTTCGAGGGGTGTGATCGTGAGTGGAATTTTGAACTTTTCTAAAAAATTGACGACCATGCAAGATGTGAGCGAATTACAACATCAAGTATTGAATCAATATTTTGGAGAAGGGAAATATATGAGGGGATTTAATATTATAATGGGTAATTTGAGTGAAATTTCAGAAAAATCAAAAATGTTTTACATGACCAATAGAGACGAAAATGCTCTAGATACTTTTCAAAACCATTACATGATTAGAGAATTAGAACATGATCAAATTCATATTGTATCCAATTCATATTTAAACGATTCAACAAATGAGCTTTACAAGAAATACAAGATTGATTTATTACGCAATTTATTGGATGAGACAATGAAAAAAACTCAACACGTTACAAATGCATGTGAAATGAGAAACGAGTTGGAGAAATGTATCACCAATCGATTATCTGATTTCTACGACGGTTGTATTGTCAGGAATACTTTGGAACAAGCAGATTCAATGGATTTTAAAAAGAATCCTGAATTATTGAAATATATTCCGCCACATTGGATGGCCGAAGAGCAAACTGTAGAACACTTTAGATTGCGTTACGATTCCCATTTCAACATCTTTGTGAATAGGACCTACTTTAAAACAAGATCTCAAAGTATTATTTTGGTTGATGTGTTGGGTAAAGTGCATTACTTTTACAGAGACACAGATTTATTGTTTCTCTCTGAACATGGCGAGAGGAAAGAGCTTGCCACACCTTTGAACCGTCATGAGGAGTTGGTTTCTGAAAATAATGAGATGATGATGCATGAACGATCAAAAGCAGAAATTGAAGACATTCAAAAACAAAGATCTGTCGAAGTGTCAAGTCGACGTTTAACTTGGGAACACATTTGTATCGAGTAACGCGTGTTAAGAGTGTGTGATTATGACAAGAAACTCTTTCCTCGCACCTCCAATGAAGCCTCTGCATTGACAAACCTTATTATTATTATTGTATTGTATTTTCAATAATATATTCAATCAAAAATTATTTCAGGCAAGAACCCTGTCCGCGTTCATCATCGTCGGTGTTATTCATGGATTCGATTAAAAATTAACTCACCTATTAAAAAAAATGAACAGCAGCAACAAACATTGGCTTCTCTTGTCATTTCTGCGCAATGTAGCGACTCGAAAGCCAGTCCAACCTTTGCCATCATCCAAGTTTGCTCCAAATCTCATGGGCAATTGGGTCATACTCGAAGATCAAAGAACTCAACAACTACGTGAACTCCATTACAATATGATTTGTAAATCTAATTTATCATCCACAACAACATCGGATCAAGTCAAACATGTTGTACAACCTCCTACAGGTAAGCCTCCTTCAGGTACACCTGTCTCAGGCGAAAATACGGACTCGAATCAAAATGTATCAGCAACAGAGTCTTTAGACATTAGATCTACCGAAGAAGACATGAAACCATTATTTTCCAAGAAAGAAATTATGATTTTGGAAAGTGAAAAAGCAGCTCTTGGCCATTTATTGAAAATCCTTGAAAGTGTTGAAGGAACTGAAGAGGATATTGATTTGTTGAGAAAGAGTATTTCACAATTAGAGGAACATTTCTTGATGGTAGTTGTTGGAGAATTTAATGCAGGAAAGAGTTCATTCATTAATGCAATGCTTGGAGATCGATATTTGAGAGAGGGCATAACACCAACCACTGCTCACCTTCACTTGATCAAGTATGGCGGAGATTCACTCCAAAAATTCGATGAAAGACATCAAGTTGTAAATATGGAACTTCCATTAAAATGGTTGAAAGGAATCAGCGTTGTTGATACTCCAGGAACGAATGCCATAATTAAGGAACATCAAACGATTACAGAAACATTTGTGCCACGAGCTGATCTCATTATATTTTTAACAAGCGCTGAAAGGCCCTTCTCTGAAAGCGAACACACATTCCTTGAAATGATAAGACGATGGGGAAAAAAGGTTGTCGTTTGTATTAACAAGTATGATCTACTTCAAAATGATAGAGAACGTGAAGAGGTTGAAGTTTTTGTTCGTGATGGAATTATTCGTTTATTGGGCTTTGAACCAAAGATGTTCTGTGTTAGTTCAAGAAGTGCCATGGATTTCAAACAAGGTTCTAGAATTTCTTCCTTCTTAGCTCCAGAAGAGAGAGAAATTGCCGAAAAACAACAGAAGACTAAACTTGTCGAAAATTGGCTAGACTTGGAAAAGTATATTTTACAAACCTTAAATTCAATTGAACGTGCAAAACTAAAGTTCCTTTCTCCATTAGGCGTTGCTAATAATTTGGCTGATAAGTATTTAAATTCAGTGATTGAAGAGAGACTTAAAGTGTTGAAAGAAGACAAAAAAACAATGGACATTATTGAAGAGCAACTGCAAGTGTTCTACAATGACATGAAACAAGATTTTGAGCTTCAACAATCAAAATTGGAAAATATTTTCCATGAGCTCGTTGAACGTGGTACATGTTTTTATGACAATTTTATCAATTTATCAAATGTATCGAGCTTGATAAATTCAAAGATTGTGGCTGAGGAATTTCAGAGTCAAGTAATTGCTAACACAGCCACCCAAATCGAAAACCACGTCTCTGAGGTAATTGATTGGATTATTGACCGAAAATATAGACAGTGGAAAGCAGTAACAGACTTTGCAAACAAAAGAGCAAGAATTTCTCTTCATGAGGATAAGCTTGTTGGATCTCTTTCCAGTGAATTCCAATTCAATAGAAAGGAACTCTTACTCAAGATTGGTTCCACAGCAGAAAATGCTGTACGCAATTACGATAGAGAACACAACGACACTGACAAACTGTTTGCTGAAATAACAAGTAGTCTCAAGACATGTGCTGCTGTGGAAGTTAGTGCCATCACACTTGGTGTTTCTTCTGCTTTATTAATGCCAACAGCAGCAATGGCTGGTGCTGGAATTCTGGGTGCAGTTGTTATGGGCGCTGGTGGTTTGTATGCCCTTCCTTATAAGAGAACAACATTAAGAAAGAACTTTATCTCGGAAGTGAACAAGTTAAGAGATACTTTAAAGCACAGAATGAGAGAAGAATTTGAAAGAGAGTTGTTGGACAGCATTGACAGTATCAAGAATTCCATCACACCTTATTCACGTTTTGTTAAAGCTGAACATGAAAAGTTTTCAACTCAAAAGGAACATTTAATTGAACTCCAAAAGCTTCTCAATCAAATCAGAAGGGAAATTGAGAATTTACAAGAAACAGACTTGACAAAGAAATAATAATAATAATAATCAAAATGATTGGGTTGTTTTGTTCATCCTCATTATTTAGACACTCTCTCCCAATTTGGTAAATGTTCTCGTAAAACCAATTATCTTTATTCGAAAACTGCTTTTGATGCACAATCACCGGACCTGTTCTGGTGTTTAACGGTCAAAAGTAACTGAGTGAAAAACCAATGGTTCGTTTCATGAAGCAACAAACAAGTTCACCAAGAGTATCTAGATCCTGCCAAAAGGCAAAGATACAAAAAATGAGTGCAGTGTTGGACGTCGATGCTCTCGATTCGAATCAGGTTGGTAGTTGGTTGGGTGCTGAGTATGTTGACCTAAAATTCATGAATTACGATGATAACTTGGTGTTATTGATATGTGTGGTGTTTGTGTACATTCATTGCCTTTGTATACCATAATGATCGTGGTATCGGGATGATAATGAACTACAATAATGTTCTCTCCCGATAAAAGTTGGTAGGTTTGGTGATGGCCTTGAATTCTTCTAACTCTAAATATCCCAACAATCATAATGTATATAATGATAAACATTGTATATTATGTTATTGATGATGAATAATTTTTCATTTAGACTCCTCTTTACTGTGCAGCCTATAATGGCGATCTCGATAGAGTAAAAGCTCTCATCAAGAAAGGAGCGGATATTGAAAAACTTGTTGGACAAGGTCAATGGTGGTCTGCACTGCAAGCAGCCATCACACAAAAACATCTAAACGTGATCAAATATTTAATCAAAAGAGGAGCAAATTTGAAGACATCTCTTTTCGGAAAGACTCCTTTCGATTGGGCTAATGAAAAAGGTATAAATCTGGAAGAAATTATAAAACAGTGCAAAACTGAAATGGTAGATAAATTTATCTATCTAGTAAGACTGGATAAGTTTGAGGAGGCCAAGAAAGTCCTTGAAAAATCAAAAAAGACATACTTTGGAAATATCATCGATCAACTAGGTTCTCAACAAATGACTGCAATGTATTGTGTTGCATTTGACAATAAGAGTGAAGCCATTAAATGGCTGGTTGCGCAAGGTGCAAACCCTTCACATCCAATATCACAAGGCTACACACCACTGTTTGTTGCCGTATCTCAAAAGAAGGACGCTGCAATTAGAGCCCTTTTAGACTGCGGAGCAGACACTTCACAAACAATTCAAAATCTCACTATTTTCCAACTTGCAGCTCGTGTGGGCGTTGATTTGGTTGCAATTTTGAAGGAGGTTTCTACAATTTATAATGCTCTTGTAGATGAGTTTGTATTGTGTGTGAGAAAGTGTAATTTCCAGAGAGCAGGGGAAATACTGCAAAGAAGAAAGGACATTATTGACGCCAATGCTTCCAACAACTTCAATGCATTATATTGTGCTGTTTGTGATCAAAACCTACCTGCAGTCAACTGGCTTATTGAAAAAGGTGTTAACGTTAATAAGGCATGTGTTGATGGAATTACAGCATGTGCTCTTGCGGTCACACAGAAAATGCAACCGATTATTGAATTATTAATAGAACACAAAGCTGATCTTACTATCAAAGATGTAGATGGATTTGATTGTTATGCTAGAGCTCAATACGTGTCAGTAGATTTGAAAGCCATTTCTGAGAGAGTGAAACTTAAGAAACAACATATTGTCCATGACTTTGTTGTAGCTGTTAGAAAAAATAGCTATTCCATAGCAGAAGAAATTTTAAGGAAGCATCCATGGGTCATTGATGAATGTGACAACAATCAACTGACAGCACTCTATTGCTGCGTTTGTGACGGCAACATTACTGGTATTGAATGGTTATTACAACATGGTGCCAACATTGAAAAGACTGTGATTCAAAATATCACTCCTCTTCATGCTGCAGTATCAAAGAAACAACCAGCAGTAGTTAAGGCATTGCTCAAACGAGGAGCAAATCCCACTATTAGGGATGGATCTGGTTTTGATGCATTTGGACGAGCTAAGGTATGTTTTTATTTGACTTAAAATTAATTTGTATATTACTATAATCATCTATAGTATGAAGGATTTGATCTCGATTCGCTCGTGAAAGAATGTAAGACAGCGCCTCATTTAATTGCTCCTGCTGTTTCCGACATGCCTCACCAAACAAACTCTCCAAACACAGCCACTTCAAGCAATCAATCAACTCTCCAAACACAGCCAATGATCACACAACCCAATCAAAGTATTTCACAAGACTCTGTTTCAATTAGAGGAACCTCTACTATTCAAACACAACCCACAATCACACAACCAAATCAAAGCGTTTCTCCACATGAAGTTTCGATCAGAGCTGGCTCCAATACTGTAACTGTTGATCCGAATGCTTTCAATTCTATCAAGGCAGGAAATACCTTGCCACCTCAACAACATTCTCTGGAGTCCAACCCAGTACAGTATAGCTCCTTCTCTTCTGGAAGCTCTGGAGGTGGAGATTCCTCGTTTGTAATGACTAATACTATGGTTCGATCGATTGACCGTTCTGCTGTATCTGACTTTCCAACAGATGAAATTTCAATGTACAATAGTAGGAAATCAAGCAGTGTATCTTCTTCTAACTCTACACTATCATCGTTTGGAAAGACAAAAACTATTGAAGAGTTGATGCAAGAAAAATACATGAATATTTCATTAATAGGTAAGTAGTAGTTCTGTACTTAGACTTTATGAGAGCTTTCATCATTGAAATTGCATAGGTCGTGGAGGATTTGGTGCCGTGTTCAAATGTGACAAGATTATAAAGAACAGAAAAAATGCACCAGCCCAAACGAGAGCAGTGAAACTAATCGAGTTTGTTAGTACCGAAGATTTGAATCGTTCCCTTAGAGAAGCGTTTAGACTTTGCGGACTTCAACACGACAATGTTTTAAAAGTTCATGACGCTTATGTCCTCCAAATGGGTTCTGCAGGAAGCCTAAGTGAAAAGAATACCATGTGCATCGAAATGGAGTTTATTCCATGCGGAGACTTGGCTGAAAAGTTTTTAAAGAAGAAAGTATGCCTTTCTAATGACCTCATTAAGCATTGTCTCAGGTGTATGTGTGACGCTTTGGTATATTTATATGAAGAAAAGCAAATGGTTCACAGAGATATCAAACCACACAATATCATGATCCGATCCATGGATTTAGAACAAGGAAAGCTTGACGTTGTGTTGGGTGACTTTGGTCTTGCGAAATCTGTTGGTGATTCTGCAAGTAGCGCCTCCTTTGCCGGAACACTTCAATACATGAGCCCTGAATTGTTCATGATGCAGCAAGGAATGTCAGAAGAACATGAAGAAGAAGATCAAGAGACACTCAGGAAACATGCTCATGCTTCTGACATGTTTGCTTTGGGTGTGACTTTCTATCAATTAATTTCTCTAGATATGGTCACCTCAGTGACTGGTCTTATTATGAAGTTTATGGGCGACGAAAAGAAACTATTTGCTGCTCTAAGAGAGAAGATTGCCAAGAATTGCTCTGACAACAGCATTAGTTACGACGACAAATTGATTGATTTGATTTTTGAAATGCTAAGGAGAGATCCAGACGAACGATTGACAGCCCAACAAGTATTGGACGCTTTAAACGAGTAGTATGCAGTGTTGCAATGAGTAAACCTTTCTATTATTTAAACCAATTCATTTATGTGCGCGAAAAACTAATCGCAACAAGTTTTTCGTCCGACTTATCATCTCCCTCCATCAACAAAAAACCATCCTTGGCCCCCTTGGGAATCGAACCCAAGACCTCTGTCTTACTAGGACAGCGCTACTGCCAACTGAGCTAGGAGGCCCGTTATGATTATATATTGTAAATTCTTTATATCATTTAATTATTTAAAGGATTCATAACACTCCGTACTGCTGATCTGGTTTTTGGTTTTGAGGTAAGCAAAAAATGTCAGCAAACAAGAAACCTGTGAACAATGTTGTTCGTTTACCGTTCTCTCATGATCCGAAAGGTGAATATACTCCCGATAATATTCAAAGTGCTCAAAAACCACTTGCTATGGTCAATAATTTATACACCGACAGAAGTGGTCATATGGTAAGTGTCTTGACATATTTATGATGATGGTAACAATACAACAATGTGTTCACAGAGTTGTGGAGTGTGGAGCTGTACTCGCGGAAAGTGGTGGTTTGATCAAGGCGATAATGCTGAAGAGTTTTGCGTATTAATTAGCGGAAAAGTTAGAATGGTTGCGGATGGAATTGATGAATTGGACGGGGGTGTTCAAGAATTCCAAGCCGGAGACGCATTCATCATTCCTGTTGGTTTCCGAGGAACTTGGGAAACAGTGGAAGACGTGAAAAAGTTTTATTGTGTTTTTGAAAAACAAGTGGCAAACTCCAGCGTGCAACCACACCCAACAAGTAACAATACAGAACAAAATCAACACGACAGCAAACTCTAAAAAAAAGTTCAATTTTTTTATTGCAATAAAATCACCTTAATTGATAGCTCTATAGGATTGCAATGATCGAGTTGATTCACTGTCAGAATGATGTTCACCACTGGCATAAGATTTGTAGGATCTTCCTCGTAATGGTCGTTTCATAATCTCTTCATCATGGTCGTATGTGTCCTCTTCTTCAAAGGACGGTGCTTTTCTAAAGATGGAAACAAAAAATCCAATCACAAAGCACAAAATGAAGAGCCAATTTTCAAAGTAAAAAATGATACTAAAAACTGGAATACCCACACTCATACTGTTCACATTTTGAGATAATTCAGACATGAAACATGGTCTTGTAGAATTGGTAAAATTACCAGAAGTGTCATTCTCAATTGTGAATAATAATCTGTAATCTTGTAATAGTGAAGGAAGCGCTTTAGATTGATGATCCAACACTTGATCCTTCTCGACAACACTCCATAAGGTTGCATTCTTATGAATATTTGTGTTATTAAAGGCTGCAAGAGCACACTGTTTCCATTCTCTTGTTATTGGATCTTGATATTTTTGTGATCCAAAAGTTGTGTAAATTGGAGCAAAACTTGGTAACATGAATGAGGTGCAAAGCATAATGAACATGAGGAAGATACAACTGGTTAAGAGACCTTGAGGAAGAGTCGATCTCAATTTCAGTTTGTATAGTTTGATACAAAGTATTCGAAGTCCAATGGTAGAGAGTGCAGTCATACTTGCCAATAAAAAGAGAATAATAATTAAACCTAAAATAATGTAATCAATTGGAAAGATGATCGAGCTATAGGTTAATAATAAATCGAGAGGATTGAAATTGCAATTCTCTTCAGTAACAAATCCACAAGCAATTCCGCACTTGCTTTTCACTGTTCGATAGATTAAATTAATGATTAAGGAAACCATTATAAAGAGTACAACCTAAATGAACAATGTTAAAAGTTAGTGATGAATATTGAAGAGATTGCATGATGAATATTGAAAAATCATCACCATCGATCGCATCACAGATTGCTCTGCTACTATTTGTTACTTACAACCAATAAAATAAATCCAATCAATGCCTTAAATGGATAAATACATGGCTCGATTTTTGCAATAAAACTCTTCTTGGATCTCTCAATTCTAATGGATGCATTAGTGAGTTCTGTTTTCTCTTCTCTCAATTGATCATATATCTTTTGATCCGTTCGATTCATTGATGTTCCTTTCATTTTATACTTTTTTTGAAGTAAATCGATTTTTTCATCGATTTCATCGATTCTCGAATGTACAGAAGCTTCATCTCTGTAGGTAATGTGTTTTCTCTTCATAAATCCTATGGGAAGAGCTGAAAGTCCATAAGCAGTGTAAATATTAAATCCAATACATCCAACCACTGCCAGACAACCAATGATGAATCTTATAGCACGATCACCAAAATGTTCAACATCAATTAATTGTTTTAACCAGTCTGTGATATCATGTTTATCATCCACTCTTCCACTCACTGCTGATAATACTAGACCAAGTATAATTATTAAAATACCAGCAACTAGGGTAAATATAGTATATTTCATTGTGTGGAATAATCGCCAACCACATTGATTTCTACTAATTGATGCTTTTGATGGTGTGAGAGAATATTTGTAATCAGTATCTTCCTCATCATCATCACTCTCTCCAAGTCTTGGATTCTCTTCATACCAAAAATAAGCAAAAGGTATGATTATGGATCCGAATATTAAAAGAACTAGATAACATGAATAATAAATGATCTTAATAGCTAGAGAATTTTCTCTAGGATCAAACGTGTGTGACACATTGAAAATGTCGACTGGAATAACAAATAAACAAAAAGCAATTATAGAAACTCCAAATATAGAAATAATCATATAAATCAATCCTCTCTCTTTTTTTGAAGCAAATAAACAAATAGCAATGGTAGAAATGATAAATATAATGAAGAACAGTGAGCCGCACAAAACCCATGGAATCCATATTGGATAGTCATAACTAGGATCCTCCGAGTTATTATTTGAATTATTATTTGATGGGGATGGGTCGTTGTATTGTGCTATTCGGAGATTTGGAAAAAGCAGATGATGATCGGAGAGGTGAGTGAGAGGAGAATTTTCAGGGTTAGAGTAGTGATGATGGTTAGCAGTAGTAGTGGTAGTGATGGTGGTTGCTTGTAGTGGTGAGAGTAGAATGGTCAGTACTGATGAGAGAATAATAAAAAACAACAGCATATATTTCCTTTCGGTTCTTCTTGTTGAGGAAAGGAATTTGAGGCTTTGAACTCTTGGGTTCATCTTTTTCATTTTTTTATCAACCATGATGAATTTGTAAAACAATTTGTTGGTCATTCGAATAAAGAGTTTATGAATTAAAACAAATCCAGTTGGCTTGCCGTTTCCACAACAGATCCATCATTTAGTCTTTTAGTGTTTGATCGTGTTTCGGTGGAATTGCAGGTAGAGAAAAATCACTTTATATTTTGCGGGGTGGTGCTTCTCTCTTGTTGTCATGAATCTTCACAACGTTCGGTGAAAAAAAATGTTCGCTTCATCATCAACCTCGTGTTGTGGTGGATTGTCTTGCGTTGTTTATGGTTTGGGTGTGATTCTTGGATTGATCATTCTCAAGAGAGTTGTTTCATTTATTTATGCTCACTTCCTCTACAAGAACTCTACCAACTATAAGAACAAATGGGTTCTCATTACTGGTGCTACCTCTGGTATCGGTGAAGGCTTTGCTCATGAATTTAGTAAACGCGGAGCAAACATCATCATGGCAGTCAGAAGCCAAAACAAGGCTGATTTATTGAAGCAAGCTCTTGAATCCAAATACAAGAACCAAGTTGAAATTGTTATTATTGATTTTGAGACAGCATCGCGTGATGATATCAAACAAGCCTTGACCACTGCCATCGGAACCCAAAGACAAATTGATGTCTTGGTCAACAATGTTGGTGTCAATAATACAGACAACTGCCCATTCCCATTCTTGGAACAACCTGAAAGTGATTTTGATCGACTCATTAAGGTCAATATTCATTCTGTTGTGAGCGTTACTCGAGCAGTGCTTCCATCCATGACTCCTAACGGTACTATTTTAAATCTTTCCAGTTACACTGCCAAATTCCCAACTCCATTGATGGCTGTCTATGCCGCTACTAAATCATTCATTAATGCTTTCAGTCTCGCTCTCAAGTATGAATGTCCAAAGATGAGAGTCTATGGCCTTTCTCCTATGTGGGTGAAATCCGAGATGACCATGATTAAGAAGGCTTCTCTCTTGATGCCAGAAGCAATTACTTATGCTAAACAAACAGTGGACAAGATTGGATGTCCAATTGGTATTGAATATGGCTTGACTTCAACTTACTGGCCTCATGACTTGGTTGTTTCCTTGATTTCACTTGCTCCTGAAAGCCTGGTCATGAGTCAAATGAAGAAATTCCTTTCTAGTCTCATGAAGCGTTTGCAAGCAAAGAAGAATGCCAAGAAGGATTAACTTTTAATTTATTATTAAACAATCCATCATCATAATTATAAACCAAATTATTTGCATTTCATTCTGGGATTGGTCGTAGGCAACAGATTGTTCAGCCTTTCCTTCTATTGGACTAGTTATTGGACAACTTCTAGGCTCGTTGAGAAAAAATTTGTATTACCCAAATGCAGAATATAAAAGTGCAGAATCTGAGGAGACTGAACAATCCGTGTTTGACATGTTTGACACTAAGGGAATATTAAATGTCACTCACTCATCGAATGGAAAATTGATTCAACAAATTGTGGACATGTGGGATCATGAACCAATCTTGAAAAAGGTCTATACGCTAAGAACAAAATTGTACATCTCCTTAGAGAGAAATTTAAGAACATTTTATCTCAAGAGACAGTTTCATTAAAGGTTGAGCATGATGAACCAGAGAGAAGGACAAATAGTGATGAAATGATTGATTCTTCTGGCAACCATTCCTCTTGTATTTTTCCTTTAGAATGCACTCCTAAAATCAAAAACATTAATGAAATTCATATAGGAAACAATGGATGGATAAGTATATGTACAGACGAGGCTATTCATCAGAAGGAGTTTAAAGCATTTCACCTTGATAAGAAATTCGATAGAAAAGATTTAGGATTGCAAAAGAAAAATTTATCCAACGGAAAATTCTTAACGACTGTTAGGGGTTCACAATTGATGGTAAGCATGATTTTTTGTTAATGTTGGTGCAAATGACAAAATGGTGCAACAAAGGTTGTAGATTCTCACATTCCACGACTATCCACTTTGTATCTTGACGGATCGAGACCTAGGCTGAGATCTATTATTGAGCTTGAAAATTTTGTTTTTAGTTCTATTCATTCGTTTTGCTTCTCAACTAATGATGAAAACATTTGCTACATATCAAGCGATCAGTAAGTATCAGTCGTAAAAAGGATCTCACAGCATAAAAGCACAATCTATAATTTAAATTTACAGTGGAGTCATTTCATCGTTCAAAATTGAAAACAAGTCGGCAACTATGGTTGACCAAAAACAATTTCCAACCACGATCAAAAAATTGCAAGCTGTAAATATTGACTCGTCCAAGGAGGCTCTGTTTCTCGTTGGTGAACATCATATCGATTATATTATGATCGAGGTCCAGAGCGGATTGCATCCATTATTTGTGGGAAAACCTAAACCAGTAATATGTAATCTATTGAATACCAACCAATATTGGCTAAGCTCGGCACAGTGTATTACTATAACATGTTCAAATCATCGAGCTCTCATCAAAGAAAAACATACCTTCATTGTTTTAGACTTGACACAAGACATCATCACCCACATTTACAAAACGCCAAGCCGTGACCAAACCATTACATATCTTACCTTACTCAAAAACGGCATTGTTGTGTTTGGTGAATATGATGCAACTTCCCAGCTGACCAAAATTTTTTTCCTAAACGAAAGGTTTGAGCCTTGCCATGTCCCTTTTGGAGTTCCTGGATATTTAAACCTTATCAAACAGCTTGATGACAATAAGTGTTTATTGCATTTTAATGATGATTCGTTGAAAGTTGTGCAAATAAATTGAGCCCAAAATCACCACTGCAAATAGAGCTCAAGTCTGCTGACGAGGAGCAACATTGGATCCTTTGCTGTCAAGTGTTCAGAACAAATTATATCATGGAATCCAATTCGTCATCATTATCTTCAAGCAGTCTTTTGCCTGCAGCTTTCGATAAATGCTGCTGCTGGTGATGGTGAGGTTTCTCTGGAGTTGATCCTAATAAAAGGCCATCATCATCTACGCCAAGTAATAGTGACGGGAATTCAAAAGATGTTTCCTCAATGTTCTGATCATACTGATGTCGCGAGTCAGCAGTAATTACTGTGGTGGATTTTGAAGGGACATCTTTTGAATTTCTATCGTTAGTGACAGAGTTGTTGGTGGTGCTTGGAGCTCCTTTTGAAAGAAGGGTGGAGAGAAATCCTCGCCTTTTGTTGGTTGTGGTGCTTGTAGCGTTGGTTGCTGTGGTAGTAGTGAGGTTTGTTTCAGTATTTGTTGTCGTGTTGGTAGTTGCACTTGTGGTCGTCGTAGTTTGGTTGTTCGAGTTAGTTGATGTTGGTAAAAGGGATTTTGACGCTCTGGTTCCAACCACCTCCATCGATTGAGTTTGTTTTGGAGGAGCTTGCTGCACTTGTGGTAATAAAGTCTTTGAGTTCAGCGCTGAAGGTTGATGTTGCTGCACTTGTAAAAGTTGTGGCATTGCAGTAGTGCTGTGTTGACCAGGGAGTTGTCTTGCAGTGTTCTCATTGTTCAACCTCTCAATCTGTTCCTTCTGATCATGGTCATCACTTGTATCTATCAACAGAGTGTCACTGTTGTTAAACTCCAATCTTCTCATGACTCCTTGTCTTTGTTCGAGATGACGTCTAAAATTACTTTCAATGGTGGTATTGGATAAGGAAGGTGTTTTTTGAATGTCTTTTTCTGCATTGTCCAACTCTTCAGAAGTAATAATGAGTGATTTCTTCTTTTTAGGTTGATAATCATTCTCCTCAGTAGGAGTTGTTGACATTGTGAATTGTGAGTTGTTTGTTGAATTCATTTCTTTCATTTGTTCTAACTTTCTCTTTGTTTGAAGTGAGGTTCTTCTCATCACTTTTGAATGACAAGTATCTTCCAAATCATTCATGGTGGTGTCATCTTCTTGAAAATTAAAGACATTCTCTTCGTTGTCATCATCATCATCAATGAGTAATTCTCTTGTCCGAGTGTACTGAGGATCATCCTCAGTGGTAGTATCTACTAATTGTTGTTTTTGTAAGCTATTTCTATCACCATCATGAATACCAGAATCATTATTTCCAACATCATCACCTCCATCACTTAAACGCTTAGATGAATGTCTTTTTCTCGTCGTTGTTGTTGATGATGGTACATTTGGTAATTCCTGTTGAATTCCCAACTTGTACAATACCAATTGAATATAATTCGAATAATCCTCATCTGGATCCAATGGAAAATTAGAATGCAATACAGATTCCACATTCAATAGAGAAGAAGTATTCGATGAAATATCCACAGTCAAAACAGACATGATTGCATCTTGAAGAGTCACTTCATGACGACACATGAGACGTGCATGTGCTTGTGCGAGTCGAACTAAACTCTCCAATAAACGAATGGTCGTACGTGCTGCCACTCTTCGATCTGCTCTTCTTTGCAATCGATAATATTCTGTTAAAATACGTCCACTTTCAGGTGTCAATTGGGGATGATATTCTGATTTGACAAATGAAATGTATGCTCTCAATTTATCAAAAGACCACAATTGAGAATCTTCTTCTTCCATTTCTTGTTCATTTAAAATAAAAGAACTCACTCGATAATCCCATTCTTCATCTTGTGTATCCAATAATACGAGTACAATATCAAAACGAGAGAGTAATGGACTTGCCAATGCACAATTCACACTCAAACTAGCACCCAAATCATACTTTCCTTTTGGATTACATGCTGCAAGTACAGTGGTTCGAGTATTTAATTTACAAACAAGACCTGCTTTGGCAATACTGAGTGTTTGTTGTTCCATAGCTTCATGAATGGTGGCACGATCATGATCTCGAATGGAATCAAATTCATCAATACAACAGACACCACCATCAGCGAGAACGAGAGCACCTGTGTGGTGTGTGCAGTGGTGGCGAATATGCATTTGGGTTTCGTTTGGATATGTAGTATTTGGGTTTCATTTGGATGTGCATGGAGTGGGTATACGTAGTTGTTGTTCATATGGATCCATGTTATTGAAGGGATCAATTGATATACATTTAAAGGTGATGGTATTGTTGATGGTGTTGGTATTGTTGGTGGTATTGGTGGTATTGGTTATGTGATTAAGGATGCATGTGTCAAGAAACACTTACCCGCTTCCAGAGTCCAATCTCCACCTGATTCTTTGGTGGCCATCACAGTCAATCCCGCACTCGTAGTTCCAATTCCATTCGTCATGACATAACGAGGACTGAGTTTAGAAGCATATTTCAGAAATTGACTCTTTCCAGTTCCAGGATCACCAACAATCAATAAATGAGACTCTCCTCGAATACGTGTGTTATTCTTCTTCATAGGTACTCCTCCAATGATGGTCAATGCCACAGCCAATTTCACAAAATACAGTCCATACAATTGAGGACACATGCTCTTCAAGATTAAATTTCTACCAGCCAATGGTTTTTCATGATACTCTTGCCAAAAATGTTTAAATTCAGATTTAATCTCCTCAGTGACATTCATGGCACTACTCTTCTTTTCATTACTGATTCGAATATGATTACACCAAATGGCCATATCAATGGAACAACGAACATCATTTTTAAGAGTTTTCCATCGACGATAGGGAACACCTGATGACAATGATTCAACTCATTCATTCATTCATTATTGATGATGATATCATGATGAGCCATAGATAGACAGTAAAAAATTCAATGTCCATTAACGAACTTGAACAACCTACCTGTAATAATAATATCATCTCCTGCTTTTACAACATCTACTAAATCATCTTCTAAAACAACGAGAATTGATCTCGGTATACTTCCAACATGAAGTTGTGAAATTTTGTCTTGAATCTTAATTTCTTGATAATCTCTGCATACAATCTCTTCATCTCTAGATGTAAATGATTTTCCACCACAATCTTCAACTGGACATTGTGTTGGTTTTACAATCATATTATATTGTTCTCGATCTGCTATAATTTCAAATGGTTTTTTACATTTTCTACAAATATAGACCTTTTTGAATTCTAACATTTTAATTGGACCTGTTTTTATGACAGTTCCACTCACAGATATCAATCGGTTAGTATCACAACTTCTCACTGAACTCACAGATGTTTTTGTCACTTCATTACATTGTGGAAGAGTATGCAAACGAACATGTACGAGTAATTTAAGTTTAAATTGATCTTTCATCACTTCTTGTTTGTCAATATATCGTTGTTGAGCTTTGATTAAGGCTCTTTCAAATATTGGAATTAATTCAAATGGATATGAAATTAAAAGAGATCCAATTTCAATGTTGGCAGACATGAAATGAAGAACATCTATAAATACACTATAATGAATGGTATCATCATTGGTAAGAGTGAGAGGAGGACATAAAATATCACGAATATCCTGTACATGATATTTTTCTAAATAGGCAATCATGACTCTTTCTACATCACTTTCTGATTTATCTCCAATTTTAAAAGCGCACCATTGTGGATTTGAATGAAGACCAACACTCACATGGTTTGCTCCGACACCATGATTGGGTTGAGAAGAGGCTTGTTGTTGAACAGCATGAGAGAATCGATTTCTCGGAGGAGGTGCAAAATTAGCGAGTTGTTGTTGTTCTTCTTCAAAATGATCATTAGGCTTACCACCGTCATCATCCGAATGGTGGTGGTGGTTGTTTTTACGAGAAGAACGTTTTGGGGGCATTTTTTTTAATTCTAAATTTCCAAAAAGAAATGGAATTGGGAATGGTTCAATTTATTTCAAAAAGTCATGACAGACACGGTCTCTTACTCTCGCTCACAATTTGTCTAAAATGATCGATTGAGAAAGTGAATTGTATGATAATTGAGCTCCTGCATGTTGAACAGTAATGGATGCAATAAAATTCGATAATTCCATTGAATCTGGAATTGGAATATCACATGAAATGAAATATGCAAAAGACCCAACCCAAGCATCACCAGCTCCAGTGGTATCCACCACATGTTCTACTTTTTTACCTTTCACATGAATGAATTGTAAAGAACAAGTACCATCATCACCACCACTACTACTACTTTTACCACCATCGTCACCACTACTTTTACCACCACTATCACTACGATTGGTATTGTCTTGTAAAGAAACACCTTGTTCCTTCTCATCATCATTTTGCAAATCATCTTGTTGTGAATACAATGCAGCACATCCTCTCTCACCCAATGTAATGATCACATTTGGAATGTTCAATTTTTCATGAATTTCTCGACACATCTCTTCAATGAGAGTATCATTTTGAATAAAATCAGAGTCTAGAGGATTCTTTCCAATCACTATTGGTGATTCACTTTCATTACAAATTAAATAATCCACATATTTTGGTAAATCACGACATGATTCAGGTAAATTCAAAATATTTAAAGCAGGTGCTGCATTGAAAATAGTAATAATTCCTTCTTGTTTTGCTCTTTTCAATGTATAATAAGTGGTAGGAAGTGGTGTTTCATTTTGACATACCACTACTCGACATTGAGAAATATCATCCCATGACTTGTCAACCATTTCAACACTAAATAAATCATTAGAACCTCCAACCAAAACAATGGAATTATTTCCAGATTCATTTTCAACAAAAATTAGTGCTTGACCAGTGGGAATGGTTGTTGTATTGTTGTTGTCAATAGGAGTACTAGTAGTACTAGTAGTAGAACTAGTAGTAGTTGCAATAGTAGTAGTATTGTTGTTGTCAATAGGAGTACTAGTAGTAGAACTAGTAGTACTAGAACTAGTAGTAATACTTGAACTTTTAACAGCTGTGTGAATATTCTTGTCCACATGATAGAAATGATTCTCCTTGTAGTATTGTTTCATCTCAATTCCATAAGAATCATTTCCAACCACTGAAACAAATACCACACGTGGTTCCTTTGAAGACAATTTAGAGATACAAAATGCTTGATTTGCTCCTTTACCACCAAAATGTTGTTCAAAAGAAAGAGCAGAGAGTGTTTCGCCTAATTTGGGAAATCTTGGAACTCTCTGTGAAAAGTGTTGAATGAATGAATCCAAGATGGTCAACAACAAGAGATGATGAAATAATGAGAGTGATGGATCAAGGTGGTGGTGGTGTAATATCAATGTTAGAGATGTGTGTATCAGAATATTGTTGTGTTTGTTGTTACAGAGTGTATATATATCAGAATGTTGTTGTAATTGTGTGAAAATGATCATATTAGGATTGAAAATTCCATCAAAATCGGATGAATAGGATGATCATGGGTGAATCATTATTATATTCAATCGAATGATAAATATATATACATTCATGATGTGTCAACAACACAATCAACACTATTTAAAATTGATTAATCGATAACTTACAAAAGTGAGATCAACATTCGAGCTTCCAACCACAGCAACACCTTCAGAGATTGATATATTGTGTAGGTAACAATTGATATGCATCATCAAAATGGGGTTAATTGGGTTTGGTAGTTAATTTTGATGATGATGATCCATACAATCATATATAGAACACAAAATATAATCACCACCATGACCAAATAATAATATATTCATCACCATCATCATGTTCATTCATACAAAAAGTGATCGATCACTACGAATGGGTTGATGATCAAAAATAAATACACACCCTTCTCAGAAGATAAAACAGTATCATTGTAGCTGTCGAACACTCCTGACGCTGAACCAGTCATTGCACCTTTTTCAGTACCGGACGAAGACAACATTTTTTAAATACGTGAGTGAGCGCTGATGTTGGCGCTGATGATGATTCAATGGCCCAGTTTCTTGTGGGTCCATTTGTGTATATATATATATATTCTCATGGAAGAGATCACTGGTAGTATGAGAGGAGTGAGATGCGTATGTGGGTCCTCTCAGGTAAATCATTTTCCGAAAATCTGAGCTCGAGCTCAAATTAATTGAATACTAGGAACATGAAACCCTTCATCTGGTTAATTGGTAATTACCAATTAGTTGATTCATTCATTCCCATGGGTGAGTCAACACGATGCGCCTTCAAGAGGAACATGTTGACCCGCCACATGTGACTCTAACTGTTTCGTTACTACTGGCAACCAATGTTCAACCTTCAACTTGGGTTGTAAATTCTTAGCGCCAAAAAATGTCTGAATTATCTCCAAATCATGAAAATGCAAACCACGGAGAGGAGGGTTTTGATGTATTTCATTACTCTGACGATGAAGAACATGAACATGACGGTGATGTAGAGGAACAAAAGGAATCATCATCACCTTCAAACTTGATCAAAAACAATCAGAGACCTCCCTCAAATAAGAGTTCCAAAATTCTTCCTCAATTCTCATCCCGACCACAAACCAATTCTCAAGTAACGTATATGGAAAAGTTTGAAGTTGAAAAAAGCGACTACAACAATGAGAATGTACCTGTTGATGATCGAGTGAGGTTACTTGTAAATAATCAAAAGAATAACCAACCAGCTTCTTCAGCAATGAATGAATCGTTCGGAGAGTCCTTTGATGATTCTTTTCATGAAGACAAAGATGAGATTGAAGAAGAGGAAAAGCCAAATGTAGCAAGTGTAGATACTTCGGTACATGCTTCGGATAGTCAGCAAGTTCAAGATCTGAAAAAGAGAATCAAGCACGATGAGAAAGTCATTGCTAAACTTAAAAAGTCAAATCAAAATTTAAAAGAACAACTGTTCCAATTGAATCAAATTGTGGATGAACAACTCATACAAAAAGGAGTGGACGTTCCTAAACCAAAACCAACTGTGAAGACCGTTCTTGTGGGAAATGAACAAGAGCTCAAAGTTCTTCGAAAGCAACATGAAATTGACAAGAAAACCATTGAGAGATTGCAAAAACAATTATTTAATGAAGGAAACCCAGAAAGAATTAAATCTTTGGAGAATAAGGTTAAAGAATTAAAACAACAGTTAGATGAAGTGAGAGAGGAAAATAAGAGCTTAAAGGTCATACAACGAGAACAAAGTAAGGCTTTGGAAAATACAGGAGTTCAAGATAAGGCAATGGACCTCATGAAGAACGAATCCAAATTTCTCAATGCCAAAATTGAAAAGCTGAGAGAGAAATGCAAGGAGTTAGAAGAACTCGTCAATCAAAAGAACAAAATGCTATCCGTTTATGAACAAAAAGCGAAAAACCTTGATACCATTTTACGAAGAAAGAATTTAAGCGAAGATGGAGTTGCAAAGATCGATGAACTCTCCAAACAAGTGGAAGAGTTAAATCAAACCAACGATAAACTGTCCAAAGAGGTTGTCGTTTTGAAGAGAGCAAGAGAAACCATTGAAAAGAAGGCCAAAATGATTGCCTATCAATCGAAACAAGATGTGAAAAAGTTTTCTCAAGAAAATTCAGAGTTGCGAAATGCTTTGGAAAAGAGAGACAAGGACATTAGAAGTCTCAACATGACCCTTAAACAAAACAAATTGGAGCAATACATGATTAATGTGAGTCCAATTCCAACACCAACCAATAGCTCCTCCTCTTCCTCAACAGCAGATTCCAACTTGTTTTCAGCAACGCCCAACACTGTGTCGAATGCTCCAGGAAGCTCTTCGTCCTCCAACAACACGAACAACAAGAAGAGCGCTGTGAGTAGTCCAAGTCATCCACCAAAACAACCAATCACCAAACCTTCAGCAACAAAGGCAAACACTACCAACACGACCACCATACAAGAACACAAGAAGGGTGTTACCAAGAAGAATAACATCCAAACATTAGGAGAAAACCGAAAAGTACCAAGTCCACAACCAATAACCACGCAATCCTCCAACGATATCAGGCAGGAACAGTCCAATCCAACAACAGTCGAGGAAGATGTTGGTGATGATCTCGATGATTTTGATGATTTTGAAAATGAAATGGAGGATACAGACCAGCAAGCCGTCATTGAACAGGACACAAAACTCAATGAAGATGCTAATATCTTCGCTCCTTCTTTTTAAATAAACAACTTTTATTGTCCCATTTGTACAACAAAACGGCCGCTATTAGAGTACTACTTTAACTGATGAATTTGTCTTGGAAGGTCTGTGGATGAATCAATAATATTCATCAAATAATTATAAGCAATCATGATGATGATTTTGAATTTGTTGTTTTTGAAATCAAAATTCCAATCTCTACATACCTTCAATAGGAGTTTCAGCATCTCCTTCAACCCTTTCAAAAACTGCTTCTTTGAAAGCATTAGCTTTTCTCATTTCAACTTTTCTAACTTTAGGGTCCTTGATAACACGTCTCAAGAAATAAGAATTTAATTGGATGTACTTTAAGAAAGACAATCCGGTACGGTAAGTCTGTAATACATAATATTATGTAATATTAAAATTTTAAGAATATAATTCGGCATCAACCAGTCAATATCAAAAATCGGGTTTTCATTCCATCATCATACGGTCAAAAATGAGCCAAATGAAACACATACTTGCTCGGACATGATGGCGTTTTATTTTTTGATGCTCAAAGTGAGATGCTGGAGGTTGATAGTGAAGCGTTTTTGACTATCAACATATCACAGCGAGAGGATGGAATGGAGAGAGTGTTTATTAGAGAGTGCAGCCACTCATGGGCTCGTTCTGTATGAATTCGGACGACTTTCACTTTGGTTCTTCTTCAAAACATCACACTCCCCATTGTAAAGTTTTAGGATAGCTGCACAATGATTGGTTCATAAAAAATACCTTTCTGTTGGTGTTGGCGTCGGAAAACACAGTCGAAGATATGCCTAAAACTAAGAAAAGCAGATCAAGAAAGTCTGTAAATGATGACGATGATGACTCTGAAGAACCATTACACGAATTTGAAACTTCCTCAATAGATTCGTCTGAAAATTCAAACGATAACGACATGGAAGAAGGCTCTGATGAAAGCAACTCTATTTCTTGGAGAGATCGATTGAAACCTTCAGTTTCTTCCCCATCATCCAAAAACTCAAAGAAAAGAGGTAAATTGGAGAAGAATAAAGGCTCATCATCATCGTTGTCGGTTAAGAAGAAAAAACCAGCAAGAAAGAAAAAAAAGGTTTCCTCTTCGTCCTTGACTGAAATATCTCCTCCCTTCGTTGATTTTACCACTACGGATGATTTCAATGATTCATTACCAGACGCAGTTTATTTTAGCAGACTTGTTTTGGATAAATTGACTATGGAAGAAGTTAGAGACTTGCCCATTCAATATTCCATAGAGTTTCCGGAAGACTATTTAGCGGTTAGAAATGTCATTCTGTTCATGTGGTGGAATGACATTGCAACATGGATCAATTGTGATACTCTTTTAGAACAAATTCCCAACCTTGCGTACATTAAGAAGAAAACGATTGTTTCACCATCACTTTTATCAGAAATTATAGTTGTAGCATATGAATTTTTGAATCGACATGGATTCATCAATTATGGATACATGTGTAGCACTAGATACCCAAAACCAGTGGATACTAGTTTGAAACCCCATCATTTTGAGTTACTGAAAAGAACTCCAATTCTGAATAAGGAACATAAGCATGTGGTCGTTATTGGTGCAGGTATATCTGGAATTTTGGCTGCAAAAAAACTTCTTTCTCTTGGATATCAAGTTACAATCATTGAGGGGCGTGGAAGACCTGGTGGTAGAGTGTTTACTGATTACTCTTGGACTGATCATTCTCCTGTTGATATTGGCGCATCAATTATCACAAATACGTCTGCTTCTCCGATTGTATGTCTTGCGAACCAAACATTGATCAACTTGGTAACCATGCCAAAAGAAGATCAGTTATTTCAATCGAACGGAAAAAAAGTTCCAAAAGATTTGGATGAAAAATATACCAATCTCTATAATGAAATTTTGGATCGAGTTTGTTCCTTAAAATTTCCTGAACATGAAGAGGAACGAGAATTGTATCGAAGAGATCCTAACTTGGGATTTTCAGATAGACATCCCAAAGATTTAAGTTATGAAGCACGAGTGAACAAAACAGACATGTCACTGGGATATGCTCTCGATAAGATGATTGATTATTATGTTAGTCAGGTCCCTGAGCAAGACCGAAAAACAATGAAAGAGGTATTACATTGGCATGCAGCAAATCTAGATTATGGTAAGTTCATTAAAACGAGAGAATATTTTAATGACATTATGATTTTAGGTGTTGGACATGATGTAGAATCAGCCTCACTTTATCATTGGGATCAAGATGATATTTATGAACTAGGTGGAGATCATTCTTTTGTAAAGGAAGGATTTTCAAAGATGATTGATATGCTCTGTAATGATACCCAACAGTTAGAGAATAATGTGATTCGTTTTAATCAAATGGTGACTGAAATTGACTATTCTGACCCGAAAATAGTCAAGGTAAAAACAAAAACTACTCCCAAGTTCGAAAGTATTCATTCCAATCCAATTGGAGAATTCAAAACATACAAACCAGAAAAACAGCCAACCAATGACACATCACAAGAATTTACATATCCATGCGATGCAGTTTTGGTAACTGTACCACTGGGAGTTCTACAAGGAAAATCTCCATCAAATGTTTTCAATTTTAATCCTCCATTGCCAGAATGGAAAACTCAAGCAATTCACAAACTAGGTTTTGGGTTACTGAACAAAATAATTTTAGAATTTGATTATGAATTTTGGGAAAAGAGTCACTTTTTCTTTGGATTAACTCATGATAATCCTAACGAACGAGGATTTTGCTACTTGTTTTGGAATTTATATCCTCTCACACAAAAACCATTACTATGCGGTCTAGTGGCTGGAAAATCAGCATTTGAATTGGAAAATGATGCGAATAATTTAGAATTTATCAAATCTAAGGTAATGAAATATTTAAGGAAGGCATATCATTGGAGTACGGAACTTCCTGATCCTAAAAAGATTTTGAGAACGAATTGGTATAGTGATCCAATGAGTACAGGATCGTATTCGTATGTGAGAATTGGTGCCACTGGTGATGATTATGATTTATTGGCTGAGAGTGTGGAAGATCGAATCTTTTTTGCTGGTGAGCACACAAGTCGCAAATTTCCAGCAACAGTAATGGGAGCAGCAGTTTCTGGATTGAGAGAGGCCGCAAAGATTGATGCTCATTTTGCCAATCTTTCGACATGTAACAATAGACTCACACGTTTGAAACAATCGAATGGAACGAATGTGAGTAGTGGAAGTGCCTCAAAAGACTTGACCAATAATGGTCATTGCAGCAAACCCGTTTCAACCAATCACTCGAGGAATGAGAGTAATCATACAACTAGCACCACCAGCAGCAGCAACAACATCACCAGCACCACTACTACTACTACCAGCACTACAAGCACCGTTTCTTCAGAGAGCTCTCTGCTTGCCTCAATGGTTAAAAAATCCAATGTCCTGACCATTCAACCATCATCCTCCAGTCAAAGTCGAGGATGGAGAAGGACTGCCATGACACCATCTTTACATTCACAACAAAACGAAGTATCTAAATCTTCCTCACATCATTTATCACCTACAACAACAGGAACGACTGCAACAACACTTCACAACACGTTGATACCTGTGACTCCTCCATCTTTGCACTATGCAGCCACCACCACTACCACTCTTCCACCTCCTCATTCAACAACTGGCATAATGTATCATGGGGTTGCACCACCACAAGTTGGAGGAACCATTTATGCAAAAAGTACTCCCATACCCCCTCCACCTCCTCGTTCAGCAGGAGGATTTTATGCATTGTATCATGCACCACAACCAACACCACCATCTTCCACTCACCATCCTACGACTACCTTAATGACTCCAACCCTTTACGCCTATCCTCCCTTCGCTGTGGTGAACACACAACCCACAGACAAAAATCCGTTGGATGACGTCAAAAGAAACCACCACTCCAACGTCACACGAGAAAAGGCCAATCAATAAAAACCTTTTGTTTTAAATTAACACTAAAAAAAATTGACATAAAATGGCCGATATTCTACTACCGGAAACTCACTATGATGTCATTATTGTTGGAACTGGTATGGAAGAAAGTATTCTTGCCGCTGCACTGAGTAGAGCCGGTAAAAGAATTCTTCATCTCGATGTTCATGAAACGTACGGAGCACAATACAGTACTCTTAATCCCAACGAATTGTATGAATTTATTCTCAATGGGAACAATAGTACCAACAACAACAACAACAACTCAACTCCTCGGAGTGATGATGGTGAATCTTCTATACCACTGTACAACCCTTCCTTTTCATTATTGAAACCACATTTATTTAGTAACCATTCATTCAACGACTCTCCAACCTATTTTATGAATACTTTAAATTCATCGCTTCAAAGAAGAGTCATGATTGATCTCTGTGGATTACATTTATTGTATTGCCGTGGTCCAATGGTTGATTTATTGATAAATTCAGGAGTTGCACGTAATATGGAATTTAGATGTTTGGATTCTATTTACATGTTTGATCAAGAACATGAAAGTAATCCATTCAAACAACCAATCATTATCTATTCAAATAATGACAATGCTAATACTGGTCATGATATTACTGATTCGGATCAACAAGATGATCAATGGAAAATTGATTGTTCAAAATTATTTCAAATGGTTCCGACAACAAAAGGAGAAGTATTTAAAACAAAATTTATTTCTCTCAAAGAAAAGAATCGATTAGTGAAATTTATTACATTTTGTATGGAATTACCATCCGATTTAGATTCATCATCAGAAGAAACAACAAATACCAAATTCAAACTCTATAAGGAACATGAAAATGAATCTTTTGAGTTATTTTTAAAGAAGACTCAATTACTTGGAGATGAAGAGAATTCTAAATTGAAATCGATCATTATTCATGCATTGGCTCTATTAGATTCTGCCAATCACTCACAGTATTCGATTCGTCTTGTCATTTCTCGAGTGAAGTATTTTATTTCAAGTTTAGGAAGATTTGGAAATGGTGGAGCCTTTTTATATCCCATGTATGGTCAGAGTGAATTGATTCAAGTCTTTTGTCGAGTGAGTGCAGTATTTGGTGGTGTCTATGTATTGAGAAGGGGAATTCAGGGGCATGTGAGTATGGATGGTGATGGTGAGGATGGAGGATGGAGTCCAATATGTATTGAATGGATTGAGAATGAACATTATGAGAAAAGGCTTCATTCATCCACGACGACAACGACAGCGATAACGGTTGCAGCAACGGATATTGCTGTTCCATCCAGCAACAGCACCACTACCACCACTGATCAGTCTGATTTGACTGCCAGTTCTGCTACGACGACTGTTCCATCCAGCAACAGCACCAGCACTACCAGCAACAGCACCAGCACTACCAGTCATCATGATCAAAATTCTACTGTTCCTTCCATAATGAATCATCGTGATGATTATTACTCAAAAGAGAAACAAATCATTCGAGTACAGAGTGGAGTTCAATCATTTACATGTGATCATTTAATTGTAAATCGAGATACTTTAAATGTTCATCATCATCACGACTCGTCCAATGCAAAGGATTATCATAATATCAAGACAGTCATTGTTTGTGATCAACCTCTCTTCTCTTCATCCTCTAATGTATTGGCTATTATTCCACCTGGTACGATTCGAATTCAAAAGACAACTCGAAGTAGTATGAATGTAAAAGATATCCTTTTATCGAATGATGATGATCATTTCTATTATGAACAACCTTTCAGTATTTATTTAACTCAAATGGATTATACCAGTTGTACATGTCCACGTGGAAAGTATTTAATTACTCTTCAAACATGTTGTTGTGATGGTAGTGGTATCATGTCCAATAATAGGGTTGTGGATTCTCTTGAGAAGAATCAACAACAACAACAACTCGAAGAAGAATTGACCATGCTCATGTTGGAAGAATGTGTGAAACGATTATTCAATATTCGTCATGGTGTTGTTGTTTCAAGTAATAGTAGTAATAGTAGTAACAGTGGTAATAGTTGTTGTAGTAATAGTAGTAACAGTGGTAATAGTAGTAACAGTAGTAGTAATATTGAGAGCACTAAAGAAAGTCATAGAGAAGGTAATGCTACAGAACATAGCACTACTACTACTACCACCACTACCACTCCTTCTACAACAGAACCATTTTCCATGTACATTTCATACAAACAACATATTCGATCAACAACACATTTGTCAGAACACAACCATTCTTCTTCCTCCTCCTCTTCCATTCTATACGATTTAATGAATAACAAACGAAGAATTCACATGTGTCATGATGCATCGGCTGATATTTTGCAATTTGAAAGTGGAATGATTGAACATGTGAAACAAATATTCCATTCCATTATTGGTCATGAATGTTGTGAATTCTTACCTAAACTACCAGATCCTAATCAACCTTCAGAAAGAAATGAAGAGGAAGAAGCACTCTATGATGAAACAACAAAATTATTGGGCATTGATAAATCCAAAATAGAATCAAGTACAGAAAAAAACAATGTTAGTAGTAGTGATAGTAGTATTAGTACTCCAACACAGAGTGGTGGTGTGAGCGGTGGTAGTGATGGTGTTGTTGATGGTGAAGAGAATTCAAATAGAGTCATTTCATAAACCTATGGTTGCAACGAATTAAAAAACCCGCTCAAATTTTACAACACGCAATTCCCATTTTGAAAAAATGCCATCCGAAGAGTCTAAGCAAACGCTCTCATCATCAGCAGCTCTTCCAATACGAAGTTCAATCATTCAAAGTGTGATTTCTGAAGCCCGAAGTTTGGTAGAAAATGAATCTTCTACAAGAGCAACTATTTCAAAACCATCCAGACCATTTACTCCGAGAGATAATGAACGAAGGTTGTTCGTTGAGAATGAATATGCAAGTAGACCAACATCAGCATTCAGCAGTTCCAATTTCGATTTTTCATATCGAAAAACTTCTTCGGGAACACGAGATGAATCCACTCAAGATCCGAACAATTCAAAATCAAGTACGAGGAAAAAGGTATGTTTAATATCAAAGCAGCTTTGTATGAACGGACAATGAACTAACTGAACATGATAAGAAACCCTCATCCTCAGGATCTAAACGAACAGGAAGCAGTAAAAGTAGTCGAAGTAATGAATGTAAGGACGATGAAGTTTCTGATACTCATGACAGATTGTGGGGTTCTATAGACTCGATTGTTGTCTCTCTCGAAACATTGAACGAAGAACAATTATCGGATACATTGGACTCTTTGCATCTGTTGGTAGAAAAATTACAAAAAGAGGACGAAAGAAAAGCTGTGCTAGTGTCTAAACTCTCCAAATTCTTGGACATGGGAAATGCAGAAATTACAGTCAAGATTTGTTCAATCATTTTAAAACTCACTCGAATAGGTCAACATATTCTGCAAATTTGTAAAATATTGTTCAAGATTAGCAAACAAGAAAAGTATGACAAATTATTCAAGGATGATAAGATACTAGTTCCAATCATTCTCTTGCTCAATCAAGATTTTGTAACTGAAAGCTACAATGTGAGCTGGGAGATTTTACTCTTCTCTATTGGAACTCTAAAAAACATCTCCTATGATTCTCATAACCAGAAAACTCTTGTGAAGCATAACATTGTCTCTCAGTTATCATTATTAATGTCATCAGCGCTTCGAGAGCTCAAAACAGGCAGTATGGAGAAAGTGAACAAACAAGCACAATTGTTGGTTCAAATTTTGGCAACACTTCGAAACTTGGCAACTCGCTCAAGCACATTTAAACAATTCTTGGAATATAATGTGATTGACAATATTCATATTTTAATGAGTGCCCTAATATCTCATTCAGAATTTATCCATAATGCAACACGTGTATTAAGCAAATTGTCATTAGATGATGTTTGTCTTGAAGAAATGAGAAGAATTGAACACTTAAAATCATGTCTCATTAACGTATTAAGGGAACACAGAAAACACATGCCAATCGTTGTGAGAGTGACATTCATTCTTGGTAATTTAACTTTTGAGAATTATTCGGGACAAGAACAATTAAATGAAAAGTCTGAAGTGCCCTTTCTCTTAGATTTGTTGGATTTATACACGACGGAAGATGAAAAAACAAGCAAGGACAATATAAAGAAGGAGACTGAAGATTTACTGACGAAACTGATAAGACTGATTGCCAACATTTCTATGGATGAAAAACAAGGGAAACTCATCGCTCAGTCCAAATCAACTCTTCGTCTTGTTGAACTTGTGGAAAAAAAGAAAGTACAAGATTGTGAAGAATTAATTCTAAACACGTTGAGATGTATCACAAACTTATCCTTTTATGCTTTCAACATTCCAACAGCCCCTCTATTTATTCACAAACTCAAACTTGCATCACTTCTCTCAACTCTGTTATTTCATGATCACAGTGATGTTGTTTATGAAGCAACGAGATGTTTCGGAAATCTTTCTCAAGATGCACAGGTTCGAGAGTACATGCACAAGTCACGAATTGATGAAGCCTTAATCATCATGATTGAACATGGCAATTTAGATATTGTATATGCCGTGTGTGGTGTGTTGGTGAATTTGTCATCAGACCCTAACAGGACACATTTAGAATTGTTAAAGGAGAGAGGAGCTATTGAAAAATTAATTGATGTTCTCGAACGATCCACAGTGGCACTTGCTCTTGTTGTGTTGAAGATATTCCACAATATTTGTTTGAATGTTGAATCAAAACAAACACTTTCATCATTATACTCTGAAGAAGAAGTACAACATTTGGACTCTCTACTTCAATCGATCATTCAAGAGCAATATGATAATGTGGAACACATGACAGAATATGACATTTCCATGGTGAGAGATTTGACCAGTGTTGCTAAACAATTACAATGCATCATTTCCAAATAAATGATGTTTCAATATGAAATGACAAATCTCAAGCTCTATGAAGATTGCATTTGTTCAATTCTTTTATAAAGTCACATTCACACACTCATTCATGATGCGAATGTTCGGAATGCGCCATCACTTGAAGTGGATCTTTTTCAACTTCAATGGTCATATCGAGATTGCATCTATAATTTCTAAATATATTTGTGACTTGTTTCAATATCGTTTGCTCATTACTTTGGTTGCTAATCAATACTTTACAACTTCCAACATTTAAATTTGATTTCAAAACCCAAAAATGTAAATTTCTAACTTGAACCACTCCTTCTAATTGCAAAACCTCTTTTACACATTCGTTAATTTTATGTTCGTGTTGAATGGGTGTTCTCTGTAATAGAACTCGACTCGAATTTGTGATTAATGGAATACTTGTATAGAGAATCATGACAGAAATAATTAAAGAACAAATGGGATCAGCAATATACCATCCAAGATATTGTACAATGAGAGTGGATGTAATGACACCAATACTTCCAAGAGCATCTGCAATCATGTGCAAATAGACACCATACAGATTTTCATCGTGGTGATGATGAGAACACTCGAAATGTTGTTCCGAATGTGTTGTTGTTGATGATGGAGAAGAGGAATTCATGGTCTGTCTCTCATTATGATTCATTTCATTTTCACAAGAAGAGGATTCTTCATGGAGAGTGGTGGTGCTACTATTATTATGACTATAACTACTACAATGACTGCTATTATGACTATGACCATTACAACCATAATGATCTTGATGATAAAAAATCACTCCATACATATTCACTGCAAATCCCATAACACTCACTAACAATAATTGTTGAGTATGTACAATTGGAGGATCAATCAATCGATGAATACTCTCCAATAAAATATAAATAGAAATAAATACTAGTAATATTCCATTAATAAATCCACTCAAATACTCATATCTCACATATCCATAGGAATAAATTTGATTTGATTTCCATTTTGACATGATGGATCCATATAAACCAATAACAAGAGCTGTACAATCAAAGAACATGTGTGCACTATCTGAAATTAATCCTAGAGAATTATTATAAATTCCAAATACTAATTCAATGATCATGAATAGAATATTCACAAGAATGAAATAAAATAAATGTTTGGTTTGATCATCGGAATAAATATAATGACGAAAGAAAGAAAGGAGAGGCTGAATGAGGAGGTTGTTATGGTTGGGTTGTTGAAATATCCATGTCGTCGTTGTGGTAGTAGAAGGAGTAGGAGTAGTAGGAGAAATAGTAGTATTAGGAGAAATAGTTGAAGGAGTAGCAGTACCACCACTCAAACCACCACCACTAACATTCCCACCACTAACATTCCCACCACTAACATTCCCACCACTCCAATTCATTGAGAAGGTGGATAGAAAAGAGGAGGATGTCGGAGATGGAGAGGATGTACTACTTCGTTTGTGGAGAGGTGGTGGTGGTGTTATTGATGACCAGAGGGAATGAGTGGTGGTACTAGTGGTGCTCCTACTACTACTACTGCAATGGCCATTCATGTTGTTCTTGTTACTCATTTTTTTTAATCCACTCTCTCTCGTTGACAATTTGCTCGAGGTGATGAATGTCGAAATTTGAGCCTTTATGTGCGATGCATCTTTAGGTTCATACCCACACACAGAGATTGAGGATTTCAAAGCTTTATGTGCGAGCGCGCTCGAGAATTCGAACCCAGCAGCAACAGAAGTGACCGCGCGCCTCTGTTCAGAAACCCATCTATTTTTGTTGTTGGTGCGAAAGAAAATGTCCTTCAGAAATCCTTCATCGTCGTTTGCAGCAGCAACAGTACAGCCTTCTTCCTCCTCACGACTACCTCCTCTCTCCAACCACAACCACAACCTCAACAACAACCTCAACCACAACCACCTCAACCTCAACAACCACCTCAACAACAACCTCAACAACAATCAACTTCCCTACTCGAATGCACTCTCCTCCCCTAAATTGGGGGACAATGATACGTCGTTTCCTTACCAACGTGGAAGTTATTATCCTCCAATCAGCAGTGGTGGTGCTAGTGGTCAAACAAATAGTTTCTATGGTGCAGAGGGATACTATCAATCCAAAACACCCTTATTTGGATCATTAATCATTGATGATTCCGACGAGGATGACAACGAAGAAATATATAATCAAAATTCCCGCCATCATCACCATCGATCACGTAGTATCGATCAAGAGAGTGCCATTATTGATGACTCTTCCTCAACAACAAATTCAGACTCTGAATCCATCATTCTTGACTCAAACGATCGAAATGCCTTAGATTTTGAGAATATTGGTGAAGGAGTGATTGATTTTTCAAAGATGATGATGGGCAACAACAACCATTCTCGACGACGACATCACCAAGCCACCGCCATCATCATTGACAACAACAACCCTCATCACTTCACTGCACATCAAAAATCTCTCCATGATCCACTTCCTCCACCCTTCACCAATTCCACTGCCAACACTCTTACCACTCCTCTCAGAAATGATCCTCTCAGAGATGCAACAACAACAAAAACCTCTCTTCAACCACCATCCACCACCACCACCACCACCTCCGAAAGGATGAGCTTGTGGTCAAGCAAGTTGCAAACTTTGACAACCAAGAATGATGAGTCACAGGATGCTCATATTGAAGAATCCAATCCCTTTCGACTCATTTCTTCTTCTCGTTCTTCATCGACAAGTCGATCCAGTTCAAAACCATTGTCATCATCACGACCATCTTCTTCTTCTAAACAATTAATTGTTGGACGACCATCTTCTTCTGAACAAACCTCACTTCAACCATCACCACCTTCGAAAACACAACAACCCTCGACCGATCATCTTACGACTTTAAAAATCAATAGTACTACAAGTACTAGTTCAATAATGATCAATGGTCCTCCTAACCAAGGTAATACCAACAATACCACCAATGCCACCACTCTACCATCATCATCATTGAATCATCCATCCTCTGTTGAACAACAACAACACTCTCTTCATCACACATTTTCATCGTTTTCTCTTTTAAATGAAGAAGATTATATTTGTATGAAATTACTAGGTCTACACAAACATCAAGTCACTGCTCATGATTTATTATTAAAATTATTTGATATCTTTGGAAGTACTGAATACAATCAAGTTGGTAAAAGACAACATTTAACCTTTCGAGCTGCAGCATTGGCAGTGAGTGCCATGTTGAAATCACACAAAAATGCTCAAAATGCTCATTCCACCACATCGATTGAACCTTTACCATCACCACATCACACACATACCACAGATGTATTAATGATTAATAGAAAAATTAAAGAATCGATTGGAAATGGAAATAGAAAGAAAATAGATAAACATTCACCTCAATATTTAGAACTTGTAAAGAAGAAAGTGGGATTTATTCCTCAAAAACATTTGAAAATGCATCAACAAATGTCATCTTTTAAGAATTATATTCCTGATGAGACATTTAAAATGATTTCAGTTTCAAATTCAAATCATTTGATGAATCCAAATCATCATTTTCATATTGGAGGTGTTCATGGTAATAGTTCGAGTGGTGGTGGTTCGAGTGGTGGTTCGAGTATTCATGGTATTCATCATCATCATGGTGGCACTATCATTGCACCTACGACCATGATGGGAAATATTGGAAATTTCATATCTTCAAACCATGCAAGTCCTTTCAACAACAACAACAACAACAATACTATGAATACTATCAACACTATGAATAACAACTCCCAAATGACATCTTCTTTCGATCCATCTATGAAATTCAATCATGTCAAAAAAAGAATCAAATATTTGAAATTTAAAAATATCATGTATGAATCAACAATATTCATGAAAGATACTGAAAATCATACTCTAGAATCAGTATTAGGTTATTCAACAAAGGTCATTTATGAAAATCCATTTATTGATTTCAATACTTGTTTATCTCATTTAAAAACTTTATCAAAATTAAGATTTCCAGAATTGGAAAAGAATAGTTTAGAAACATGTTCTAAAACTCTACTCTATCCCTATGTATTGAACATGTTGAAAAGAGCACACAAATTAGTGAATAATTTTTCAAAATGGATTACTTGTGATCCAAATATATCCTCTCTCTTTCATTACTATCGACCTTCTCTATTTCGTATCTTTCACATGTTTATTGAAATTGATAATTCATCTAATATTGTAGTAGTAGATTTATTCAAAGCAAATAATACTATGAAATTGGAATCATTTATTGCATTTTGTATTCGATTTACAATTATTCCAAATATGCTCTCAGAATTTGAAACTAAGAAAATATTTAAAAGTATTTTTAGAGAAAAGAGAAATAATTTTTTAACGAAAAGTTTGAATTCAAAACACAATGAACAACAACAACATGCAGTGAATATTAGTGAATTTATTGAATTATTGGCACGAATTGCTGTGGTGTGTTATGGTAGTTCGAATAGTAGTACTGGTGATGGTCATGCCATCAATAATACTACAACGACTACTCAACATGGTAATTCTAATGGTAATTCTAATGGTAATTCTAATGATGAAAATCATACACATTTACAAAAGTGTCAACTCTTATTGGATCATTTAGAAGAAGAATATTTTACCTTATTTGGTGAATTCATGTCTAAAGAAAAACAACGAACATTCCTTACCAAGAAGGATGTCATTCTTCAATCTCAATTTGATAAGGATACCATTCTCAAAAAGAAGACAATATCAATGGCTAAAGAATCCAATCTTTCACAAGAACCTTCAACCTCGAGAAGACATAGACCTACATTCATAATACAACCAAAGAATCAAAAGAATGATCCTTCTCATGGATTGAATTCCAAAGTACAAGAAACTGAAATGGATTTGATTCAATGCATTGGAGAGAAGAGATTTCATGAATTATCCAATCAAAAACGTTTAGATAAATTATTTAAAATTTATAGTAGAGATAAGAGAGAAAGAATATGGACATGTAATGAATACCAATTATTTATTGAAGAATATGATTTAAAGATGTTATTGAAGAGAATTCAAAACTATTTTCAATCGAATTTTAAACAAGAGGAGGACAATTGTGATGATGAGGATCAATGGTTCAATTCAACAACAACAAGGACTACCGGTACTACTACTACAGCTGGTATTTCTACTACTACTACTACTAGGACTATTAGGACTACTGGTATTGCTATTGATAGACACACCCCTCCTCATTCAGCCACTACTACTACTCCTTTCAATACTACTACTCATTCCACTCTCATTGATGACAAGTACCTCGTTGGACTATTCAGAAATCGATCATTCTATTTACAATTATCACAAATTAATTTTTATCATTTAATTTATGATATTTATGTGGAAAAGATAATGCCTTTGATCACCACCACTAATACCAACACTCATGTTACTACTATTTCTACTACTAATGGTACTACTATTTCTACTACTATTTCTACTACTAATGGTACTACTAATGGTACTAATACACACCATCCTAATGATTTAAATTTTTCACTCTTTCTTGAAAAATTATTCCATCATGATCATTTTCTGAAAGGAATTGAAAATATTAGAAATAGAAATATCAAAACACTTCATTCTTCTAATACTAGTACCACACAATCCTCAATCCTTTTCTCCTCTCATAAAAGTGGTGGTATTCATAGTGGTAGTGCTATGAATGGCTCTCCTCCAATCTCCTCTAATCCTTCTTCTACTCCTCCTTTTTTTTCAAAACGTGTCTTTAGACAATTTCATGTGGTGAAGGGTAGTCGAATAGTTTCAATGATTGAAAATAGAAAGGGATGTATTATGAGAGAATATTTAATACCAAAACCATCATTCACCACATGTTCTATTGATCCTTTCAATGAATCAGTACCAACAACAAGATGTGATGAGTCCTCTTTGAATGATCATTCCTATTCAAACAAATTAGATGATAGTATTCAATCGACTCTATTTGATTTAAATATGATTCTATTCGATGCATTTATTGAAGATGAAATTCTATCTTTATTAACACTTTGTGAATCTTTTAATCAATTTTTACATCGATTGATATTGAATGGATATGATTTGAAAAGTAAATGTGAGGAGAATGAAATTCATTCATATAGTAATAGTTCTATGATCAAGAATAGTAGTAGAGGTAACAGTAGTAGAAATAGAAGTAATAGTATCAACTCTAAAAGTTGTCGACAACGACCAACAACAACAACAACAACAAGATCTCTCTCAATAGATACAATAATGACTACTCCCATCACACAAACAACACCACACACCACCACTCTGACCACTACTAATACTACCACCACCAATACTACTACTACTACTACCACTCCTCAACAATTCCTCTATTACCAACAAGTGAAATGTTTAAGATTTTGTAAAAGAAAGACCATGGAACCATTGGGATGTATTTTTGATGTGAAAGGTCAATTCTCAAGTTTGACTTATCAACCCCTCCAAAATGAATTTAGAAGGAATGATTTTTCACTCACTTTTTATGACCATGTTGTTGTTGTTGTTCATCATGATGATCACAACAAGGGTGGTGGTGGTGGTGTTGAAGATAGATTTGGAAACCATCATGAATCATCTTCTCTCTTTCAAACTTTATTGCAATTATATAGAGAAAGTCATTCCATGGATGAATTAACGAATGGTATTAGAAATTTAGGATTTGATATTGTGTCAGTGAGATACTTTATGTAAGAAGAGACCCATATTACTCGTACGAGTAGTTTTATTCATGAATCATTGTCAAAAACGAGTGTCTTTCCAAAGCAGTACCATTTCCAAACAAGAGTTGTTCGTCGTTCATCACACACACACACACACGATTAAAAAAAAAGAATCTTCAACAACGTCGGCGGCGAAAAGAAGAAACTGTTCATTCTCTTCTTGCACCAGCAGCAGCATCAGCACCAGCAAGTATTCACCCTCCACCTCAGCAATGGTCGAGTCATTGTCCTCTCGAGTAGGCAGTACTACCATCCATCCGAACAACACCCTCTCTTCCTTAACAACAACAGACACAATCATGATGGATGGAGAGAATACCAAGATGAACTCTTCCGATTCACCCTCCTCCTCCTCCTCCTCCTCAACAGAGACTAATGACACAACCACTACTACTACTACTACTGCCACTAACACTTCAACAACGACGACGACTCACACCACTACTGTAACAACCTCTCAACAACAACAACAATTCCTAGCTCCTCAAGAGCAAGTCCAACAAGTCCAACAAATTCATCAAGCACAAATGGCAGCAGCCAATGATGATAGGTACAAGAAGATGGTTGCAACTCCAACCAGCACCAGCACCAGCACTGCATTGAACCACCCTCACAAGCCTTTCACTGCCCTTCAAACCACCAGCACCAACAAGTATTCACCCGTCGTAAATTTGATGTGTACCCTGTGGGCATCCGTTTGTTTCTTCTCGTTATGGATTCCCGCCTATTTCTGTAGTGTTGTGTGTTACAAAGTGTGTCGTTGGCTTGGAATGGATACGAGTCGAGCCTTCACCAGTCAATTCATGAGAGTCTCTTCAAGATTGGCAGTGAAATTAAATCCATTTTGGAATATTAAATATATGGAATTGGAACAAGCTCCAAAAAAGAATACTAATCAAGGAAGATTAATATTTATTTGTAATCATCAGAGTAATATGGATCCTATTGCAATTAATTCAGTTTTTGATTGGAATGCTAAATGGGTATCTAAGGATTCTATATTCAATGTACCTTTTGGTAAGTACAAGAGTGAATGTGTGTGTGTCATTCAGGAGACACTCTTTTTCAACATTAGGAGGTTACATGATGCATCATTGTGGAGATATTCCACTAACTTTTGCAACTGAAAAAATTGAAGATACCAACACTGTGAAACAGAGTGCTAAAAATTGCTTACAAGTTTGTAAAGAATGGCTTGAACAGAATGTTCCTGTGTTTATATTCCCTGAAGGAAGAAGATCAGTCACTCAGAATATTTTGGAATTTAAAAAAGGGTATGTGAAAGAGTAGTTTCTTTATGGACAACATTCATGACCTTTGAATTCAAAACTTTTGTGTCACAATCTAGTGCATTCATTCTTGCCCAACAAACCAATTCCTTGATTGTTCCAATGGCTATTCATGGAACAGGTGACATGTGGCCAGTCCATCAATCATTAGCATCTCCAGGTAAAGCAGTAGTAGTGATGGGAAGTCCAATAGACCCATCTAAATATAATGATCTGGATGAATTGGTCAAAGATGCGAGAATCAAAGTGATTGAACTTCATGAGAGAGCCAAACAGGAATGGAGTAAAATGTGAATTATGAAGTGACTTGAATAAACAGTTTTGTTCAATTAAGGATATTATTATTAACAGAAGTGTTTTTAAACGAAACAATAATTGGAGGTTGATCTTTTCATCGCTAAACCTCCAATTCACAATTATTTCTTTTGACTTTGGTCATTATTGGTCGTAATTGATTTGCTCAACTAATTGAATTTGGATAACTCGATTTTTATCATTGGCCTTTTATTTCTTAAGTCATTGATTGTTCAATGATGTTTTCGTCTCTTTGCCATGTTTAGTCTCATGATCATTTTTTATTAAAATTTCCTTCCTATTATTAAATTGTTAATTAAATTTCGCAAACAAATATATTGATAACAATATCCTGTATTATCATATTGTATGATTGAGATATATCTATGATTGAGATAATCGTGTAAAATGACATTTAACAATAATTTAATCGTTATCTAATATATTGAAAATCATATTTGTAACAATTTATATTGATGAAAATTTATGTTTAATGGGTGTTTAAGAACTCATCATGATGTGTATATAACAATCTTATCATTTATATTAACATCCCTTTAATATTGTATTTGATTAAATTTGATTAATAATTTAATCCTTTGTTTAAATTTTATCAAGGAAGATAGTACAACATAATTGATGGATGTGTTATATACTTCAACAATGGTTTGTTAATACTACTGCGTTGATGTCATATTCAATAAGATTAGTTCAGTAAAATTACTAGAAAGAAATAAATGACCATGTGACTAATAAACATCGCAATGTGACGAGAACATCATTGAACAAATCAATGACGAGAAAAGAAATAAAAATATAAATGGTCAATTCCAATGATAAGATCGGAGAGTTATCCAAATTCTGGATTGTCAAAAAATTGAGCAAAACAATTATGACCAATATAGTCCAAAGTCAAAGAAATAACAACAAGCGTTTGAAAAATTCTCTTGTAATAATGGGAGGCGTCGTTGGGTGTCAAAGCAGATTGGCCAAGTGAAATTTCCCCACCGCCTTCTCGTAGCTCGGTTTAACTGTCATGTTTGGAGAATACGAAGGTTGTTGTGATGAAGGATATCATTGAACGAGTTGCAAAAGTGTCACATAATGTTGATAGAATCATTCATCTCAGTTTTATTTGATAAGATTTTGGGCTTGCTGATTTGCTGCTTTTCGACGAGTCCTTTTCAACATATTTCCATACAGGTATGGGTTTTAAATCATGTGAGAATGTCTTCTTTTCTCCATTCAAAATATTGTAATCTGTGAGACCTAAAATTTCTCTCCTTCCAAATGTGCTTGTTTTAGTGTTGAGTGTTCGATCTTCATTTCTCTTATCAAGAATCTCATCCCTTTCTTTTAATTGTTTTTCATAATTATATTTAACTTTTGCAATAGGTTGTCTGTGTTCATAAACATCAATTAATGTCTGCAATTCTTCTGTCTTTTCTTTATCAATAATCTCTTTTGTTATAATATTATATGCTTTTCCTTCGTTTAATTTTTTAACTGTCTCTGGTTCTTTTGATAATTTGTACAATAAGGTATCTCTTTTTAAGTTTTCTTCTTTCCTATTAAAAACAAATGTCAAAGTGTCATTTTAAAGAGTACATGTTGTCATTGTTGAAGAGTACATAATGTCATTCCATGTTGTCATTGTTGAAGAGTCATCTCCAAATACTTACTCTCTCTCAACCCTCTCCAATTCATCATTATGGTAATACGTTTGAAGTATGGGATGAAACTTGTCTCTCACTTTCGAATCATATCTTGTTTTAATAAATTCATCTCGTTGTTGTAATTCTTGCCTCAATAAACGATCTGCATCATGTGTTTTGTAAATGAGATAAAAGTCATCAAATATCTTTGGAGGCTTTTTAAACTTCTTCAATTTGGTTTGTCTGTCAATCAATTCTTTACTTTCAGATAATTTAGTAATAGAAGGATCAGAAATCATTTTCTTTCCTTTTTCTACTCGTTTGGTTGAGAAATAAAAATCATAATCCATCGATGATCTTCGTTTATCCTTTAATGTAACAATATCAAAATGACTTTCCAAACAATTAGTCCTATCCATAGCTCTATTCATTTGTTTGATTTGTAATTCATGTTCAAATTCTTTATATTTAGATTCTCTTTCAGGATCAATGAATTGTTGTAGAATTGGGTTAATCTCTCGTTGTTTTTCTCTCCAATTGTAACTTTTATCTCGTGTTTGTCTATATATGGGTTCAGGTTTTTGAATGAGATCATGAGTGGTGGATTTTTCTAATCGATACAAGTTCAATAATTCACCCCATGATTGAGGTTCGGAGTTTCGAAATTTGTTCTTATTGTTGGAGAGATGATGATGTATTTTGGGTGAAGAATTTTGAGATTGAATTGGTTGTTGTTGTTGTTGATCGTGTTGAGAACCATGGTTGTTGTTGTTCATCATCATCAATAATGGTGGTGGTGGTGATGGTGGTGGAAATAACTGGTGCAATGATTCGTTTTTAGCAGTCGTGGAGTTGTTGTTGTTTGAATCTTCCATGTTGTTGTTGTTGTTGTTCTGTAAATTTTTTAACGTTTTTATGGGCGGCAAATCCATCTCTCAGTTGCCTTTTGCCTCTTTGACAATGATCCTCGTGAGGAAATGATGTGGTGGTGGATGAAAATGTTTCAACATTCAACACTCTCTCTTCTCATCACACACACTCTCTCGAAGCGAGCTGCAACAGTGGTCCAGGGTGTAATGACGTTCAATCAATGCATACGTGTCAATTTTTGATGATGATCACTCAAAAAAATGTAAGTACTCTCTCATGATGGATTGCGAATCTTGTATGGACTTATCACTTGCCGATTGTTGGATGATCTTGCGGATGGTATTATTTAAATTATGGTGATGATTGTACAATTATTGTATTACTTTTACCTGTGGTTTTTCGATATTGAACCCGACCAACCATTACCACCACATCAAATGTAATTCATCATCATCCTACTCTTATCATACCATCAAATGTAACTCATCATCATCCTACTACTCCAACTACTACAACATTATTCATTCAACGAATGATGATGATTTAAAAAACCTTTTTGAAAGCTAGCCTCTTCTGTTGGAGTTTTGTTGTGATTAAAAAAGTTTAAAATACTCTTCCAACACCTACTCTCAAACACACCCCATTCAAATCTACAACAACAACATTCACTCAAATCTACAACAACAGTTCTCCAACAACTACCACTACTGCTCTCTCATGAATAGGCTCGACATTAAAGAAAAATTGATTGCTCGCTCGGAGCATCGAGTCAAGTCTGTGGATCTTCATCCGACTGAACCATGGCTCCTCTCTTCCTATTACAATGGAAATGTTACCATTCATGATATTACTACTAAACAAATTATTAAGAGTTTTGATGTTACCGACTTACCTGTTCGTTGTGCCAAATTCATTCCACGTAAAAGATGGATTGTCTGTGGTAGTGATGATCATGCCATTCGTGTCTTTAATTACAATACTATGGAAAAGGAACGTGAATTTGAAGCTCATGATGATTATATTCGATCCATTGCAGTACATCCCACAAAGCCTTACATTCTCACTTGTTCCGATGATATGAGTATTCGATTGTGGGATTGGGAAGACAAGTGGAGATGTGTTCGAAAATTTGAAGGACACACTCACTATGTGATGCATGTAGTCTTTAATCCCAAAGATCCAAATGTATTTGCATCCTGTTCATTGGATGGATTGGTGAGAATGTGGAATATTCACACCGAACAACCTAATTTTACTCTTCAAGGACATGAGAAGGGTATTAACTACATTGATTTCTATCATGGTGTGGATAAACCATTCTTAATTAGTGCAAGTGATGATATGGTTGCAAAAGTTTGGGATTATCAAACCAAACATTGTGTTCAAGCATTGGATTCACATGCTCACAATGTCACTACATGTTGTTTTCATCCAAAATTACCAATTATTATCACTGCTAGTGAAGATTTTACAGTGAATATTTACAATTCTCAAACATTTAAATTAATCAAGACTTTGAATTACAATTTGGAACGTGTGTGGGGTATGGCTTATACTCTTGAAGATTCAAGATTGGCATTGGCATGTGATTTGGGTAGTGTGGTATTGAGATTGAGTAAAGATACACCTGTGGTTGCTATGGATAAGAAGGGTAAAGTGACATTGGCATTGAATAATGAAGTTCAACAAATGACCATCAAGGAACCTGTTGTATTGTCAATGACATCAAGTTCTGGTACCTCTACTAGTGAATATGGTCACATTACTACCAATACTACTACTACCAGTACTACCACTCCACTCTCTTCAGGTGAACGTCTCACCAACATTCCTACCAAAGATATGGGTTGCATTGACATTTATCCTGAAAGTATGGAATATGATCCAAAAGGACATTTCATTAGTGCTGTGGGTGGTGGTGATTATGTGATTTATGCTGCTGTATCCATGCGTTCTAAAACCTATGGAAATGGTGAAGAATTGGTTTGGAGTTCAGTAACCTCAGGTTGCTATGCAGTGAGATGTAAAAATAATGAAATTAAGATCTACAAGGACTTTAAAGAACACAAAGTATTCAAACCATTCTTTACTCCTAAACAAATATTTGGTGGACAATTATTAGGAATTTCATCCAAAGATTTTATTTGTTTCTATGATTGGGATTCATGTCAAATGATTAGAAATATTGGAGTATCACCACGTAAAGTCTATTGGAGTGATGAGAGTGCTAACAGTTCTTCAGTTCTATTAGCCACTGAGAATGAGTTTTATATTTTGAGATATGATGCTCTCTTGGTTAAGAATTCTTTAAAGAATAAGACTCAAGAAGAAGATTCACAAATTGAAGATTCACTCATTTTAGAATACAATGTTGATGAAAAGATTCGTGAAGGTCAATGGGTCGGTGAAACATTTATTTATACCAACAATGATGCTCGATTGAATTATGTGATTGGTGGACAAGTGACTACCATTACTCATTTAGAAAATTCTAAACACTTCTTTTTAGGTTATGTTGCAAAGCACAATAGAATTTATATTATGGATAAGGATCGTAATATTCTCTCATTTAGATTATTTATTCAAGTCTTACAATATGAGAGTGCTATTTTAAGAGGTGATTTAGAAAGTGCATCTCTATTGTTACCTCAAATTCCACAAGAAGAATACAATCGATTAGCTAAATTCTTAGATGCACAAGGTTATAAGGAATTAGCTTTACAAGTCACACGTGATGATGAACATCGATTTGAAATTGCTCTTCAACTCAATGATTTAAATAATGCCTATGAGATTATTAAGGTGAGCAAGTCTGCATTGGAAACCAAATGGAAACAATTAGGACAATTAGCACTCTCTCAGAGTAACATTCAATTAGCACAGGAATGTTTCACTCATGGTAATGATTATGGTGGATTGTTGTTATTGTACACAAGTACAGGTGATCGTGAAGGAATGAAGAAATTGGCTGAATTGTGTCTTTCTAACAAACATCATGTAGGATATAACAATATTGCATTCATGTGTTTCTATTTGTTAGGATTGGTAGATCAGTGTATTGATTTGTTGATTGAGACTGGTCGTGTACCTGAAGCAGCTCTCTTTGCTCGAACTTTTGCACCTTCTCAAGTCTCTCGAGTGGTTCAATTGTGGAGAAGTGATTTGATGGGTATTACGAGTGCTAATATTACTGGTAGTGGTAATACTGGTCATGGTACTCCAATTACGACTGGATCCAGTCAGACTGAAAGTTCATCCTATAAGAGAAGTGAATTGAGTTCACAACGATTGAAATCCATTGCAGAGTCATTGGCTGATCCAACTGATTATTCCAATCTATTCCCCAATTTTGAAGATTCACTTGAAATTGAAAAGTATTTGAGAGAGAATTATTATCACAAATTGGAACAGAATGAATTTGATTCTACCATGTATTCACAAGTGAAACAAACCATGTTTGGATCTGATGGAAATGGTGTGAATTGGATTGAACAATACAAACAAGGAGGTGGTGGATTTAACATTGCATTACCAACTACTATGAATAATAAGGAACATGATGATTAAACAAGTGTGTGATGATGACCCTATGAATGATGATGTTCAAAGTCTTTGGTGATCCTCATATGATGATGATGTCAATGTCTTTGGTGATCAATGTCTTTGGTGATCAATGTCTTTGGTGATCAATGTCTTTGGTGCGCATGATCATTAATAACACAGTGCGTTAAAAAAATGTCATCCTCCTTCTCTTCGTTTTCACTTCTCCTCCTCTCTGAGGTTTTGAATTCATCCAATGAATGGTTTCGGAAAGTCTTCTTGTCATTGCTTGGACAATTCGAGAGGAAAATGATCGTACGAACAAACCGAGAGTCTAATCACACGATGACCACACAACAACTCTCTCCTACACTCATCACTCAAATATTAATTTTAATTTCAAGCATTTTGACAGGTGGATTCCGATATTATCATTCCATCATGAATAGTGATCATGCATTGATGATGAATCAAGAACTTGAAAATGACAGCAGTGGTGGTGGTGGTAATAGTATTACTTCTACCACTACTACTACTACTACTTTATCAACATTCTCATTGAAAAATCCATTCTTTGGAGAACGACCACATTACTTTATGCCACCCTCTGATATGGAACAATATCGACGAAGAGGACGACAATCTCAAACAGGATCATCCACACAAGAATTATCACACGTTTACATTCCCTATCCCAATGATCCTCCTCACACATTTCCATCGATTAAGGCAAGATCACTCTTTACAAAATCTCCAAACAAGTTAAGTCAAGTCTATATTGAGAGAATTGATCCAGTGAATCGATCCAATTTGAGAAGTGGTGCTAAATTAAAAGTACCATTACAACAATTAGAAGAAAGATTTAGAACTGTTTATACCAATGCTAAAGATAATGGATTGGAAATTACAATGAATGTGAAAAAGAATTTAAATTCTCAAGAACAATTTGAAAAGTTAGGATTTTATCAACAACAAGAAACAACAACGAGTAGTAGTAGTCAGAGTGGTGGTGGTTCGAGTGGTGGTGGTGTTGGTACGAGTGGTACTAGTACTCCAACTTCAATGGAAAGTGTCAATACTACAAATTCATCCAACCATTTGACCTATGATTTTCATCATGTGGATGGTCTAATAACACCACCCTTATATCGATTGGAATAATCAAGTGGAAGTCATGATCATGTTTTGTGAAATCCATGGGAATTGCTTAAAGAGCATGCATGCTCTGACTCTCCATGCATGCTCTCTGTGAATATATTCACATTGTGATATTAGGAACAAGGTGTTGTTGTTGCATCAAGAGAGAGACTTGTTCAGAACCACCACCTCATCCTCGAAATATGTGAGAGAGAGGATTTTTCAAAATTGACTGTTGCAACCTGCTATTAATGAGCACAATGTATAACAACAACAAGATGCTGAACGTCCAATGTATTCAACAATTCAAGATGCTGATCTTGTTACCTATAATTGTAATGCTGATCTTGTTACCTATAATTGTAATGAACATTTATTAAAAAGTAAAGGGTGATAATGGTCTTCTTCGTCTTACATACTTGTTGTTCTTTTGCTGTTGTGAATTGTTACACTGCTGTGTTGAGTTCTTCTTCTTCTTTTCAAGTGGTTGATCTGCCATGAATTCATCACATTCCAATTGCTCAACTACTAATTGCATGGGATCACATTCACATCCATTCACAAGTTCATAGGTTCTTTTCAATTCCAAAATGGATTCATATTTTTGTTGAATGGAAGGTGGTGCATATTCCAATTCTTGTACATTGGTCACAATAGGTGAAAAGATTAATTTAGGAGCATATTTCAATCCCAATGCTTGTGTGAGATGAGAAGTGAGAAATCCAGAAGCTGTGGTTAATAAATGATTCAATTTTTCTAAATGATAAATTTCAGGAGAGGAATTTTCGTGATCCATCAATGATGAATCATCATCTTGTGGTGGTGAATACATTCCTTGTTGTGGATTCATCCTCTTTAATTCATAATCCAAATCATCTTTCAAAGTAATAGCATCCGAATGATCTTGAGCATGTAAAAATCCTTTCAATCTCATCCATTTCACATAAATGGTTCTTTGATCATTTCCAATATGAACATTTGTAATTCTAATTTGAGTTCTTAATCTTTCATCCTTATTAATTGTTCGATCACTTAATATTTGATCCAATGTTCTTTTTACAATAATTGAAAATCTATAATGTTTTCTTTCAAGAGAGGATTTATCTTTTAATTTGTTACCAATTAAAGAAGAAAGTGTGAGAGGAGTTGTTGTTGAATTTGTCATTAAATTCATGTCTTTGACTTGATGTTTCATTAAATATTCATAATCTTCTGCTGTTAATTTTCCTAATTGTAATTGATCTCTTTTTAATCCTAATCGACTTAATTGTTTATCAAATTGATGATCACGTTGTTTCTTTTTTGATTCTTTTTCTTGAATTTTTAATTGTTGTTTTTGAATTTTTTTATAATTTTTAATGTGCGTTTTGAGAAGTTGTTGATCGAGTGGAGAAATTTTATCATCTTTGAGAAGAAGAGATTTAAAGGAAGAATTTGATTTCTTTTTAGAGAAAGTACAAGTATGATAATCTAATGTCTGATGGGAATGTAATGATGAGAAGGATGAGGAGAAGGAATGGTTCAGAGTTCTTGACAAGACTAGTTGGGAAGAAGAGGTCAAGGAACTTTTTCCGATGAGGAAGAGTCCATCAGGAAGGTGATGACGAGGATGTAAACTCTTTGGAGTAGTAGTAGCAGTCGGAGTAGTACGAGTGGTAGTAGTAGCTGACCAAGTCTTGTTGTTTTTCAATTGAAAGAACAAGAAGCGATTCATTATTATTGGGTGTCGAGTGAGGATTTCAGGTATTTTTTTGAAGGTGATCCTCATTTATAGGATGAGGACGACGCGATGGAACACACGTGTGGATTTCGCGCCAAAATTCTTCGTTAATTCTTTCAAATTTCAAAAGAAATTGAAAAAATGATGCTCACTTCATCACGCAGTCAACAACAACAACAACAACAAGGAGGCTCATCATCATCCTCTCAACAACAACAATCATCATCCTCATCACTCCTCAACAAACAAACCTCATCATCATTAAATTTACCCGATTATCTCAAAGATAAATCAACCATTCGACAATTTCTTCTCGACTACTCCACAGTCGTCTATCATCATCATGATCCCACCATTACCTTTCCATATCGAGAATTATTGACAAGACTCAAGTCGTTTGGAAATTATTCATCCACTACATCATCATTCATGGACATGTTCAACAACAACAATAGTATTACTAATAGTAGTGGTGGTGGTTCGAATGAAAAGATGAAATTTCTCATTCAATTCGATGATTTACAAGTGGGTGGATATCAAGATTTGATTTTAAAAATTCAAGAAAATACCATGAGGTATAAGAAATTATTTGAATCTGTCATTGATGAGTGGATGACGACTACTACTATGGATACTACCACTACTACCACTTCTGCTGCTACTACTACTCCAATGAATACCACTACTAATACTACCATCACTACCACCACTACTGATCCTACCACATCCTCATCCTCACTCTCACCACCATCCTCACTCTCATCATCCTCACTCTCACCACCATCCTCACTCTCATCATCTTCCTCACATCCACCTGAACTCTCTCGACTCTATGAACTCTATTTTGTACCACGTCTCACACAACGTGCTCTTCCTCTTCGTCAAATCAAAGGTAAACACATTGGTAAATTAGTCATGGTTCGAGGTATTGTCACAAAACAAACCGATGTCAAGGCAGAAATGAAAGTAGCCACCTACAAGTGTGATACATGTTCAGGAATGATTTATCAAACCATTAATCAAAATTCATTTATACCTCTTGAGCAATGTGTTCAAAAAGAATGTAAAGGAAATTTACTTCCACAAACACGTGAGAGTTGTTTTGTAAAATTTCAACAATTAGTTATTCAAGAAATGAGTGATGAAGTTCCAACTGGACACATTCCACGTAGTATGAGAGTAGTATTAAGAGGTGAATTAACACGTTCATGTACACCTGGTGATTCTGTGAATATATATGGTGTATTTTTACCTTATCAATTGAGTAGTGGATCACATGCTGTGAAACATTCAAGTCCAGTAGCAACGACTTATTTAGAAGCTCATCATATTGTGAAACATAAGAGAAGATATAATGATGAAGAATCATTGAATGAACAAGAAAATCAATTATTATTACAAATTGAACAAGATGTGAAAAGAATGGGACAAGAAGTATGGTATGATCATTTATCACGTTCCATAGCACCTGAAATTTATGGACATGAAGATGTAAAGAAGGCATTATTACTTCAATTGATTGGAGGAGTCACAAGAGAGATGAGAGGATTGAAAATTAGAGGAGATTTGAATGTTTTATTAATGGTAAGTTTATGAACCATCATTACTTGCTCATACTTTGGATTCATCTCTGCACCATCTCTATACACACACACACACCTCATTCACACACACACTCATTCATCTCATCCCCTTCCCCCTCATTCTTCAACACACACCATAGGGAGATCCAGGTGTTGCTAAATCTCAACTTCTTCGTTTCATTTCACACATCTCTCCACGTGGTATCTACACCACAGGTAAAGGTAGTAGTGGTGTTGGTTTAACAGCAGCTGTTGTCAAAGATCCACTCACCAATGAACTCATTCTAGAAGGTGGTGCATTAGTGTTGGCTGATAATGGTATTTGTTGTATTGATGAATTTGACAAGATGGATGAATTTGATCGAACTGCACTTCATGAAGTTATGGAACAACAATCCGTGTCCATTGCTAAGGCTGGTATTACAACCACACTCAATGCTCGTACTTGTGTGTTGGCTGCTGCTAATCCTGCTTATGGTCGATGGAATACCAAACGATCTGTCTCTGAGAATATTAATTTACCACCTGCATTGATGAGTCGATTTGATTTGATGTTTCTATTATTGGATAAACAAAATAATGAAAGTGATATGAATTTGGCAAGACATATCACTCGAATGCATGCACAGTGTGGAGGTCAAAGTGTTAGTGATCAAAGTGTTAGTGATCAAAGTGGTGGTGCAGGTGCAGGTACAACAACTTTGACAACAACAGGAATCACAACAGGAACTAGTACCACCTCATCCTCAGTGACAACAACAGGAACTAGTACCACCTCAATTCCACTCTTTTCACCTGAATACATTCGAGCAGTGGTGGCCATGACAAGGAAACATGAACCCATGTTATCTTCTCACATTGGTTTTGCTCCAAATTCTCCTGCTGCTAAAATTAAGGAAATTTATGTCACCATGCGTCAAAATGATGAACGTCATTCAAGAGTGAGTGATAAGATACAAATGTATACAACACCTCGAACACTATTATCAATCATTAGACTTGCAGTGGCAAAAGCTAGACTTCGATTTGCAGATGAAGTATCTTGTGAAGATGTGAGTGAAGCTGAGAGATTGATCATTGCATCAAGATCTTCTCTTTTGGATGATAATGATAGAAATAATAGAAGAACAGATCCAATCTTTGCCATCTATGATATTATTAGAAATAGACTCTCACAGAGTGGTGATGGTATTGTGGATTTGAATTCATTACAATCTGAATTGGTTGGATTTAAACAAGAGAACATTCAGGAATGTTTGGATCACTTTGAACAACTCAATATTTGGGTGACCAATGATAATATTGTACAATTGGTGAGAAATGGCAATTAATAGGATCCATTAAATTATTGTTTTGATTGGAGTAGAATCGATCTATACGTGGATTGGAGTAGAATCGATCTATCCGTTGATTGTGTCATTGACATTACTTGCAGAGATTGTTGTCGAACACGAATAATCGATGATAGTAGTTGTTGAATCACCAAGTCTTGAGAGTTTCACAAATTTATTCAATTCTTCTTAAAAGTGCTCCATACATACCATCTCCTCCATTCAAAAGTGGTAATGTCTTGACCTGATGAACCAATTCAAAATTCTTGTGTTTTCGCAAAATGTATTCAATTTGATCTTCATTTTCCTTTCTCAAAATGGAACATGTGGAATAAAGCAAATAATTTCCCTTCTTCACATAGGGTATGGCATTTTCAATAATTTCTCTTTGCTTTTTGGTTAGTTCTTTGATCCAATTGTAATTAATTTTGTATTTCAACTCGACATTCCTTCTCAAAGTACCTGTTCCTGTACATGGAACATCGAGAATGACTAAATTCATCTTTTCTTTCAATTTTTCCCAATGAGGATGATCATGTTCAAGTGGTTGAATATTCTCAATACCTAATCGATGTGCTCTTCTCTTCAATTCTGAAGATAATTTCTCTAATCGAATATCATGCATATAGATTTGACCTTTTCCTCCAAGAGCACCAGCCAATGCAAATGATTTACCACCAGTTCCACAGCAATAATCCAATACAAGTGGCTTTGAGGATGTTATTTGTTTTAAAGCTCCATTTCTAATCAATTCATCCACAACATATTGACTACTATCATCTTGTATTTCAAAGAAACCTTCCTTAAATTCTGGCCATTGTCTAAAATCTGTCTTCTTCTCAAATCTAAAACCAAAGGTCGTCAATTTACTTGGTGTGATTTTTCCAACCTCTTGTGAATATTTTTCAGAGAGTTTTTTGATGAATTTTCGAGCCTTTTTTTTCAATTGCTCAGTGGATAACACTTGAGGAGAGCTGTCGGTGTGGAATAGAGTTCTAGTAGAAGAAGAAGTCGTAGTAGCAGCAGCAGTATCATCATCTCTCGGTGATTCACGACTTGTAGCATCTATCTGTTGAGTTTGTTGAGCATTCATTTTACCATTGATCACCTTGACATCATTGACTCTTCCAAATGCAGGTGCTTCTGAATTATTAATCAAACAAATTTCAATCGCCTTCTCTTCACCATATTCTTCACATAGAATATCAAACAATTGAGCAGGACAACTCAATTTAACATTGATGGGAATCTTTTCAAATAGAAGATCAGAATGATGGAAAACCACTTGTTCAAAATCTTGTTCATGAAAATATTGCTTATACAATGCATACAAAAGTCTCCAGTGAAGAACTGATTTTCTATTTTCTTCAACAAATGTTACTGATTTTGGAAGAAAATGAGCATTAGGACCTAATTCTTTCATTTTCATCATATTCATTCGATTAATGTATTGATCTAGTGATATTTCTAATTTCTCTTTCATTTCATCAAAATTAAATTTCTTTGACATGTAATCCAATAATAAATATATTTTTTCAATTTCATAACATGCACAAATGATCATTTCCTTATTGTTTTTTCCTATTTTGTTAGCCTTTAAATAATTGCTAATAAATTTATCAAGAGTATAAGATGGATTTTCAATTAGAGATTGATGATAATGATAGAGAATTGAAATGGCATGTCTTTCAGGAAATGTCAATGGATATTCATCACTTGATTGATGTTCTTGAAGAGCCTCTTCTTGATGCGAAAGAGAATGAAGAGTTTTGGACATTTCTAAACTTTTTAAATTACTATCGGAAAGGGAAGGTTGTGATTTACGTTGTTTCGTGGTATTAGTCATATTGGTCGTGGTCATATTGGTGGTAGTCTTGGCTGTGATCTTGGTCGTAGAACATGATTTACGAGTCGACTCCATGGAGTCATGGTGGGTCTTCAGTGTTGGTTTGGAAGAAGCAGCAGCAGCAGCATGGAGTGTTCCACTACGGAAGGTCCGAAAGGTACTTGATGTGTTCATGAGTAATAGTGGTGGGTATAGTGATGATGATGAAAATGTTAATGAGGATGATAAAAGGCTCTTCTTGAACATGGTTGCCATTTGTTGCACCAAAGAAGAAGAGCCAAAATTTTGACGGAGCACACCAGCGTGAAACATTTTTTTTGAAATTTATTTTTTCTTCAAAAAAAAATGTGGAAGCAAATCGTGAGAGTTCGTCGTCGAAGTTGCAATAGTCGCAATAGTTGTTGTCCTTCTCTTTCTTTAATAAGAGCTGAAGGAATGATCATCCCGAATGATGATGATTACTACTCTCGCCATTATCATCATGACATGATGACATTAGAACCCAGGATTCATTTGTGGTCCCACGATGGTCATGATTCTTCAATAATAATGAAGAAGAAGAAGAACATTTCTCTTAACAATATTAGAAAGGATTCTCCTCATCATGGGAAGGATGATGCCCATAATGGAAATTACCCCACTGCCACTCACACCACCACTCGTACTCCCACTTCTTCTACTACTATTACTACTACTACTACTACAACTAATACTCTTCACAACAAGAATGAGACTCATCTCTCTTTGTCATCGTTACAAGAGACAAGTATCTCGTGGAAAAATCTCTACAATCTCTTATTGCGTAATAATAATGATCATAACAATACTACTACTCATTCTACTAATCATCATAATAATACTACAAATTCTACAACCTCGTCGATCTATGATACTTCTTCTACAATGAGTAAACCCTTACATGGTGGTGATCAAAAAAGTCCTCTTATCGATCCAAATACTTTGGCTGAAAACAAAATTCTTTCAAAACTTGATGCTCTTCAGAACCTCATGCAAAAACTGTGTCAACAATACATTCAAAGAATTTTATTGGAATTTTATTCATCAAAGAATTCTTCTCAACAACAACCATCTCAACAACAACAACATAATGGTCTATCAAATAATTCTTCTTATCAACAACAACAACATGTTCTAAAACGATTGAATGAAATTATTCAAAAAGAATCTTTACAAAATGCTTTGATTTATTTTCATAATTTACCACAAAAGAATGATCCTTCATTTATTTTGTATTTATTTCAAACCATTCTCAATCATCGAATGAATTTAAAGATTTTGAATGAACGTGTTGCTGTAGATTATAAAAAGAGTGTTGAAAATTCAATCATGAGAATTGTCAGAGAAAAGTCAATCACAACAAATTCTCCCATTTCATGTGCCATCTACAAATCAGCCATTGAATTATTGATATTTTTTGAAGGATATCAAAGTGCCATGAAATTGATCAACCATCAATTTATAAAACCTATTTTTAAAAAGAAAAAGAACATTTCAAGTATTAATGAAAAGACCATTCAAAAGAACACTCCAAGTATTAATGAAAAGAACACTCCAAGTCATGAAACAAGTCATGAAAAGAACACTCAAAGTTCAATTTTTGATGACAAGTATTTTACTATCAATGATTTGAGAGATGTATTTCACATTGTGATTGAAAGTAGAATTCATTCCATGATGACACATGATATTGATGAATTATTTAAATATTTAAATACACCATCGAAACTCATTTTAAATGAAAAGAATATCATTGGATTTAATTCAAAAACATTTGAATTAATGATTTTAAATACAAAATCATTTAAAGAAGCTCTTCAAGTCTATGAATCAATTCCATCCGAATATTTAAAAAAAGGATCTCATAGTGCTCTTTTGAAACAAGCATTGAAATTTCAAGCACCAGTGGAATGTATTCAAAGTCATGTATTACCTAAAATAGAATTAGATGATGATGGATATTCTTTATTGTTAGAATATTATGCCTCCATTGGTGATTTAAACCAAGTGAAAAATATTTTTAATCAAATCAACAATCATTCAATGAATACTACTCTTATGAATACTAATTCTAATACTAGTAGTAATAATACTACTCTTATGAATACTAATTCTAATACTAGTAGTAATAATAATAATATCATCATTACTGGTCATACCACTACTCCTACTACTACTACTACTACTGATCATACCACTACTCCTACTACTTTAAATCATCACACTCATCATTCATTGAATGATATCATCATCACCAATAATAATTCTCCAATAATTAATAACTATTACCACAATCACTATCCTTTAACCTATCGAACTGCTGTGAAATATCTCAGTCATGAAATGGATTTACTTTCCATATTGAAAGCATGCATTCAATTAGATCTTCCAATCACACAATTCACTCATTTACCAAAATTTAATGGTAAACCATCGGATGTCATTTCCTATTTTGAAGAATTAATGAAAATGTATTGGAATGATCCAATGCATTCAAATGAAGAAATTAAAAGAATGATCACTCTTATTGGACAATATTTTGGATGGAATTCATTATCTTTTATTTATAGATATATTTTGAATACTATGAATAATACTAATACTACTACGATGAATACGATGAATACTACCTCTATTACTACTACTTCTAGGAATACATCTCTCTTAACACAAATCATTATGAATCAATTGATTCAATGCATGTCTTCACATAACATGGATGTCGCATTGCAATGGTTTTCAAATTCTTTAAAAAATCACTCAATTCTTCTTCCTCTTTACAAGGAAACTTTTCAATTCTTATACAATCAATTGCATACAAGTGCCATGACTGAAGATGAAAAGAAATTTGCATTAGAATTTTTCAAAGCTCACTATAAACACTTTAAAGCAGTGAAAAGTGATAATAATATCAGTAATAATAATATCAGTAATAGTAACAATAGTAATAATATCAGTAATAATAATAATACCATCACTAGTGATCATAATGATATTATTATTTATCAAGATGAGAATGGTCGACCATGTACACCACAAGAACTCTCTTTAAATATTTGGAGATCAAAAATTGAAGAATCCATTTCAAATTCAAGATATGAATACCTCAAGAAGGTGATTAAGAAATATGTCATAGAACGTAGCCACATGAATAGTAATGATCATCATCATAGTAATACAAATAACATGAATAGTAATGATCATCATCATACAAATAGTCATCATGATAGAGATTATCATCGTAATATTTTAACTTCTAGCAAACTAGTGAGTGAAGAATTTATTATTGAGACTGTGATTGAATCATTTTGTAAGAACCATCGAACACTATTTGCTTCCACAATTTTCTCTCAATTATTATCTGAATTGGCAATTGCATTGAAACACATGGAAGAGAGTGAATTTGAATACGATCATGTGAAGAATTATTCCAACATTAATCATCAAACAGTGTCTCATGGTAGTGATGCCATCACTTATCATAGTAATAAGAATGGCAATGCTGGTAATTCAACGAGTAGTAGTAGTAGTAGTACTTTGAAAATTGAACCAATTTCTCCTCTCATTTATTCCATACCTTCTTGTTATGAATTTCTATGCAAATTATTTCATATTATTTTTGAACACATGAGTGAATCTATAACTAGTAGTAATAGTAGTAGTAGTCATAGTACAATCTCAAGCATGCTAACGACTAGTACAACTTCTACCTCTTCAACGACTGATAGTAACGAATTAATGAAACGTCATTACCATCGAATGATGACTTTTTATGATCAAACCATTCAAAGAATACCTTCTCTTCAATGGAATACTCATACATTGAGAATCTATTTAAAGGCACATTTCAATACTGAACATGTTCGATCCATTCTATTAGAGAGATATTTGTGTGATGAAGAAGAGATTGATGATTCTATTGTTTCAACAACAACTAGTAGTAGTAATAATAGTAATAATAGCAATAATAGTAATAATAGCAATAATAGTAATAGTAATAATAGTAATAGCAATAATAGTAGTGCTGTCTCTACCACTCTTCATCAAGAGGTTACTACTCCTCCTCATGAAATCTCCTCATCTCTCATCATTTTAGATACACAAACATGTAGTATGATTCTCTTATATTTATTACAACAACATGATACTCCAATCCTCACATCTAAAACTCAATTAACATTTGAAAAGAAAATTGAAGACATGACATGCTATCTTGAGAGTTTTCCAAATCATGAAACTTTTGCTTTAATGGCAAGATATTATTTTGAAATTTTGAAAAATCATGAAAAGGCCATTCAAATGTGTCATACTTTGATTAGACTTTATCCTCAAATTATTACATCTTATAATGTATTACTCGATGTGTATTCAAAAACAGGTAATGATTTGAATGTCATTGATCATGTTCATTTATGGATACGACAAAATAAGGCAAATCCAAATTTAGAAACATTTCGAACACTTCTATTGGCCTATTTGAAACACAAGAATTACATCACTAGTGCCATCTCTATATTCAAAGAAATGTATCAAGTGTATCACATCATTCCTACCGATGATATTACTCTCAATCTATTTGATACATTACAAGATTCTAATTTAAGAAAGAGTTTTGAATATCAAAAATCAATATTTGAATCTGTTTTAGCATTTAGAAATGATTATTATAGAAATAATGATGTTGGTGGTGGTCATGGTGGTGAGAAGACAAATTCAACATTATTGAATCATGTGATTGAAAATTTTTTAACACTCACGACGAGTTGTTTCTTGAGAGGAATGGAAAAAGTCACACATTTCAATGATGATCCATCTCCAATCTTTTCTATTTTGAATGTTATACTTGATGTGGAACGACGCAACAAGTTGTTGGGTGATAATGATCTACGGTCTATTAGTCGTAGTCGTAGCAGTAGAACTAGTGGTGGTGGTGGTAATAGTAATACCAAGTTAACTACTAATTCAATGAAAGATACTTGTTCAAGTGGCCTCACTCATGTCAACAACCACATGACTTTTAACTCGTATCCACCTATTCAATGTACGAATGAAATTTATTACTATGCCACACTATTATTGATGAAATTTAACAAATCATTCACCAAAAAGAAGAGTTCTACTACTAACAATTCTCCTATTTCTAGAAATAATACCATTCGAAATGAAGATGAGATATCGACAGCACCACTCAACTCTGCACTTTACACTTACATTTCACAACAATATATTCCATTTACGAACATTGGTACCCTTAATGGTATTTTAATGTCCCTCTTTAGACAACATTATTTCTCTGCTGCTTGGATTTTATATAATATGAGACCTAGAGAATTGAAAGGAGATTTATTAACATTTTATATACTCACAAACTGTTGTAGAGATGATTCTGATTATTTTGAACTTGGATTATTGTACCAAGAATTATATGTGAAGAATGATAAATGTGTATCCGGAACGAACATGATGATACATTTGGAAGATGAATTCTCAATGAGCACTTTATTGAATCGATTTTTAATATTAACATTGCGCTTTGAACCTGATCGAGTATTAGAAGTGATCGAGAATTTCATTTCACATGATCAATTATTCGAAATTTCACCTGTAATTCAATCGAGAGTGATACAAATAGCAAGAAAGTTGAATCGGAGTGATGTTGAAGGGAAATTGGCACTGTTTGGAGATTATCAAAGTGGTAGGAGTGATGACTATACAGAGCGACAAGCAGAAGGAGTTGAATTGCCTTAAAGCAACGACATTCCTAACTCAATAAAGTACTTGAATTGAAATTTAATTTATTAAATAAGGGTAAAAAAAAGGACCCTCTCCCTTGACATTGTTTTACCGACATTGTATCAAAAAAGAATTATTGAATATTTCTAGTCTTGATCATTCCATCGAGATTACCGTATGAAACCAAAGTTGGATTGGATTGCAACAAATACTTGGCAGCTTGCTTCACATCTTGGGCAGTAACGTTAGAAATAGCTTGTGCGACCTCTTGGACACTTCCATAGGCAGCATTATGTTCGTTCAAGCCAAGACTTGAAGAAACAGAGTTATAGAGTTTAAGTAAAGCATGGTTCTTGGCACCTTCAAAGGCTTCTTCAGTCAAATTCTTGTCCACAGAGTTCAATTCAGACACAACCTTTTCAACAGCTTGAGAGACTTCTTTGGCGTTCTTTCCTGAAAGATAAACTCCGAACAAACCGTTGTCAGAGTATGAAGTAACAAATGATGATCCAAATTCGGCATTCTTTACAGTCTTTGCCAATCTTGAGGCAGTATGATGAATCGATGCGGTATACTTATTTGAAGTTTGTCCAAGGAATTCATTCAATACAAGGTATGGTGCTTGTGTTGAAGAGTTCAATGATGGACCCTTATATGCCAAAATAGCGTGAACTCCATTTCCAGAAAGGTCGTGAATTTGATAATCACCACCAACATACTCAGACTTATCGAAAGTGAAAAGCTCGCCTTCTGGTCTTTGAGAAACTTGAGTTGGAATTGATCCGAACAATGTTGATGCCAATTCTTTAAGCTCTTCATGTGAAATGTTTGTACCAACCAATGTCATACGTGGAGCAACAAACAAATTATCCATGTAAGTCAAAATAACATCAGTATCAATCTTTGAAACATTGTGAGGTGGGCACAACAATGAACGACCGAGAGTCTCGCCATTGAATGCAATATTATGAAGCGCTTCATTCAAAATGAATTGAGGATTGTTTTGGAATTCAGAAATATCACGTTTAACAGCTTCGGTCTTTGGTTCCAAATCCCATGGATGCAATCTTCCTTGTAAAACTGAGTTGGAAATAAGTTCTAAAACTAGTGGGACGGATTCACGCAAAGCCTCAGTTTGATACACAATATTTTCACGTCCAGTTTGGGCGCTAACGGTAGCACCAGTCTTTTGTAATTCAGTGACCAATCTCAGCAAACTTCTGTTGTTGGTGCCAGAGAAGAAGAATTTTTCAACAAAGTGGGAAACACCGCTTGTACGGTATGTTTCAAAACGAGATCCAGCATTAACAAAAAGGCTGACAACGCTCACTCCTCTTGATGTAGAATCCTATCAAAATGTTTTGTGGTAATGATGGTGAGGCGATACAATGTTGTTGATGTTGATAATACCATACCGATATCAAGGTGATGATGTTTTGATGAAGAAGGTGGTGAGTTGATTGAAAATGATTGTATTTAAAAATTTGGATAAATATTATCATGTTCCGCAGCGATGAATCACCATCATCATTGGTTATCACTAACATACTTACAGTTGAAACAACGTTCAATCCGTTTGGAAGAGTTGATTTTTGTGTTTGGAAGACAAGAGATTCCTCAGAAACATCCACTTGGTTAGGAAGAACAGGAGTTCCAGGGAAGAAGCTAGAGAGAGGAATTTCGCCAGGAGAGCCTATTAAACTTGCCTTGTTGTTAAGACAAGTAGAGAAACATCTGCTGTTTGTCTGCAAAAACTTCTTGCTGGTCTTGGCGAGCGATGAAATTTTCATTTTGTTGAATATTTTTTTGAGAGGCAAACGGAGAATTTACAACGCCAATTTGGAAAAAACAAAACCATGACCAAAGCAACCAACCTTTCAAAAAATTAGAAAAAATCATAATGTATTGTTGATGACCATCACAAACGAAATCATCTTTAAAAATCACGAGTGGAATGATCAATATTTCAAAGATGAGATTCAAATCTTGATTTTCTTTTCCTCATTTCTTTAGAAATGCACCAAAGAATTTTTCTATTGAGTTGGACATCCTTTACCATCTCCCATATTAGAGGGAAGATTTAATCCTTGCAACAATTTGTGGACTTCACTTGCTTCTTCATTACCTCCTTCAGGCTTTGATAACTGACTTACAATCTCCTCTGGAGGTTGACCTTGTTCTTGCATGGCTTTCATCAACTCTATAAGTTCATCAATAGCATCTGGATATTGTTGGGTTTCATAAACACGACAAATTTTACAACATAAATCGTATTGTCTTTTAACTCTTTGGTATTCTTCCTCAGGAACTTGTCCTTTCTTTTCTTTAAGCCAAATTGGATACTTTTCTCGCAACTCTTCCATTGGTTGTCTGAGAATATCTGGAGACATCAAAACTTCCATCATTTTTTGTAACAATCCTGAAAACGCTCCTTCATCCACAGATTCATCTTGATCTTCTCCTCCACTTGGTAAATTCGTTGCATTATTCATGGATGCAGCGTTTTTGTTTAACATGTCAAGAGTGTTCTTCATAACTTCTTGAAAATTATAGGAAGAGTTTGATGAGGAAGAAGAAGAAGCTGTTGTCTTATTTTCATCATCATTATTTCCTTCTTTTTCTAATTCAGAGAAAAATTTAGTCACTTGTTCCGCTAAATGATTTACAACTTGTTTCTCTTCGGAAAGAAGAGTTTTCTCTAAAATATCATCCAAATCAATATCATCATTTCTTGTTGACTCGGCAGTACTCGAAGAGGCTGTTAAGGAGTTGCTATTTTGTTTTGTTGTTGTTGTTGTTTCTGAAGCTTTTGATGGATTCGGAGAAGCTGAATTATCATTAGTATCGTCATCAAATTCTTTCAAAGCATCTTTGTTATTATTATTGTATAATAATTCCAATGCAATCGGAAAACTACAATCGGACCACAAATATAATTGAACACTTCATCAGTACTCACCTTCAAGAAGATCATCCAAATCGTCTTGTTCAACGTTATTGTTGTTATTGAGCATTTTTTTCTCCGTTATTTCCGTTTGTTAGGTGGGATTTCAGCATCTTCAATGGACTCATTACAGTCCTATGGTTGTTATTATATCATCAGAATCACCATGATGCAGTTAGAGTTGTTTGGGGTAGCCAGTCAACCCTGGGTGCCTACTCAACCCAACAACAGGACCGAACTCGCATTGGTGGTGTTTCGTTCACCGAGATCGTGTGTCGCCAAAAAAAATGTCATCATCACCTTCTTCTTCTTCATATTCTTACACTTCTCCGAAATTTACTTGCACTAGCCCAGTGAATATTGCTGTCATCAAATATTGGGGAAAGGAGAATGAAGAGGAACACATTCCGCTCAACTCATCTCTCAGCGCTACCCTGAATCAAGATGATTTAAAAACTACGACCACTGTTCAAGCTAGTACCGAATTTACTTGTGATGAGTTGATTCTCAATGGAAAGAAGGAAGATGTTCAAGGAAGTAAACGTATTCAAAGAGTATTCCGTTACATTCGTGAGGCTGCTACTGCAAAGTGGTATACTGAACGTCCAAATAAGGATCAAGAAATTTATGTTCATATTGACTCTACGAATAACTTCCCAACAGCAGCTGGACTTGCTTCCAGTGCAAGTGGTTATTGTTGTTTGGTTTATGCCTTGGGCCAATTATTTGAAGTTAAGACAGACTTGAGTATTATTGCTAGATTAGGAAGTGGTAGTGCTTGCAGATCTTTATATGGAGGTTTTGTTGCTTGGGAAAAGGGAACAGATCATGAAACAAGTAAGGCTGTTCAAGTATTAGATGAATTTGATGAATTCTCAAAACAAACAAATATTGTGATTTGTGTTGTGAGCGATAGACAAAAACATACTCCATCAACATCTGGTATGCAACAATCTGTGTTGACTAGTGAAAAATTGAAAGTGAGAGCAAGAGAAATTGTTCCACAACGAATGATTGAAATGGAAAAGGCTTTGAAGAACAAGGACTTTAACACTTTTGCTAGATTGACCATGGATGACTCAGATAACATGCATGATTGTTGTGCTGATACCAATCCTCCAATTTATTACATGAATGATACTTCCAAACAAATTGTTCAACTCGTAAATGATTTCAATGCTTTTGACGATGGAAATGGTACTCAAAATTTGAAAGCAGCCTATACTTTTGATGCTGGCCCAAACGCTGTCTTGTTTTTCCCAAGTAAGGAAATTACAAACAAATTTTTGGCCATTTTGCATGCCTTCTTCCCACCATCCAATCAAGAACAATTCTTCACAAAGGAGCCATTTGTTACTGAGATGAAGCAATATGGTGAATTGGTAGAGTCATTCAAAAAGGCAACATCTGTCCAGGTAAATCCCGATGGTTTAAGATATCTTATTCATACCACGGTTGGAGCAGGTCCAAAGGTTGTTTCAAAAGAATAAAAGGTTTTAAAAATCATATTTATCTCAACAAAGCTTTGTTGATTCAATTTTGATCTTATTTGCTTCTCAGGTCGTTGTATATTGATCAGCAAGAGACATGAATAAACTCTCTTTATTTGATTCGCTCCGTTTGAGAAACAAGTTGTTGAATTGCTAAAATCATAAACTCTTTCTCTTTTCCTTCTGGAACACCAACAGCTTTCCACCTAATCCTACATTGTTGATCAATGACAAAAACATAGCATGTTTTGCTGTTTGTGATTTGTATCATGTCCTTGAATTTGTATGTTTCATTATTACTTTTTAGGAATGTTACCAATGTCTTGTCGTGCATTTCAGGTGGAATCTTTGATTTGAGATTATTCATGACCACTGATTCAAGCCATGCAATTACATAGTTTTCGCTAATGCTAAAATCAATGCATTGTGTTTTTAGAACAGAGGATGCTCCTGATTGTTCATCATAACGTTTTTGAAATTCATCATACGCTTCTCTCCATTCTTTTGTCATGTTAGATCCATATTCGGTAAAGTTTACAAACAATAATGTAGCTCTGCAACTTCTTATCATCTTCAAGAGATCAACTTGTTCACCCTTTAAATTTCTAATGACTACTTTGCTTTTTCCATCTCCCAGAGAGACATCAGGCGAAGGAAACAAAATACTTTTTTCTGGAGCTATTAATTGTCCTGACATGCTAATAAAAAGCTTTCCTTTATGCTTCAAAACAGATTTAATTTCTTTCAAAGGAGAATATCTATTAATTTCATCATAGATTTGTTCTCTTTCTATCTTTAAATGCGTTGCTAATTTTTCTCGTTCTTTCAAAAATTCCGATTGTTTATCATTGTCATTCGGAGATGATGATGAATTGTTTTCTTTGCCGAAAAACTTTTTCAAAAAGAATCGGTGTTGTGTGTACTCTAATTTCTGGCAAAGTGATGGATTTATATTATTTTTAAATATAAAAACAAGAGAGTTTGCGAAAGGCTTTTGTGGATGATGGATGAGCCAAGTTCGGGTGCAAAGGTTTTTCAACATTTTTTCAATCAAAAAATTCAAAATGTCGGAAAGAAGAGATCCACCCGATCATCGCACCACATTCATCATCACCACCACCACCACCACTCCATGTCCAATTCTTACATTTAAATTAGAGAATGCTCTCAAACTCCACTCAACAAACTTGATTCATCCCTCACAAGGGATTGATCTTTCTGTTTCTCCGACTGCAAAATATGCTTCCTTTCCCTATCATGATTACACTCCTTATGCTCAATTTATTTCTAAAGAAGAATTATTGAAAGAGTTAAAAATTGATTCATGTTGCAACAAGACAGACCAAACATCAAGTTTAATTAATGAATCATGTGATGTTTCTTCATCAAGCAATGGAGTGTGTATTGTAACAAGAAATATTATTCTATCCAATAGTCATGCAGGAACTCATGCCGATCAACCAAAACATTTTGAAAAATCTCCAATTATTGAAAAGTTTCATACCATTCAATACAATGGTGATTGTATAATTGTCATGTTAGAACATTTATTGAATGACTCATTGACTATTTCAAAAGAATTGATTGAAAATGTTTTTCAACACATTCAAATTCCAAAAGAAGAAATCTTTCGAATCATTTTGAAAACTAGAAAACATCATCCAACCAATGATGTTGAATGGACCAATGATTTTTGTCATCTTTCCAAAGAAGCTTCTCATTTTCTGGCAAATGAATTTCCAAATTTACTTTTAATTGGTATTGATACTCCTTCCATCGATCATCCTAATAAGGCTCCAATTATTGAGCATTCACATGGTGAATTTTGGAAACAACGAATAGCAATTTTAGAGAATTTAAATTTGAGTAGGGTGGAAATGAGAAATGTATCTCCTCTTCCTCCTCTTCACAACAACAACACAAATCTCTCTTTGAAATCATCAACATCATCAGATCTGGTGTCATCTCCTCTTTTCAAAAGAGGTTATTTACAAACAATTTTTAATCCCTTACAAATGGGTGAAGATGCCATTGGTTGTTTTGTATTGTTTTATCCTTACTAATCATCAAGTAAATACTAATCATCATGACGATTTGTACATTTTACTTGGTGAGAATCACTGAAGAAACTTTTCAATGACATTCATTGGTGTGAGTGTCATCATTGATGTGAGTCGAGCTGGGAAAGGTCAAACCATTATAATGGCGTTTGGTTGTCATCATCATACCACACTCATCACACTGTCACTTGAAGTGCCTGTCACTCAAGTACCTATCCATCAATCAATAAACATACAATTTCGGAACACGTTACAAACTTCTCGTCATTTAATTTGAAGGCGCCACATGACGTTGGTGCAGGATTTTCACCAACACCTGTCACTCAAATTTCACACCACCACCCCATCACTACTCACACGAAAAAACCCAAACTCAAAAAAATCAACAACACACCACAACAACAACACCACACCAATGGCATCCATCGCACAAGAAGTTGAAAACGCATGGGAAAGTTTAAAGTCTGACAGCATCAAGTGGTTCACTTTCATCCCAGAAAAGACTGAAATTGTCAAAGATGCTGAAGGTAATGGAGATTGGAGTGAATTCTTGAGTAACTTTGGTCCAACTGATGTCAAGTTTGGTATTTTCCGTGCTGTTGCTGTTGATGATGACTCTAGAAGAACCAAATATATTTTGGTTGCTTGGACTGGTCCTCAATGCAATGCCATGAAGAGATCAAAGGTTGCTGCTAACAAGACTGCAGTCACTCAAAAGTTTGCCATTCACGTCGATGTTCAAGCTTCTGATGTTGACCTTTTGAGTCAAGAAGAAATTATTGCCAAGTTGAACTCATCCACTGGTGCTCACAAGCCAAAGTCCTATGAATTCTAAATCAATGATGATCATGATGAGAGTTACACAGTCTGTGATTTAAAAACGTGAAAATATACATTTATATGAATAATAATAAAACCAGCTGAGAGAGTGTGTTTTTTGATTGACTTTGAATGATTGCTTTCACACAGTGATAATGATGATGAGAATGAATGGTCATCCTTGTTGTCCCTCTGTGTTGATGATTCAATCACACCTCTTCAAACCACCCAGCACACATCGTTTAAGTATCATGTCCGTGCAAACATCCTTAAGGGGATTGTCTTTATCGTCATCATCTTGGTGCAATTTAATGCTTTTTCTCGGACATGACCAAGCACACACACACGTGTGTCGGTCGAATTCACATCATCAACAACACTGCAGCAAGAGAGAACTCGAAAAAAAATGAGAAAGAGAGATTTTGCCATGTTTGCCTTGGTGTGCTTGCTTCTTGTGATAGCCTTGAATCAAGAAGGAAGCATTACTTTTGAAAAGGCTTTTTTCTTTGCACAAACTTCAAATCAACAACCACTACTGGTGAAAACAGGGCAAGCAGACTTATTGTAAGTACTGATCATCATGGGTTGTTTGGTTAAATCATTTACATTTTCCGATGTACATCCCTCGATAATTAATATGATCTCATATTTAGACCAAAACCGATTGTTACAGATATTGATGGTGATGGATATAAAGATTTGATCACGAGCAGTGAGAATGGAAAAATTTATATCGTTTCTCTCAAGACAATTTCTTCATCGCTATTAGTACATCAAGATTTATTTAATCCAATTACTGAGGAAGTATGTATTGATAGAGATTATCTTAGTTTTTAAATTTCATATTCGGAATGCCCTCACGGTTGTAATTAATTTTAAAATTTTACAACTTTAAAAGAAATCATTCGATGTCAATGAAAGGGATAAAAACAAAGGAACGGTTCATCATTCGATAATTGGTCTGGGGCATGGTCATATCAAGGTAAAGAAAAAGAAGGGACAAAGAGGAACAAAAAGAGTTGTGGCTGTTCTTTCAAATTGGAAAGTATTATGTTTGGATCATGATTTAAATTTGAAGTGGGAGTCTGATCTTTTACAACAGGTGGTTTCGGATATGAAACTAACAGATGTGGAAATTGAAGATCTTCGAAATGATTTCAAACCTTTTGAAGTTTTGGTTGCATTATATCCTTGGAGAGTTCATGAAAACGATGAAGGAATGGTTATTGTTGGTTTCCGGAAACCTCAAGAGATGTTTGAAAATGATAAGAGAAAAGCTGAAGAAACAGCCACACAATTTTCCTATTATTGCTTTGATGGAGCAACGGGTCAAATTCGATGGAAACACCAATCAAACCACAAGAATTGGGATGACAATGAATTTTATGAGCAACATTCTTTCAAATTGAACGCTCAACAACATTTAAGCGATTCTGGAGAAGTAATATGGAGAGAATACAAGAAAAAGATTATGCATCATTTACCTCATGTATTCAGACATCCTTATGACACGTCAGCAATTTTAGATAATTTCCAACCTACTAAAAAGGCTAAAGTATCTAAAATTAAGGAGAGAGAGGAAAAACATGATTATGGAGAATTAACTGAAAAATTGAAGACTGCTGTACAGCAAATTACAACAAAAGTGAAAGACACAAATGAGAAATTGAAAAAGAATATTGAACTAATGAAAAGATTTGAGAAAATACCAAATGTGTTGGTGGCTCATCTTTCAAAGGGTATTCAAGTTATTCACTTGTACACTGGTAGAACATTAACTCAGTTTTCTCCTTTGAAGGAAAATACTGTTTATCAAGATATCAACTTTGATGGTATGATCGATGCTGCTGAAGCACAAATCTGCAAGGCAAAGATTGAAAGTGGCGCACCAAATCCATATGACACCTTGTTCAGAAAGTCCGTATGTAAACTACATCCAACCTCATTTGCTGAACAATTTTCAATCCCTTTCCTCATGTCGAATGAGCAACAAGAAAAGCAAAGCTTTGACGATGATGATGATTATGAGGATGAACAAATGGATGTTGTCACACCAGCTCTCGTTGAGCATTATTCTACAGAACAAAAGCCACAGTTCAGAGCAAGAGATTTGATCTATTTAACGTCTACAGGATTAGTAACAGCCATTACATTCGATCGTAAAAACAGTCCCAATGGAGAACCTAAATTTAGAGTGAAATGGCAAGTGATGTCTCCATCTTCTTTCAGAAGAGAACGAGTTTTGGTTGAGTCTGGAGCCGAGACTGAATCATTCTTCCCTGAAATTGTCGCCTTCCCACTCAGAAAGTTCGAAACACATTCATTCATTCTTGCAGTTGGTGAGAAGAGACTCACTGTTATTGATCTCTTTGGAAATATTCAACAGATTATTGAACTTCCTCACCCCTCTATTGCTCCTATTCAGCTGGTTGATATTAATGGAGATCAAGTGCTAGATATCGTAGTGACCACGAAGCAAGGAATTTATGCTTATATTACTCGTGTGCATACAGGAATGTCTGTACTTACTTTCCTTATTGTTTCTCTCTTTTGTGATTGTTGGATTGTTATACCTATCCACCTATATTCAATTGAACGACCCTTTCTATCATCGAAAGATTGATAGATTCCAAAAGTAAAAACACACACTATTTGATCAAATTTTTACATTTTCGCTCTTTTGATAATCAAGTACTCTCTCTTAAGTGCAAGAATCGAAGGGTAGAATTGAAAACCCTACCTGACAAGTTGTAGTGAAAAATTAATTAAAATTTTTACGCTCACTATTTAATTGGTTACATAAGGTTTTTTTTGCAAAACATAATAATATTCATAAAGATCACCAAACAAATTTCGATGCAATATGGAACCACAGGTGATTAAACATGTCATTAGAGAACCTTGAACACCTCCTGCAAAGATATCCTGACCTGCCAAGTACAATCCTGGAATGTTCGTTTTGGGTCTTCCCCATTTAAATATCAACGAGTCATCGCCTACAATTCTCTTCCAACCACTCCACTCTCCAAAATTACACCCCAAATAATGATTGAAAGTGGCAGGAGAACACGAGTTGAGAACACATTGGCTCTCATGTAGATGTGGGAATTTTTCATAGAACAATTCAACTGCTCTATTTGCAAGACTTTGTTTCAAATCTTCATAATCGACACTGCGATTCGTCACTCTTTGATGCTCCCAATCAGAAAACCATTCGTACTTGGAAAAGGTAAGAAGAATGGCTGAAACCTTGTTTCCTACAGGTCTAAAATTTGCAATAATCACAGGATGGTCAATTCCATTCTTGGGATCCAAGACTCCATTGCTGTTCATGAATCGATCAAATTGTCCATCAATATCTGGATTTGTAACAATAAATGAGTTTTGAAACTTAATTCCCAATTCATCAAAGCTCTTATTGAATCCAATAAATACCACCTGACTTGAGAATGAAGGTTTGTAATTCATATTCGAATAACCAAACGACGATCTTGCAATGGGTGGAACTAAATTTTGAAACGTATTGAAAGCACCAACAGTTGAAATGACAATGGGTGCCTTGATGAGCAATTGATCTTTTACCATTTCAACACCTTGAACTCGTCCATCCTTCAAATAGAGTGACTTGACTTGAGCATTGGTGAAAATATCACCTCCTCCTTTTCGAATTACTTTCATTAAACTCTCAACAATGTCATCAGCACCTTTCACAGGTATCTGTGCTCCATTCAGAAACATTCTCTTCACTGATAAATGTTCATAGACAGGAGTGTGTTTTGGACTCGATACATAATCCACACACAAGTAGCACCATACTGCTTGGAGAACCTTATTGGAAGTGAGAGAAGAGACAAGTTGAGCCACACTGGTGTGAACTGTTTTCATAAAAATTGGAGCTAGTAAATATTTCAAACAGGTGGAAAAGAAGAATGGAAGAGATTTCAATAGAACTACCGGAACAATTTCGAAACCATTTTGTAAGATATTCATGTACTTGTCAATGGCATCTACCTCATTGGGAAAAGTTTCCTTCAATTTCTTGGAGTAATTTTCAACACCTTCAGGAATTTCCAAATCCAAAAGAGTTTCATTGGTGGAGGTATCCATGACAGTGACTCGATCAAAATTCGAATCCAAAGACATCATTTCAATATGTTTCTCACACAAAGCATCCATCAATGCAGCTTCTGCTCCTTTTAATTTTCCCAAGTAATGCAAACCAGCACAAAATTGAAACTTTTCAGAATTCTCTTCAGCTCTTAAATGGAAAGTATGAAGACATCCTCCTGCAATTTTGTGTTGTTCAAGAATGAGAACTTTCTTTCCAGCTTTTGACAAGACTGATCCACAACTGAGACCTGAAATACCACTTCCAATGATGATGGCATCGTAATGAGTGGCAAGTTTTTCCTTCTTGAATGGATTCTTGTTGAATTTGGGTGGTTTCTGTTTCGCATGATCATGATTAGAAGAGAATTTTGAAGAGGTATAATTGTCCTCATTGTTATTGCTTGCATTGCATGTCTCTGAGTGTTGCTTGTAAATGGGATGGGTGAAGAGATTTCTCGGATATCTTCCAATGACATACATGTGGGCAAAGAGATAGGTCACGTACAATGAGAATCCAACGAAAAGTAAAAGACAAACATAGACGAGATATTGCATCATGTTGTTGTTGATCAACAAGGAGAGACAACAGTGAATACAATTTTTTTAAAAGTAAAAGGTTAATCTTGAGTTTTGCCGGGTGTGGAAAATTTTGGGAAGTTCATGCCAATGAAACAACATCCAACATTCATCATCACTGACTATTTGGAAGTATTCAACTGAACTTGTTTTGTGTTAAAACGGAAGAACTTGGTCACCGTGTCCGCGAGGGGAATAGTAGCAAAAGTTTCATACAGAGAACTTGACTAGTTCACTGAACACATTTTGAAAGTGACAGGTGACAAGGATCCCAAGTTATATGAAAATACTGTTCTCAAGCCGGATAACACAAATTTCAATTAGAAAAAAACATCATCATTGAACTAGTGCCAATATTCTCTTTTATCTCCCAACAACCATGAACCCATCTAATATGAGTCGCAATCACCTCAACATGGATCACACTAAATGTTGCAATTCTTTCATTCACAATTCCTCATCTGATGTTGCATGCAACATGAACAATCATAAACTCGCAGTCATTGGCATGTCATGTCTCTTTCCTGGACATGCACACAATGTTGGTTCTTTTTGGAATCTTTTGTTGAGTGCATCTGAAACTTGTACTCCACACTATCCATCGAACAGAATTTCATCCTCCAAATTCAAATCTCATGCATACACTGCTGGTCACTTTCTTGAGAAACCATTGGATGAATTTGATTTTGAATTTTTCGAAATTTCAAAAAAGGAAGCTTGTTCCATGGATCCTCAACATCGTTTGTTGCTTCAACAAGTTTATCATGCCTTTGAAGATGCAGGTATTCCATGGAATGAGATTAAAGGCAGCAAGACTGGTGTTTTTTGCAGTGTCATGAATCAGGATTATTTGACCATGAGAGGATGGCATGACATTCAAGACTATAATTCCTATACTTTGATTAATACATCACCTGCCAATAACTCGGCAAGAATTTCCTATCACTTTGATTTGAGAGGTCCATCCTTGACTTTGGATACCATGTGTTCGGGTTCCTTAGTGGCTTTGAATTGTGCAGCAGAAAGTTTGAAGAGAGGAGAATGTGAGATGGCCATTGTTGCTGGAGTCAATTTGAATTTCATTCCTCATGAATTTGTTGCTCAGAAACTCATTGGTGCTGCTGCAAAAGATGGAAGATGTAAGACCTTCTCTTCTAGGGCCGATGGCTATGGAAAGAGTGAGGGAGTAGGTGTTCTTATTTTGAAGAGATTTTCAGAGGCTCTTTCATCCAATGACAGAATTCATGGACTCATTGTTGGTACTGGAGTGAATCATGATGGAGATGGTAAATCAGGAATTACAATACCTTCCTTTGAGGGTCAACTCGAATTGCTGCAAAGCGTGTATAAGAACAATGGTATTGAACCACATCAAGTCTCCTATGTGGAGGCTCATCAGGTACGTGGATATATACAAAGACAGTGAAGTGTTTTGAAAAATCCAAATTCATGCGTGTTATTCTTTAATCATCCTTTTGAATATTAATATTAAATATTGATGATGAATATATACATGTTGTACTTATAGACTGGAACTAAAGTAGGAGATCCTATTGAATGTAATGTTTTAAATCATTTCTTTGGAAAGGCAAGAAAACAACATGGACTAGACAAATTACCAATCGGATCCGTGAAGAGTAATATTGGCCACACAGAAGCAGTGAGCGGAATTGCAAGTATTATCAAGGCTCTCTTGATGATGAAGAATCAAACTTTGGTTCCAACCATTCATTGCCAAGACTTGAATCCAGAAATTCAATTCGACCAAAAGCATTTGCGAGTGGTGAGACAAGTCGAACAACTTCCCAACAACGACCATTCAAATCCAATCATTATTGGTATCAACTCGTTTGGAATGGGTGGTACCAACGCTCATGCTATTTTGCAAAGTTCTGACCAGAAGAAGGACAACCGAACGTTAGGAGAAGAATCCCTTGTGGACCTTCTCTCTCACAAACAAAGAATTCTTCCATTGGCTGCAAAGAGTGAATACTCGCTAAAGAAGATGGCTTCTAACCTCTCTAAATTCCTTCAAGACAATTCTCAAACAAGTTTGGATCAACTCTTGTATCATTATTGTGAACGAAAGAGCCATTTCAGCGAATTTAGAGCTGCCGTAATTTTTGATCACAAAGATTCTCTCATTGACAGTTTGTCAAAACTCTCTGAAAAGTTTGAGAATAGTGACCAATGTCAAACAGGAAAAACAAACAAACGCGATGGCCGTTCAGAAATTTGTCTTGTATTTTCTGGTCAAGGTCCACAGTGGTACATGATGGGTCGACAACTACTCGAGTCATGCCCAGTGTTTAGAGAGACTGTACTGAGAGTGGATCAAGAGTTGAAAAAGTATCAACAAGCTGGAGAGAATTGGTCCATCATGGATGAATTAGGTAATAAGACTGAGAAGGATTCTCTTATTTATTCAACCCATGTTGCTCAACCTTGCATTTTCGCACTTCAAATTGCACTTTATGAAGTGTTGAAACAAAATTCTATTCATCCAAAAGTCGTTGTTGGACATTCAGTAGGTGAAGTTGCAGCTGCGTATGTGTATGGATCCATTACTTTTGAGGAAGCTATTTATTTGATTTATCATCGTGCTCGATTACAACACAAATGTAAGGACATTTTGAAGGAAAAGTATTCCAAGTCAGGTAAAATGATGGCAATTAATTTAGGATTGGAGAAAACCATGACTACTTTAGAGATTCTCGGTTTTAATAATTCAGTTGAAATTGCCTCTATTAACAGTGACCACTCAGTGGTCGTTGGTGGAGATGAACAAACGTTGAAACAACTTCAACAAGAGATGACTAAATATTTCGAGACAGACTCCACCATTCGTATAAATTGCATCTTTTTGAGAAATGAAGCTGCATTTCACACAAGCCAAATGGATGAAATTAAGAATGAATTGTTAGAAATTCTTGACAAAAAGATGCAACTCAAGGAAAGAGGAACCAAATCCAATGATCATATTCAAGCTCTCTTTTCCACTGTTTATGGTACCAAGGTATCCCTTCAAGACATGAGTACTTCACAATATTGGTGGCAAAATGTGAGAGAAAGTGTCAAGTTTTCACAAACCATGGAAGACATCTTTGAAAGATACAAGACGATGAAATATGTGATTGAAATTTCTCCTCATCCAGTGCTAAGCGGATACATCAAAGACATTGCAAGCAAAGTACGTGGATCCAATGACACTACTATTGTGCTTCCAACCTTAATGAGAAAGAAAGATGAAGAGGTTTGCATCAAGCAATTGTTAGCTTCTCTTTATGTTCATGGTTATGACATGAATTGGAGGAATATTAACAAGTTTCACTCTTGTGAATTGATCGATTCTCTTCCAAAGTATCCTTTCCAATTGCAATCATGTTGGTCCGAATCGTATGAATCCTTGAGATGGAGAATGTGTCCTCCAAAGTTGGGTATTTCTCATCCTTTATTAGGTTCAAGAAAACACAATCCAATCGAATCGTATACAGACATTGTCTATGAACAAATCATTGACATATTCTCAAAGCAAGAGCAACAATATATTCAGGATCATCGAGTTCAGAACGAAGTGTTTTTCCCATTTGCAGGTTTTATTGAAGTTGTTGCTTCTGCTATTATGAATCACTTTGAATTGAATTCAAGCACTTCTGTTGAACTCTGCCTGAAAGATTTCAAAGTCATTTCTCCAATGATTTTGAAGGAAGTGAGAACTCTTCAGGTTCATATCAATACTCAATCGAATCAATTCCGTGTATTCAGTCGAAGAAAGATTGATCTTCATTCCATTCCATTCTCTGAAATTTCAAAGAATCCAAATCAACTCAATGAAAAGTTGCCATGTGATTGGGTATTGCATTCCTATGGATCATTCATCATCAAGCACATCCAACAACTTCCACCTGTTCTTGTTCCCAAGACAGAACATGAAGAAAAGGCTTTAAAACTTTTTGAAACCTTCCGAACCAAATTGGATGCAAAAACAAAGACGACGCATAAGGAAAATCTCTACCCTCGACTGTCCAAGTTAGGTTTGAATTATGGACCACATTTTCAAGGATTGGATGTATTCTCTCAGGTTGAAAAAGATGAGACATGTACCTCCTATATGGCTCAAGTCTCAGAACCATCTATTCTCTCCGAGACCTATACAACTGCATCATACAATGTATGGCATCCCGCCTTGTTAGATGCATGCTTCCAACTTTTAATTTGTTCCATGCCTGACGATACCACGTACTTGCCTGTTTCAACGGATTGTATTTTTATTTATCCTCAAAAACAACCGAAAGACAAAAAGTATCACATGGTCTATGCAACTGCCTATTCTGCAAGGGATTCCCAACGAGAAAAAGAGGACATGATCACTTGTGATTTACAAGTTTTAGGTATGGGAAATGAGCCATTCATTTCCTTTCAAGGATTTAAGGCTGCTCCACTTGAGAAGCGATCGAAAACACTTTCAGAGACATCTATGGTTGCCTCGCACTTTGTTGCATCTCCTGTCATGATTCCATGCCAATTACCATCATTAGAAAGTATCCATGAGTTCATATCAATGTTTAACGATCTGGATGAGTATTCCAAAGAACATGATGCAATGAATAAGCTAGCCATCAGAATCTGTGTTCAGTATTGTCTCTCAGTATTTAGAGAAATGTGTGGTGAAGAATCACGAATTGATATTCAAATTTTACATTCTTTGATCAAGGAAGATCATTTGAAGAAATTGGCATCACTCACAATACAATTTGCTGAAAATTTCGGAATGGTGAAAAGAGATCATGTTTTTAACACCTTCACGATTATTGACCCAATTTCAGACAAGAAGGAATTGTTGAGAGAGTTGAATAATTTCTCAAGAAAGGATTTGTATTTGAATCTCATTGATTTGATCGAAAACAGTTTGATTCATATGAAGCAACAATTAACAGGTGAGATTGATCCTGTAACAGTTCTTTTCTCAAGAAAGGAAAAGGCTCTCAATGATTATTATGATGAAGTTTCACACCAAACCAAGCCATTCTTTGATTTTATTGTTAAAAGTATTTTGACACACAAAAGTAGCAGTCAAAAGATGACTCTTAGAATTTTGGAATTGGGAGCTGGATTGGGAGGCACCACCAAACAAATCTTACCAATTTTACACTCTCTCAGAGACTTTTTAGATGTGAAGTATGTCTTTTCAGATATTTCGACCTTATTCTTGATGAAAGCAAAAGAAAAGTTTGCCGAGTATCAATACTTTATGGATTTCATGGTATTGAACATTGAAAAAGCACTTCCTCCTTCCATTGAAAAGGAATCCTTTGATATCGTTATTGCTGCTAATGTTGTTCACGCTACTAAGGATTTAAGTTGTGTCTTGTCTCTTGTGAATAGCTTGCTTGTTTCTTATGGGCAATTATTCCTTGTTGAAAGTGATCCAAATAGAGCTCAATTTTTACACTACTTTGTTGGTACCTTAAAGGGATGGTGGTATTTTAAAGATTCGTATCGAGGTGAATCAGCTCTCCTTTCTCGTGATGAATGGAAACAAGCATTATCGGACTGTGGTTTCAAAAACAGTGTTTGTATGTCCATTCACTCTGTAAATTATATGGTAGCTCAAAAGGATGTTTCAATCAAGAGGAATTGGCTCTTCTTTACTTCAAAATCAAAGTTAGAGGATTCCCTTGCTCATTCCCTTTCTTTGAATGGAGTAAATGTCATTCAAGTGAGTGCAAGAGTTGATGCATCATTTACTCATGATCCAAAGATGCAATCCTTCGAGATTGATCCAACCAACTTGGAACATTTCCATCAAATCTTTCATCAAGTACCTTTTATTTCAGGAATCATTTTTGGGTGGCCACTCGGTTTGGCAAGTAAGGAAAACAACTTTTCCTTCAAAGAAGTTTCTGATTGTGTGGATGGATTATACTCAATTTGTAAGAACTTGAAATTCAACGCAACAGGAACTAAATTAGTAGCTTTGACCTCTGGAGCTTTTGCATTTGAGAACCATATCAATATTTCACAATCGCCAATCGTTGGATGTTTGCGTTCTATTTATACTGAAATGTTTAAGAACAAATTGAAGGTTATTGACATTGTCACTGAAGAGAGATCAGAATCCTTAGTAGCACGAGATGTAGCCAATGACATTCTCTCTCCACAATACTCTGACGATGAAATTGTTTATAGTGATAATGGAAGATTTATTCATTACTATTCAGTTGTGGATACAAACACCATCACTCACAAAACAACAACTCCATCGCCCTATCAAGGTCATTGGGTGATTACTGGAGGACTTGGTGGAATTGGTTTGGCCATGTGTGAATGGTTGATTTCAAAGATGGGAGTTAAACACATTGCCTTACTTGCTCGAAGACAACCAAAGACAGACGAACAATATGTGTTGGATAGAATGCTGTTGAATCATCCAAACGCTTCAATTTCCGTTCATGTCACAGATATTTGTGATTCTAACGTGTTATATGGAACTCTTAAAGAGATTCATCAGAAATGTCCAATCACAGCCGTTGTTCATGCTGCTATGGTGTTGGCAGATTGTGCAGCAAACAAAATGACTCGTTCTAATTATGAAGCTGCTGCAAAGCCAAAGATTATTGGAGCTTTTAATCTTCACAAATGCACCATGGATCTTGAATGCAATTTGTCTGTGTTCTTAATGCTTAGTTCTTTCAGCTCTCTTGTTGGTGCTTTTGCTCAAAGTAATTACAACAGTGGAAATTTGTTTTTAGAAACTTTGTGTAAATATAGAAGAAACTGTGGACTTGCTGCTCAATCCATTGGTTTGAGTTTAATCACTGGTGCAGGATGGGCAACAAAGGCTGAAGTGGATGAATACTTTTGGGTTGGAGCAATGCATATTAGTGATTTACTCGATCATGTCGAAGATTTAATTGCCAAACAATCACTTTTACCACCAGCATTGACATTCTTTGGATTTGACATTCCTGAAGATACTCTTCAACCTCATATTGCAAGATCGAACAAAAAGTCAACTGACTCAACTCGACCAATGAATAATTCTTCCACATTGAACAATTCTACAGATGATTGCATTGGTAACAAATTGAAAGAAGCAATTGCTAAAGTTTTTGGTATCTCTGCTAATGATCTTTTATTGGACAAACCATTGGTGGACTTTGGTTTGGATTCATTGATGGCTGTTGAAATTAGAAATTGGTTATCTCGTGAATTTAACATGAATGTTACTGTTTCGACATTACTCTCTGGTGTCTCAACCTCTACTTTGATGGATATTATTGCCAATTCTCACAATTCTCAGGTATCAGGAAGTAGCTCTCAAAATCCGAGTGACAACAATAACAACAATAGAAACAATGAGCTTTCCAACACAATTGTGCACAATGAAGAATTACTTGAATGCATTCAAGATCATGTAGAAAAGAAGGTTTTAATTTGCTTCCCAGCATTAGGTAGTTCAACAGAAGATTTGAAAGAGTTATCAACGATGGTCACTAATCACTCCATTTATGTCGTTCATTTGAACTTTTCAAAGAACAAATCAGACTGGACTTTACATTTCTTTGAATTGTGGGCACAAGTTGAAAGACTCTTCAAATTCGAACAACAAGTGACAGTGTATGGTCACAGTATGGGAGCGTTGGTGGCTTTGGAGTTCACACGATTTATTCAATCCAATTTCAATACCAAACCAATGCATCTGATTGTGAGTGCCAATACTCCAAATAATGCTTTGCACTCCAATGCCTATAAGAGATGGAAAGAAAATGGCGATGAAACAATTATCTATGCAATCACGGATTATGAGTTATTCCCAACGATTACTGCAAATATAAACGATGTGGAACAAAAGGCATCAAAGATTAGAGATTTACTTCAAATTCCTACTTTTAGAAATCAATTCGATTTCTTATTGTTGTACCACAGCTTTGAGGATGACATGTTTGGAAAGTATCAAGTCGAGTGCCCAATTACTGTGTTTAGAGGTCAGCATGACAAGCTTGTGACTGAAAAGACAATTCATAATTGGGACAAGTTTGCTGCAAGTTCAATCAGAAAGATCACACTCGAAGGTGTTCATCACAATCTCACTTCTCAATACCTTAAAGAAGTCTCAAAGGCAATCATTCTCTTGAAAGAAGTTGAATGTGCAACCGCAACAACATTGAACTCACAAATCACTCAACTCTCAACTTGTATTGATCCTGCTCTTTGTGACAACAATGAATGGATGGTGACCTTGATTGAATCTTTAACTCCATTAGAACAAACCTTGTTCATCCCATTCGTTGCAAGAGGTTTGGAATCACAACATGATGATGGAGTTATTTTTGATCGTGTAGCTTTGGACATTCTTTCAAAACTTCCTCATGAATGGCAACAACGAACATCCACTGATGGAATGACAAGAGCAAATATTGTGGGAAGAACTCTTGTATTCGATCGAAAAGTGCTCGACATTGTTCATCGAAGAAGAAAATCAAACAAGATCATGATGGTGGTCAATCTGGGTTGTGGACTTTGTTCTCGCTATGAAAGATTATTCGACAGAGTCAATGATGGCGTTTACTGGATTGATGTCGATTTGAAAAATGTTATTGAGTTGAGGGAGAAAGTAATTAGAACAGCACCTCAAAATCTTCACTATAGAACAATGTCAGGTTCAATACTGGAAAAGTCTACCTATCGAGAACTTGTAGAAATTAGAAAACAGTTACAGGATGGACAGAATGAAATTCCAGTCCTTGTCATTGCAGAGGGTTTATTCCTTTACTTTGATCATGATCAACTTGTGAAAATATTTGAAATGATTGAGAATGCACTTCCTCTATGTGATGTCTTATTCGAAATGTCAGGTCTTGTGCCTTACTTGATGACACCAAAATCTGTAAAGTCTGTCAATAAGGGTGGACCATTTAAATCATTTGTCATTGATGCCAACACGAGTGTGAGATCTCTTCACAAGAAAGCAAAATTGATTTCTGAACACTACCAAATCGAAGAGAGACAACAGTTAGGTGGTGTCAATATAACTCGATATCCCTTTGTACCACCAAGCTGGATTCCATTTGCTGGATTATTGGCAAGTAGTATGAGAGTATTACATATTCAATTCCAACCTCATGAGAGTATACAACACTCCCAGTTGCTTCCATACAGTACTATCATGCATGTGTTCATTCACATAATAATGGTATTTGTGTTCATCGTTCTTGCTTTAAAACTAGTCATGGGATTGCAATAAATTGTTATTATTGCAAATAAATGAGCTGTAATGTAAGATCTCTCGAATGGCTTCTTGAGAAAAATCCTACCATGTATGTTTTTAAGTGAAAAGAAAACAACCATTCATTGGAGTCCTGGCAGAATGGCTGTCCCAATCCACGCCTTTCTTGTGACATTCCATTCATTGTAAAGTTTTGAATGAAACTCAACAAAAAGATGCCACCCATCATTCATTCATTCCCTCGTGAGGGACAAAAATTTACAGGACTCGCGATAGGTTGTTGTTGCAACAACAAATCTGATTCGGATCCTTCCACCTTTATGCCTTTGATTCAAATTGTAAGAAGAACCAATCAGATGAATGATTTGAGTCATAAATGTTGTAGTGTTCCAAATCATCATGAAAAACATCATTCCGATGAAGAAGATCAAACAGTTGTTGTTTCATTCATGAATATTGAAATATTGAAAAAATTGGAATTCAATTTATTTGAAATTTCTATTCAAGATATTCATCCGAATGATCATGAATTGGATCATTCCATCTCCTCCTCTTCCTCTATTTACATTTTGAAATTTTCAAGAGATGTCGAGCGAGAATTTAAATGTTTCCAACTCATGTATTCAAAATATGGATTTGAATACATTCCTCAATTTTACATGATTGAAAATAGAACATCACATACATCCAAGTGGAAAGCCATCGCCACAAGAAAGTCAAATTCACCTTTAAATTTGGAAAAAACTTTATGTCATTCCCTCAATGAGGGTGTCATGATGGCAAAAAGAGTGTTCGAAATTGTTAAAGCCATGCATGACTGTCATTTGGTTCACAACGATATCAAACCTGATAATTTCCTAATTGATTCACATGACGGGAAATTGAAAATTATTGACTTTGACATGAGTCTTATTATCACAGATCGATCCATGAAACCATCCATCTTTTGTGGAGACAGATTATATAGAAGTCCTCACAAAATGACCCAATTGCCTGCGAATGTCAATGATGAGACCTATCGAAAACATCTTTATCAAAGTGATTTATACAATTGTGGTCTTGTCATGGCCCTATTTATTCTTGGTCCTCAAATTCAATCTTCCCTCAAACAAACAATTAGAGGAGACAAGCATTTCTTGCTTCATCAACTCATTCCGAGACTGATGGGAGAGTTGAGAGAGAATATCGATTCACCACCAATGAGTGCTTACAATTTTGACCATGATCTCTTTCATACGATTACGTCACTTTTGATGATTTAGGTACACGTACAATTTGTTGTAGTTCGGGAGTGTCAGCCATCACTCCAATTCAGCGCATTGTAATGAAGGCAAATGTGAGTCATTTCCAAACAAACACTTTTAAAAAATGTTCACAGAGGGGAACAATGATCATTCATCTCCTCCTACCTATCGATTGCCCAATACAACTCCTAATCTACAGGTACGATCGCATCGATCCTACACTGTGAATGAAGATGGAGAAGAACAAGACCCAATTTTCACCAACACTAATTATTCATCAACACAAGTTCCTCCCTTGTTGATGAATTATCCATCATCATCATTTTCTGCAACCACTCTTTCTCATAACAACAACAATTTGGATTCTCATACATTTGATCATTTTACACCCATTCCGATGGATCTCAATACATCATCATCTACAATGGGTGGCACAATTCATAGAAAATTTGAATCTACTTCCAATAATGGCGATGCTGATGATACAAAACATAAATATGCTTTTAGAAAAAAGAGGTCCAATTCCATTGCGTCTGCAGTGTTTGGAACATGTTGTGGATCCACCAAGAGAATTCTTGTCACATTTATGATTTTATTGAGCATTGTGATGGTCTTTTATATTGTGATCTATAAAAGAAAGCTAAGTTTACAACAAGCAAGAATAGCGAATGCAATGAATAATCCATCCTCTCAACAACCAACAGTTCAGACAGGTTCAAATATTATGGGAACCAAAGTAGAAAAGAAATCACAAGATGCTTCCCAATTAGGTGATGATAGTGTGAAAAATAAGTCAACCAAGAAGAAGAATCGAAGTGGTGACGAAGAGGAAGTTGATTTAGATGAATTGTTAGGAATTAAAAAGAAGACGAAGAAAATCTCCTCATCCGATCATGTAAAGAAATCAAAACCTTCCTCTAAAAACAAGTTGTCTCAAAAAAAGAAGAAACTCTCCAAGAAACCTGTCATTAATATTCCACACAAGAGAAGAGTCGTGAAACAACCCAAAAAACCATTCAAAAAACCTCTCAATCCAGAAGTGAAAAAAGAAAAAGAACAAGAAAAAATCATCAAACAAGCTCAAGAAAAAGCTATTGATTTGAGTGCACCAAAATCCAAACATGATGACATTATTGAGAAGTATTTGAAAATGATTGATGAAGAAGATATTTCAAATGAGAAGAAGAAGAAGAACACAAAGGCAATGAATGCAAGTAAGGATCCGTCATCCACCACTTCAACTCCTCCACTCATAAAGCAAGTTGCTCCTGTCAATAACAAGAAGAAGAATAAGGATCAGAATGATATTGAACAATTGAAAAATCATCCATTATTCAAACAAGATCCACAACCATTCATTCCTAAAATTGTTGAAGACTTCAATCAGCCAATCAAGAAAGAATCCAAATCAAACAGCAACAAACAAGAAAGTGTCAACCAAGAAGAAAAACCAACTCAAAATGTTGCCACCACTACCACCACTTCTACCACAGAGAATAACGATAACACTCGTGCAACCACATCAAGTGCCACCACTGTCTCAACAACACTCTCATCGCCTGATGCATCAACAACAACAGGTACTACCACCACCACTACTACTCAAAAAGAAGAGACTACCTCTCAAGGTGACGATTCAAAGAAGGATAAATCAAAGAGTGAACAAGTTGCACCTGAAAAAGTAGAACATGACAAATTTCATGACGATAATCTGGTCCAAGTGAAAGATAATAAGGATTCCAAGCAGCAGCAACAACAAGCTGAAAAGAAATCTCAAGAAGCATCTCCTGTCACAAAGAAGAAAAAGAAGGTCGAAACAAAACCAAAAAAGAAACTCTCCAAAAAACCAATTCCAAAGAAGAAGAATATTTTGAGAAGAAAACAAAAGAAGAGAAATGTACCCAAGAAAAAACCAATCAAGAAGAAGAAATTCAAAAAGATTGTGAAAAAGAAACCAAACAAGTTGAAAAAAAAGCCAAAACGAAAAGTTAAGAAAGAAATTCCAAAGAAAAGAAAGAGCAAGGCACAAAAAGGAAACATCCTAAGCAAGCGACAAAATACCAAGGATGACGATCTATCCAATCATCCATTATTTAAGGAAGAACCACAAACATATACTCCACCAACAGAAGAAACTGCAGACTTATCAAATAAGAAGCCTAACAATGTTGATGAAAACTTGTCCTCACATCCACTGTTTAAAGAACCTCCACAGAAAATGGTAGATCAGTCTGATAAGAAGAATGACGCAACTCAAAAAGACACAGAGCAAGTTTCAAAGTCAATGACGTCAGACAAAAATAATAAGGGTGCAACAGAAAAGGAATCAAAGGATACTGGTGCAAGCAAGCGACAAAATACCAAGGATGACGATCTATCCAATCATCCTTTATTTAAGGAAGAACCTCAAGCCTTCACCCCAAGCAAAAATGATGAAAAACAAGAAATTGCTTCTAAAAAGAAAGACGAAAAAAAGTCATCATCGCCTACCATCCCAAAGGTGCTTTCAGAGAAAAACATTAAGGAATATTTGCAAAAGTACAAAGCATATCATGGCTCCTTGTCAGGAATCGAAAAGACAATGAACAGGAAACAAGCGAAAAAGATTATTGATTACATCGACAAGCATCATAATTATGATTAAATCATTCAATCAGTAAGAGAACATCAATTAATAATAGTTAATATCATTATTTAGTTTAAAGTACAGTGTTTCAGTACGAGCATGCTCAAGAGTCCTCAACACTCCTGTCCAAAATCGTTCGTAAATTTGTCATAGGCATGTAAGTCATCTTTAGAAACCGATGGTCTGGCTGTTCGTAGTGCCTTAATGAAATCTCTTTTTGTGACATCTGGTGGTAATAATTTGTCAGAAGGTACATCAATCAAAGTCATTTCAATGGCATTTGGATCTCCAGGTGAACATGGTGTTAACATGTCATCGCACATTTGGCCAGTCAAGTGACAAACTCCTGAAACTTTCTTGAAATGTGTGGCCAATTGGCAAGTACGAACTGGTTCCATCAATGCATTTCTAACTAAAACAGAAATATCAGACCCAGAGTATCCATCAGTCATAGATGCTAATTCTTCAAAATCTTCCTTCTTAAGAGTATTTGGAGTTTTTCCAATGTGAATCTTAAACATGGCGATTCTTGCTTGCATATCAGGTAGAGGAATATAAATACGTCTTTCAAATCTTCTTCTGATGGCAGGATCAAGGCCCCATGGAATATTTGTTGCTGCCAAAATTAAAACTCCATTGTCGTCCTTGCCTACACCTTGCATCTGCACGAGGAATTCGGTCTTAATTCTACGAGTACTGTCGTTATCATTCTCTCCTCTAGAGCTGCACATACTGTCAATTTCGTCAATAAATATTATACTTGGTTTGTTTTGTCTGGCCATATCAAATAACGATCGTACCAACTTTTCTGACTCTCCTTGCCATTTACTAACTAAATCTGCAGCAGAGACAGAAAAGAATGTTGAATCAGCTTCTGTGGCAACAGCTTTGGCAAGATAGCTCTAACATAATCACAGTTAAACATAAAATTAAGGTATTAGATGTTGTAGAATGACTTACCTTACCGGTACCAGGAGGTCCATAGAGTAAAATACCTCGCCATGGCGTTCTTTTACCAGTAAAAAGCTGTGGAAATTTGAGTGGCAGAATGACAGCTTCTTTAAGAGCTTCTTTAGCCCCTTCAAGACCTGCGACATCATCCCACTTGACGTTTGGCTTTTCCTTTACAATAGCACTCTCTAATTGTCCCATTAATTGTTGTTTTTCATCCTCTTCCTTTTTTTCTTTTTTTGATCTGTTAAAAGTCATACTTTTAGCATGTAAATGTTGTCTATTAATGAAACTTACTTTGCTTTAGCTATTGATCCTACAGCACTGGATCCTCCAGAAGAATCACTATCTCCCTTTTCAATTTCGGCTTTTTCTTTCAAGAATGTTTTGATTTGTTCTGCTCTATCCATGAGTTCTTGAACTTTTGATTTTAGCATTTCTTTTTTCTTTGGATTTTTTGTTTCATCTATTTTTGTGTTTATCGGATCATTATGTATCGTGCAGTAGACATTTCATAAATGTTGTTATGATGATAAAATTGCATTCAAATAATTATGAATGTAATTTGTTGCAAAATATTTCAAGTCGTCATGGTCATCATCAACATACGTTTAATAGCGGTCATGAAAAAATCAATAGCTTTCAAATATAATCGTTGTGCTTCCTCATAGTTTTTAGCTTCATCTTGTTCAGCTGCTTGCTTTGCGTGATCAATGGCTGGTGTTACAAAACTATCATCATGGACGGAAACAAAAAATATAAAAATCGGAACAAAAACAATATAACTTCTCCATCAATATCATTCACTTACTCAACATAGGACATTTTCAATTCTCTCAGTAGTTGGATGTTTCCGTCAGTAAAGATTTCTATTGTTGAATAAGAATAGGAAAAGCAAACAATTTGAAATTTTTTTGTGTGATGGCAACCGTTGTCCTATTTTGAGAGAGAGGACACAACTTTCTATTTGACTTCTACTCTTTATGGAGAAGGGGTTGGTTCCAATTTGAAATTCCTTGTAGTTGGTGGTGCACAGAACTCACATGAAGATTCATGAGAAACCACAAGAGAGGATCGCTTTATTTCGACTAAATATTGGAGTCATTGGCTTTGCTCACAGTCTCGAACTTTTTCTCTCTTTTCATTCTTTCAATAAGAGCTTGGTCTCGTTCGAATTGTTCTCTCAAGTCCTCGAATGCTTTCTTTTTCTTTTCAACCTTTTGGAACTTGTAGAATGGTAAATCGAGTTTATGTTTCATCTTTTGAGGAACCTTCTTCATCTTCTTCTTTGGCTTTAGTTCGGATGCATGAATAGGTCCAGAATTTCCTCGATGAAATACCTTCGTCCAACCTTTGTCATCTGCTTTGTTTCTCAAAACATTAATGACCTGTATTCTTTCTTTTTCTTTGATGTCAAATTCCTTCATGTATTGATTTAACTCCTTTTTGGCTTCATCTCTTTCCGATTTATCAGATGGGAATTGTATTGTTTGATATTCTTCTAAATACTTCTCCAATCCACATTTTGATTCAGGTTTAGCTTGTACCTTTGCTGAAATAATTGGCTTTTCTAATGCTTTTTGCACTGCAGAAGCCTTATTCAAAAGTATGTGTGCAGTTCCGCTTTTAATCCTAGGATGATCTCGATACATGGAGAATGGATTTTGAAACTCTAACCAATTCTCAACATGACCATGCTTTTCTTCCAAGTGGCTCATCACACATTGGCCAACTTGTGAATCAAAATTGGAAGAAAACAATTCTGACAAACCTTCCTCATTCAAAAAGGGAGATGGATTTGTGCAAAATAAAACATGTCCTTTTGTTCTTTCGTTTTTATGATTTTTGTCATTCTCATCTTTTTTGTTATTCGGAATGGCTCCATTGTGTTGTTTATAAAACAAATAGAGAGGAACTTCAGAGTGACCCTCTAACCTATATTCTAAAGCAACCATCTTGTTTGACATTTTAACGGAAACCATTTCATCTTCGCTTTCACTACTGCTATCATCGCTGCTTGTATCAAAATCTTCATCCATGATTACAGAGTCTTCTTTTTTCTTTTCCGATGCATCCTCCTTGTTGTTGTTCGTGTTTTGAGGACGTGGTGGTGTCTTGTTGTTGTTGTTGTTGTTAGGTTTTGGCATTTTTGTTTCTCCTAATTTTTTGAAGACCGTAGCGTGCATGTCCTGCCGAGGATCTCTTGAACAAATTCATCATGATTCTTGGACTAATGAATGCTAGCAAAGTAATGCTGGTTGGGTTCTCTTCTTCAAGTTTTGAATCCATGCAACAAAGAATTGTGAGCAATTCGGAACGATGCATGTTCAAAAATCAAAGTACAAAAAATGTCGACATCAAACCCTTCTGCTAAACTAACGTCATCCTCTCTCAATGATCTTCAATCCCGATTGGCAAAACTTCAACAAAACATTTCGCAGAAATTAAGTAAAACAAGTGCTGCAGCCCTCTCTACAACTTCCTCTTCGCTAGATCATGGGGTCCCACAACAACCGACGACTTCTGTTGCTTCCTCCACTTCATCAAGCCAAACAAAAATCCAAAAGCCTCCATCCTCGGGAGAAAGCGTAAAATCTACTCCATCAGTATTGCCAAAAATTCAAAAGTCTCATGTGATGCAAAGTGGAGGGTTGAGTGCCACTGCCCAACATGTAGCTGCTCAAGTTGTAAAGCAGGCATCAAGTGGAAGTTCACAACAAGGAATGCCATCACCTCCGAAAATTGGACAAACAAAATTGTCCAAAGTTATCAACAAACCTGCGACAGCGAGCTCCACGGTGATAACAGCAAGCCCGCAAACAAATGTTAATAGTACAACGTCAAGTGAGCCTACTTTGGAACAACAAATTTACTTACAAGATTATCAGAAACAAAAGCAAACGTCACAATTACAACAAGAATATCAACAGCAACTAAAAGAATACGAACAATCTCAATTACAACAAAACGAACAAGCAAACAAGAAAAAGAAGAAGAAATTACGAACTGTTTATACTGCTAGCGGAAAAGCTGATGTTTGGGAAGATCCTAATTTAGAACAGTATGAGGAAAATGACTTCAGAATTTATGCTAACAATTTGGGCAATGAAGTGACAGATCAAATGTTAGAAAAATTCTTTTCTCATTATCCAAGCTTTTCAAAAGCGACTGTAATAAGGGATAAAAGAACAAACCGAACCAAGGGTTATGGATTTATCAGCTTTTTAGATTGTAACGATTATGTGCATGCTTTAGAAAATATGAACGGAAAATATTTAGGGAACAGACCATTAGTTTTGAAGCCATCTAAATGGAAAGATAGAAACCTAAAATAAGAAACTAAAAACAATTAGTATCACTGCCGTAGTGCTCGAATGTATTGAATGTCCGCATTCATGGTTTTTTTTATCGAAATGGATTCTTGTTGCCCTGCATGCTGAGATAATATTTATTCCTTTAATGGAGTTTTTATTGCCACCTCAAATTTTCGTGAACCATTTTCCAAAGTTGTCGACCCTTTGTTGATACGTTTTACCCTCTTCCTACTCCGTAATTGAACACATTAAAAACCGAGGTGTGGTCCATTCAGCTTCAAGTTTGTGTGTGGTGTTTCTATGTGGAGGTCTTTCTCAGAATGGCGTAGCAAATTTTCTTAAAAGATCATTTATTTAATCGACAAGAGAGCTGGCCAAACGCAAAAAATAATTCAACACGTCTTCGTTCAAAGAAGGTCAAAACGACAACGAAGAATTTTCTTTCAAACAGATGCCGGGTGATACCTTCTCCTTGAACGAAGGTACCAATCTAAGCGGAAAGCAACCCTTGTTTGAGCTGAAAGATATGTCTACTCCACCAGTTACTCCTAATCCTACAACATCATCAACAACGCAAAGCAAGAGGGAATTATTGTCTGCACATACTAACTCTAACTCGATACATTCTACTTCTGCAATCACCACAACAAGCGTGGAAATACAACACGAACCGAGCCGAGACAACAATAATCACGGAGATGCTTCTCATAATACTCAAAACAACATCATACATTCATCCATGAACCATACAAATAATAACAACCAACAACAACAGCCAACAATTCAAAACACAACAACAAATCAACAACAAACAGTAGTCCATGTACCTTCTTCATCAACAACAGCCTTTCCCGGTAATATTGTAGAAGCAGCACATGAAGAAGATGATGATGGAAGCAACTCAGATGCGCATCTCAAACATTCATCACGGCTCCGACGATTTCTCTCTCTTATATATTCCAAATCTTCTTCCTTCTTGTTGGGGTATAGATTTGTAAACTTTCCAGGTTTGCGAGCACACAATAGCATTAAGGATCCATACGAACGACTATCCATCGCATACTATTCTGTCTACTTTGTCTTTTACCTCTTCTTTTCGATATCAAGTACGTATTTCAATTATTGCATCGTGTTGTATTCTAACACAATTCGTTTTTGCATGTGTTGTTGATGATAATCAAATATGACATGTCTATTTACTGTTCAACATGTTGAAATCATCATGTGGTTTGATCAATACATGAACTATGACCACTCTCAACCTTCGTATTGTTCTAACATGGAAATTTTGGATTCCTAATTTGTCCAACGTGGCCACCTAACCAATCATCACTACCACAGTGATCATTCAACAACTCATACGTTTTAAAACCCTTTCCCTTCTCTATATATTAGATGCTACTTTCTCTCTGGTTGGATTCATTCTCTTCCGTTCTCCTTTTCCCCATGCCTATCTCTATGTTTTTCTTGCCTACCTGTTCTCTGTTCCTTTTGTCCTAATTAACCTTGTTTCTTCTTCCATTGACACCAACTCCATCCTTTCACTATTAATTTTCCAACAAAACGACTTTGTTGCTTATCAACATCTAATTCTAGCCACTAACCTGAGAGTAATCATATTTCCAACAATATTTGCAGCCATTGGTCTGTCTAGTACTAAAACATTGATAGTAGCCATCATTGGTTATATACTAGCTTTCATACAATTTGGATGGCTGGGAGGTATAATGCAAGGTCTAAAGCTAAATTACGGGGATTACTTTTGTGATATTTTGTTTATTTCAATACCCTATGTCGTTGCTATATTAATTTTAAACAATATGCATCAAGCATTTAGATCCCAGATCAAAGAAGTAGAAACAAGACTTTCTAACATGCTTAATATCACAAATGAGGCAATAATCATTCAAAGTAGAAGGAAAAAGAAAATTATTTACGTTAATCTTGCCTTTGAAAGAATGTTTGGGTATGAACATGATGAAATTGTCCATGCCAACAAGAATATACTGGATTTGTTAGTAGGCCCTCCAGTAATAGCAACTGATGAATGGACGCTATGTAAAGCAAGAACGAAGCTTGGAGATAGATTTGGAGTTGAGGTTACTCACAAAGTGGATTTCTTAAGTTCTAAAAAGGTCGATGTTTTTATTGTAAGAAACAACGAGCTTAACGACCAAGTGAGGCTGATGAATGAGAAGGCCAGACAGGCTCAGATTGAGCTCCAGAGTAGAACGACATTCTTTAGCATGATTTCTCACGATCTAAAGAATCCATTGAACTCCATATACTTAATCGCTCAAAAAATGCACGAAGATTTTATGAGCCAACAAGCTGTTGATTTCCACGAAGGACTGGAATGGATGAATATGATTCTTTCTAGCTGTCATATTTTGAGTAATATTATTCAAGATGTACTTTCTTCTTCAAAATTGGAATCAGGAACCGTGGAATTGGACCTTTCCAACTTCGATTTAGTGTACTCGATAGAAGAAATTATTTCTATCAACAGTGTTACAGCATTCAAGAAAGGTATTGACGTAGGACTTGAAATTGATATCAAGCGAGGATCAAAACACAGAGTACCAATTGTTGTTAAAGGAGATGTTCACAAATTCCAACAAATTTTGACAAATTTGATGGGAAATGCAATCAAGTTCACTCATACTGGATCTGTTACAGTCTCAGTTGATGTTCAAGATGAGACAGAAAACGCTGTTAAGGTGTTTGTTGTCGTTTGTGATACAGGTATTGGTATCCCCAAAGAAAAACAAAAAGATTTGTTTAAAGTTTTTTCGCGACTTAAAAAAGATAAGGAATATGAAGGTAGTGGACTTGGCTTGAGCATTTGTAAAAATCTCACAAATCTGATGAACGGAGACATTGGCTGTTACAGCAATGGCGAATCGGGAAGCAACTTTTGGTTTACCGTTACATTCCAAAAAGCATCAAGAGGAGAGGATTATGACAAGATTGTTGAACGAGCCGAAAAACGTTTGCCTCTTACAGAAGAATCTAAGCTAATTGAAGTCAAGGAAAAACTTAATTCCAATTATCCTTCTTCTACTTGTCTTGTCATTTACAAAGAACCCAAGATTAGAAATATTCTCACCAATTACATGAGAGAGACTTTTGATGACCAAGTTGTGTCCATGGAAAATGATGTAGACACCATGTTTGTGAGTGCAGAATCACTAGAAAACATAACAGAGAGATTCCTTCATAATTCTTCCCCAAACATTCATGAATGGAATGTTCAAAAACCAATTTCTTTCATTATCCTAGACGATTCTTGTTTCCTTCCTGAGAACCTTCCAAAGAGTGAAAATGCTCTCTTCAACCCCTCAGCTCAAAACACTAATAGCATACGTGTAGGATCTTCTTCCAGCACTAGAAGAAATAGCTCTGTGATTTATAGCCCTCCAGAAATTGAAAGAATATTTTCTACAGTCATCAAACTGAGAAGCATTGTTGAAAATCATAATGCAAAATTGGCTTTAGGTGGATATAGCATCTCTACAAAAGTAGTCGTTTGGTTTGATAAGTTCGAACCAAAGAGATTTCTTAGTTTTATTAGAAAAGACCCTTCTAACTTTGAAAGGCAGTCAAAAACCAAAGGCTTATTTGACTTAACTCTAAGAAAGCCTATCACCTTATTCTCATTCCAGTATATGATACAACAATTATTGGCGATTAGGCCCTCAACAATCGCCCATAATGAAAGAAAACTTATAGAGACCTACCAATTTCCTTCAAAGAAAGACGACCATCGAAAATTCTCAATGGACCCAACTGCTCTTACTTCTCCAGGTATAAATTCATCTCAAGAATCAAGATGCTCTTCCTTAGATACAACATCCATTGCTCATTCTAGCTTCTCTCAGGACAAGTCAATACCTGAAATCGAAGAAGAAAAGACAATTAATTTGAAAGTTCTTGTGGCTGATGACAACAATATTAACAGAAATGTGATGCTAAAAATTTTAGGAGGACTTTCAGGAAATTCAGATATGGAAAGTCAAATATCAGAAATCAAGAATTGTCCTTGCAAGCTCCTAGTTCGTACCAAAGGAGCTGTGAACGGTAAAGAAGCATACGATGAATTTATTCAACATTTTAACACGCCAAACAAATATGATGCCGTTATTCTAGATGTTCACATGGACGTGATGAGTGGATTGGAATGTGCCCAAAAAATTAGACAATTCGAATCAGAGCACAAGGCTAAACCTTGTGTTTTAATTGGAGCCACAGGAGATAGTGATGGAGAGCATATTTGCAAACAAGCTGGAATGAATCTTGTTTGTTTGAAGCCAATCTCTCAAACACAAATACGAAATGTGGTGAAACATGTCATTGAAGACTTGTGAAGCAGAGGTCTTTGAATTTCATTAAAAAAATACCTCGCATGCTCGGAAAGAAATTTTGTGTCTTGTCTTGTCGAATTGCTGAAACCCATTCGTCATCCTCATTCCGATTGCTCATTCGTCAATTGAAGCCACTCACAAACACTATGAAGAATTATCACAAAATTCATCACACCTATTTATGTGGAATGGAATGTGCCGTGCTCACACCTTCCTCAATCCAGCATGCTCTTTCCAACAACCACCACCACCAAACTTCAAGTGTGAATAGTGCTGTCATTTGGCTTCATGGACTCGGAGATACCTATGATGGATTTGCACAAATGCTCCAACACGTTCTACCAAATCATACGATTGGTATTTTACCCAATGCACCTCACCGTCCAATCACAATTAATGGAGGAATGGTGATGCCTGGTTGGTATGATATTCAATCTCTCGATCGACAAGTCATGAAAGTCAAAGAAGACATTGAAGGATATCATGCTTCTAAAAAACTTGTCAATGATTTAATTCACACTTTAATGACCAATGATGATGAATTTCTGAAACAACACTTAATCCCTCAAATTCCCTCAAACAGAATTGTATTAGGTGGTTTTTCACAAGGAGGTGCCATGTCTGTCCTTGTTGGCTCTCAATGTAAATATCCACTTGCAGGAATTGTGTGTGCGAGTGGTTATGTATTATTGAGATCTCAATATTCAACTTCAAAAGAATTTATTTCACAAGAGAATATTTCAACACCACTTTATATTTTCCATGGAGATGAAGATGATGTGGTGAATTATCAGAATTTTGCAAAACAATCCTTTGATTGGTTGGAAGAGGGTGGGAAAATGATTACACAACGAAAGATTTATAGATTTCATTCACATGAAGTGAGTGAAGAAGAGATGAGAGATTTGAAAAACACATTTTCCAAGCTTCTAAATTAAATAGGAAAGATGTGTATATGTGACAGTGGACACTTCAATCACTGGAGTGATTATTTTCACTAAATCCTCATTGTTCTAAAGAAAACCATCGATTAAATGTATTCATCATTAAATATATTCATCTAGTATTTAAATGTATACATCTATCGATTATTTAGTTGTATATATCCATCTAGTATTTATATCTTTTCAAATGTTCTGGAGTGAAATGACTAATATCCATTATTGAGATTCCACATGCCTTACATTGTGAAATCATGATGAAAGGATGATGGAATCCAATCGAATGACATTCTCAAAATGGTCACATTGAAATTGTCTTCTTGTGTGTGGATCGATCATTGTGATGTGCGATTGATCTTTTTGTCGATCTTGATCATGTTTGGCTTCATTGGGTTTGTGAAATCGTTTGCTATAAGTTGAATCATCATACCAAGTGGGAACTTGATATCTCTTCGAAGATGAATATTTAAACTACGAATGCGACATCTTCTTTTCGAGAGTTTGTGGAATAATTTGACAAACACTAAAATTGTATCATTTCTGAATGAATGAATGTAAGATGGAATGTTAGAACTTGATGTTGAATTTGATGGTGATTTAGTGAATAATGTCCTCTGATCCAAATTCTCATGTTTGTCCACAAATTCTCTAATTTCCTTAAATAGACATTGAGGATCTGTTTGTTTCAACATTTCATTGATTTCAAAGGCATAAATTTCTCAAACCACACTCACAGAGTATCTT